TTTTTGTTTTATTATAATCAATCTTATGAATGCACTTGCTCCTTATGCAATGGTCGTTATGAAGGTATTCATATTCATATCAACGTTTTTATGAATATATTTCATTTTTTACAGTCTCCTTTACTAGCATAATCCTTTATATATAAATATTTTTATGTACTTCCTTTTTTTTTTTTTTTTTTTTTTTCTCTTTATTTGAAGGTTTCGTTTATTTACAACATTGTGCACCTTCTTTTATAATTATTATCATTGTAAATTGTATTATTGTTCTTATTGCTATTGTTTTAATTTTATCGTTTTATTCATTCATTTTCTATTTCATATATATATATTTTTTTTTTTTTCCATATTTTTGTTATATACTATTATGTACCTTTTCTAACTTACAATTAGTATTCTCTTTCTCCTATCAATCTGTAGTTGTATGCAAATAATAAACAAAAAATATTTATTCTTAACTGTTCGCTAATGCATACACATAATATTATAAACGAATGATATATAACAATTTTTTTTATAAATGATTATTGTTCTATTATTATGTAAAATATTTCTTCCCTAACAATATTCATGTATTATTTTTCTTTCCATTATGCATATATGCAAGTGAGAACATTTAAAAAAAAAAAAAAAAAAAAAAAAAGAGATGAAATGAGATGAGAATACCAAAAAAAAAAAATATATATATATAATATTTGAGTGCTTATAATAGATCTGGTGCGACAGATGTTGTAATGTTGTAGATGGTGATGATGCAAATGCTAATTAAAATTTATGTTCGTGTTATAGGGACAATGATATAGGTAATGCTTAAGCAAATGTAAGTTTGAAAATAAATTTATATACATATGTCAAAAAATGTTCATATGACATTATGTTAGTATACGTATTCCTACTTATATGCATACATATTCCTAAGGATAGAAATTATGTACATGTATGAATATATAAAGTATATACTTATTTATACATATATCGACATATATGTGAATATGGCACTCATACATGCATATCCATGTATACATAAATATATGTATATATAAATGTATACATTTATATATTTATTATTTTTTTTATTTATTTACTTATATATATTCTGACATACATACTTATGCATACCATTATAGAGGGTGATGAGGAGGGGTGGAAAACATTGATTTTAATTCCTTATGAAGAAAAAATATTTTTCATGAATCTACATAGTAACTTTTAATGATGTCGATGTTGATCATATGCTCATTTACCGATGTTGAAGCGACTACATTTCATGTATATATATAGAAATGTGATCATAAATGTGAAGCTATTAATATTTTTTTCAATATTAAAAAAAAAAAAAATTTTTTTTTTTTATTTATCTTATAGAAATCAATTATTGTGTTTGTAGAATGCCTTATTATTCTATTAGTCTCTACTTTTATGTTCATTATATAAACAAGTATGTATATTATATGTATATACATGTAAATATATAGAAGTATATATATGCATGTAAATATATAGAAGTATATACATAAATGTAATTATATAAAAGTATATATATAAATGTAAATGTATAGAATTATATATATGCATGTAAGTATATAAAAGTATGTATATGCATGTAAATATATAGAAGTATATATATAAATGTAAGTATATAGAAGTATGTATATGCATGTAAATACATAGAAGTATGTATATGCATGTAAATACATAGAAGTATATATATGCATGTAAATATATAGAAGTATATATATGCATGTAAATATATAGAAGTATATATATAAATGTAAATGTATAGAATTATATATATGCATGTAAGTATATAAAAGTATGTATATGCATGTAAATATATAGAAGTATATATATAAATGTAAGTATATAAAAGTATGTATATGCATGTAAATATATAAAAGTATGTATATGCATGTAAGTATATAAAAGTATGTATATGCATGTAAATATATAGAAGTATATATATGCATGTAAATATATGAATATATATATAAGCATGTATATGCATGTAAATATGTACAAGCATGCATATGTGTTTATATGTACTTACATGCACATGTTTTATATACACTATTATGTATACATATATTTTATAATTTCTTTAAGCATTCTTAGAATGTGAACACTTCGAGAAGCTAATGTCCCCTATATCTTTAGTTTCGAGCTAAAAATATTATTATATGTATGTTTTATACATCATTTAATTATTTAAAATGTGTACCTACGGTAGCATATTTTTAAGCAATTGTATTTGCTCTTGCACATGATGAATGCAATGGGCTCATTTTATTTATTTCGATGATTCTATCTAGCTCACTAATCCTATTAATACTGCAAATTGTATGTATGGTTTCTATATATTTAAATATGCACATACTCGCCATTCTCTGCACGTATGTGTACACAAATACACAAATTTATACATACAATGTCAAATATTTATGTGTATACTACTTGTGCATATGGAGGCTGTGTAGATAACCTATTTTATTTAATTTTTTTATTTTATTTTTTTAACAAAAAATGTTTTGAACATTTTATATGTAGAAATTTAAATATCTTTTATTACATATGAATTTTTATATTTCACTTTTTTCCTAGGACCCTTGACTTACCTCTTTGCACACGCAGTAATTTACATGCGGCTAATTATATATCGGTATTGCACTTTTCCCATACCCCTTGAATACTTTCTATGAACAAATGGTTCATACATGCATTATCTCGATAGCTATTAATAGTTAAAAGAGATAATTTTTTTTCATGAAGAGTTTTTCGTAGATTATAGCTACAGGCTTAGGGGTTGAGCAGCTTCTAAAAGATAAATAGGTGTCAGAAAATGTGTCGGTTCCAACATGCATCGAAGGTGTACATATGTGCACTAATATACATATATTATATATTTATATATATATTTATATTTATACATATATTTATATATATATTTATGTTTACATGCATTTTCCCGTAATTACCTATAATTACACATATTTGAATATTATTTGAAAAGAAAAATGCAAAAGCTCAAAGTGCTCAGAATTATCTCACCACATTGGCTATTAATCTATGGAATTATCTAATGCACACAGCAATTTTTTTTAATTTCTCTCTCACATTCCTAGGTGCATGTAATCATTATTCATCCCATACACCTATTTATGTTTGTACACATATTATATATACATATATGTATAAAATGCTCAGTACATATGCATTTTTATTTTTTGTATATATAATACATGCGCATATTAGCATTTAAAATGAGAAAAATAAATAATTCTAGATACTTCATAATTGTAATATCTATTGTTAACACATGGAAATATTGTTATAAAATTGAACAACCTATGCGTTAATTCTGTAATCTTACAGATATACACAAATTGTTAATCTCTTTAATTGCTAAAATGTTAACTTGTTAATGTCATAAACTGCGCATTACGCATTTATTAGAAATGTCAATTTGTTAGTATCCTAGATTGTTCATTACACAATCTTCTAAAAACATATATTTTTTAATAACTTAAATTGGTACTTGTGTTAGCGCAATTATTACACACAATAAGTAGAAATAAATAAATAGCAATATTAACACATCCAACGTGAGTAATTTTAAAAGAGAAAACTATGTGTATACAATAAGGAAAAATTTTTTGTTCTTAATAAAAAAAAAAAAAAAGGAAAAAAAACACTGCTTAGGGAGAACTTATAATTGTGAATGTATAGAAGCATAAGTCCTCGATTGTGCAATAGGAAATACTCATTCTTGAATTGTACACTGATTTTCTGAGGAAAAAAGAGAATTGTAAACATACGTAGAAGCAGATACATCAGCATGCATATATATATACATACATACACATACATGCATACCTAAATACACATTCATACATATACATGCATACCTTAATACGCATACATGCATATACATGCATACCTTAATACACATACATACATATACATGCATACATAAATACACATACATAAACATACGTGCATACCTTAATACACATACATACATACACATACATGCATACCTTAATACACATACATACATATACATGCATACATAAATACATATGCATGCATACCTACATACACATACGTACACATATATACACATGCATGCATGCATACATAAATACACATAAATGCATGCACATACATACCTATATGTGTGTGCACACTTGCTTATCACTTGTATGATAAAATTGCATGCAACTGTTGACCTCGCATATGCACAGAAGAAGAAATTTTAACACACTTGAGCACATGAAAAAGATAAATTATTGAAATACTACTAAATTGCAATATAATTTAATGCAGAAAAAAAAATAAATAAAATAAAATATTACTCTAAGCAAAATCCAGAAGTACATATTATTTCCCAAGGGTGCAGGGAAATTAGAACACACAAAAAAAAGTTAATAATAAAAAACTAACAAACCCATCAAACTAGAAAAATACAAATCAGGATAACATACTAATATAACAGAAAAAAAAAATTTTTTTAAAGCAGATGCATTTACAAAGGGAACATTGGTGACAATATATATATATATACATGCAAAAAAAAAAAAAAAAAGAAAAAAAAAAAATCGACAGATAAACAGATCGACAAGTCGACAGATATACAGATCGACAAATCGGCATATGGACAGATTCGAAAATCTCTAGAACTAGCGTTTCTACATACTGTAAATAACAGATCGCTTAGGAGAAGAACGAAAAGCTGTTTCTTGATGTACCACGCATTTTCATATAAATCCCAGAGGGGGAGAGAAAAATAAAATAAAAAAATTAACAAACAGACAAATAAAAGAAAAAATAAATATAAATAATCACAGTAAATTAAAAAAAAAAAAAAAAAAATTAAAAATAAATAGAAACAATAACAGAAAATTAAAAAAAAAAATAAAAAAAAAATAGAAATAATAACAAAAAATTAAAAAAAAAAAAATAATAAATAAACAGGAAAAAGAACCACTTGGTGACGCATTACAATGTTTGTGTGTTCCAGAGAAGAAATTAATTCGCGTGATGACAGCTTGAGTAATGATTTAAAACAGGAAAAATTATCTATCGCAAATTCAGGATACAAAAATAGTGATATGTTGAATAAGTTACACAATTCAGGAGAAAAAGGTAAGAATAGTACTAATTTAAACACGTTTGATAAAGTGCAATTTTCTGATGAAAAAAGGTTGATAAGTTGTCACAGTTTAAGAAGTGCTTTGAACGATAAGACGGAAATAATTAACTTTGTTAAAGGAAAACAAATGAACTTTAGTTTAATAAGGAATGAAAAAAAAGTCAACAAATTACACACATTAGAAAAAAGGAGAAAATTCGGTAGAACAGGTACAATTTTTAAAAAGGATTATTCTAAACACTTCAATTTAACAAGTAAAACCAGAAGAAGTGTTCATAATATGAGACTTCATAAGAGTAGAAGCAAATCGGAAACTAGGTTCAACAGGCAAATGATTACTCTCCCTTTTCTCAGTTCAATTGATTCTTGCAAGAGCCACACACGCAGTTGTACTTGTAGCACTTCATCGTTCAGCAGTGAAAATAGTGACAATGAAAGTGGGAGTGAAAGTGGGAGTGAGAGTGAAAGTGGGAGTGAGAGTGAAAGTGGGAGTGAGAATGAAAGTGGAAGTGAGAATGAAAGTGGAAGTGAGAATGGAAATGAGAATGAGAATGGAAGTGGGAATGAGAGCGTAAGTGGAAGTGGGAACGAAAGTAGACATGAGCATGAAATGAACGATGTAGATGATATTAGGAAAAATTTCATAAGTGGCAGTGTCAACACATGCATGGGTGCTGCGGGTGATGATAATAATACTAAGATAGAAGTTATCACTGGAAAGGATAGGAACAAGAGTGATGAATCAAATTGGAGAAGTGATTTTAAATATATGAATGATATGCCCAATGATAAGAAAGAAGGTATTACAAAATTTCATGGAAAAACGGATATAGAAAATGATGAAGAAATATATATTAATTGTTTACAAAAAAATGGTAAAGAAAAAAAGGAGAAATGTAAAAATGCAAAGAAGAATAAAAGAAAAAACAAAATAGGAAAAAGTAATAATGATCATTATAATGACCATTGCATTAAAACTACGTTGGAAAATGGAACTGTAGACAAATTGAAATCAAGCTTTTGCATAGAAAAGGAAAAGTGCGTAAATAATATTAGCAATATGGAAGAAAAGTGGAAAATGAAATGTTTCAATAAATTTGATGGTGAAATTTGTTCATGGGAAAATATCGAACAACAGGAATTTAATTGCTCCCACGGAAATGAAAAGGAATACGAAAAAGATAATTCAAATCATAATGGATTAGAGAGAGAACATAATTACAAATACAATAGTGAATATAAAACTCATGATAAAAAAGGAAATAAAATAAATAAGCATTGCATGGAGAAGGATGATACATTAAAATCTTCCAACTCGACATGCTGCTTAGAATATGGAAAAAACATAGAATCGGAATGTGATCGAGAACAAGATGACAGAGAAGCAGATACTGTTAGAAATTATGAAAAGGAAAAAATATCCTTCACAAAAGAATATAAAAATGACGCTTTTTGCAAAAGTGGTAAAAATGAAATTCTGCAGGAAAGGGAGAATGATCATTTAACTATTGATGAACTGTTACAGAGTGAAGTGTGTAACACAGAATGTGTAAAAAAGCAAATTAATTCATGCAACAATTTTGACAGAAATAATAAAATAAAAGATAGTTTGACTTTATTGAATAATGAATTTAAACAGGATGTAAATCGATATTATAAAAAATTAGCTCTGTTGAAAAGGATCAAAGTTACTAATGGGGGTGAATTTTCGGACGAAGAATTTTTCACAAAACAAATTTTAGAAAAAAAAAATTGGAAAAGAAAATTCGTAAAAGGTGAAAATTTCAGAGATATCAATCCAAACAATAATGATTCGAAAATTTCGAAATGGAAGGGAAATAATTCTGTGGGAACTCCCCAAACAGAACTGGATGCCTTATGTTGCATTGTTAAAGATGAGAAGTGCAATGGTTTACTTGATGAAGACAAAGAGAAAACATTAATTCATGAAGAAGAGAATCTGTCGAAAGGCGAAGAAAGGGAAGACGAGGTAAAAACAATTCATTCTGAAAACAAGCATTATGAAATCGTGCATTCTGAAAACATGTACTCTTTATCAACTAATAATAATAGAAAAAATTTTATTTTTATACCTGGAAACACAACCATAACAACCCATGCAAATAGTAAATTGAAAATTCACTCAATTTTGGATGACAACAAAATGTTAAATTGCAAAATGAAATGGGAGAAAAAAAAAGAAATGTATGAACCCTTGATAAATGCTCAAGAAAGAAGAGGAGATCTTGATCAAAATATGATCATGATCAAAAGTTCAGCTGAGCGTGCAATAGCAAGCAAAGTAAGAATCCCTGAAATGATCAATATAATGACTCAGAGGAAAAATAATAACAATTTAACGGGTACACTTAACAGTCCATCTAACACTGAAAATGATAAGGGGAAAGTTTATTTAAAACAGAATTATTTCTGCGACAATAAGAATTTATTTTGTTCTTACATGCATATGCTAGGCGCGAGGGAAAATGAAAATGTGCAATTCCTACGTACGGGAGAAAATGAAAATGTGCAATTACTACGTACGGGAGAAAATGAAAATGTGAGATTTCTAGGTGCGAGAGAAAATGAAAATGTGAAATTCCTAGGTGCGAGGGAATTTTTAAATGCGCAATTCCTAGGTTCAAGGGAAGTTTTGAATGCGCAATTTCTAGGTGCAAACGGAATTTCAAATGTGCATATAGCAGGTGCAAATACAAATACGCTAAATCTAGGTGCAAGAACAAATATTTTAAATCTAGGTGCAAGAACAAATATTTTAAATCTAGGTGCAAGAACAAATATTCTAAATCTAGGTGCAAGAACAAATATTCTAAATCTAGGTGCATGTACAAATGTGCACATGCTAGCTAACGGTGCACGCGAACTGAATAATTGCGAAAATGAATTTATTCTACCACTGAATGACGTCATACTAGGTAATGATGGGACAGTGAGCGAAGGGGAGAATGGAAATGATAATATGATGAAAAACAGCTGGAGTAATTCATCCTTTTTCTATAGGCATAACAATTTTAGTGAATATTTCTCCCCCTTTTCTAAAAGTGTTTGTCCAAATGGGTACCTAAATATTCCGAGCCAAAACTGCTCAGGATATCCCAACAAACACCAAATGAGGGTGAAAATTTCTGGGCCCTTAGATCCAAATTGTACAGACAACTATTTTCATTACAGTGAAAATAAAGATTTCCGTTCTCTCAACTACGATGTTAGAAATAGTTTCAATAGTTGCAATAATTGCAGTAAGTGCAGCAATTCCAATGAGTGCAGCAATTCCAATGAGTGCAGCAATTCCAATGAGTGCAATAATTCCAACGAGTGCAGTAATTCCAACAAGTGTAGCAATTCCAACAAGTGCAGCAATTCCAATGAGTGCAATAATTCCAACGAGTGCAGTAATTCCAACAAGTGTAGCAATTCCAACAAGTGCAGCAATTCCAATGAGTGCAATAATTCCAACGAGTGCAATAATTCCAACGAATGCAGTAATTCCAACAAGTGTAGCAATTCCAACAAGTGTAGCAATTCCAACAAATGCAATAATTCCAACGAGTGCAGTAATTCCAACAAGTGTAGCAATTCCAACAAGTGTAGCAATTCCAACAAGTGTAGCAATTCCAACAAGTGTAGCAATTCCAACAAGTGTAGCAATTACAACAAGTGTAGCAATTACAACAAATGCAGTAATTCCAATAATTGCAGTACATGCAATAATTCCATCTATTACAACAGTTCCACCTACTGCAACAGTTACAGTTGTTCCCATTATGACCCTGTCGGTCACGACAACCAAAACGATCGCGTTGATTCCTGCATGCATAACGTATATGACCATTTTCCCCGATTCCAGCCGCTTGCATATAAAGATCTTAGTTTCGATGGATATGATGCCAATGTAGAAATAATGAAAGGGCGAAATAACTACAATTGTGAACACATGAGCACTAGTGATTGTGAAAATAAGTTTTCCACTTCTAATTATTTTAACAATAACAAATATGCTTGCATTCACTTCTCAAATAAAACGAATGATATAGATACGAATAATTTTTATTTCACCAATGGAGATAATAATGATAAAATGAATATCATTAAAAGTGATGAACAAATAAAAGTTCCAAAAGAAGCTGAAATACGTTTTTACAACAATTACCCATTTAGTCAGTGTGATCAAACCTCTGCATGCGGACAAAATTTCCAATTTTCCTCTAACAGTAATTCAACTTCTTTTATTAACATTCACAGGAGTGATACTCATCTCCCTCTCCAGGATGATGGAAAAGATGTAGTGTTAAGTAGTGGCAATGATCATGCAGATGAAAATGAAATCGAAAAGAATAATGTTAAGTCGGGGAAATCAGTCCAGATCGTTAAAGTATATATCGAAGAAGAAGATGATATGGAAAAACAACCCCTTGACACCTCCAAAAATGAAGGGGAAAACAAAGAACAAAATGAAGGCCAAAATGGAGCTAAAAATGAAGGTCAAAATGGAGCTAAAAATGAAGGCCAAAATGGAGCTAAAAATGAAGGCCAAAATGGAGCCAAAAATGAAGATGAAAATGGGGCCAAAAATGAAGACCAAAATGACAGTGAGCGTAATGATCAGGAGGGCGCTACTTTAAAAAATTCAAATTGCACTCGATCACAAAGTTCAGGGGTGGAAAAGAGGGACTTAAGTGCGCATGCAAAGAGGATAAGTGTAGATGAGATGAATTCATCAAAAGATTGTAAAAGTTCATGTTTCGAAGAGGGTGCACAGAGTTGTGATAATCAATGGAGCGGGAGCTTAAGTACTAACACAGGAAATAGTATCAGCAGCAGTAGCATATGTTGCAGCAAGCTGTGCGATGGGAGTGGTAATACAGTCAGCTGCTGTGGCTCCATAAGTAGTAAGTGCAATGATACATGTGTAAGTTATAATGGCACACGCGAATTTTTAAATAATATATTTTCAGATGATATGTGCACAAGTTCGAAGGAATATGTTAGTACGTATAATTGTGATGTAAAAAGTGAAAGGGAATATGATGCATGCATTGATTTAACTAGTACAGTTTCTCCCTATTTTTCCGATAATAATGCATACAAATTACGCTTCACTTTAGAAGCTGGGAGGGGTTCCGATATTCCTCATTCTCATAGAGCAGATATACGGAGCAATGAGAATATAAGCATATTCAAAGAAATGAATTTTTTTAATTCCTACGATAATTATGGCCACAGTGCTAAAGTTCATCCCAGCAATATTGATATTATTGGGCAAGGTAATAACATTAGCAATTGTCACGTTAATGATTTCGGTAATTTGTCCCATCAGAACTACCACAACTGTTCCGATAATTTCCATGGTTCCGATAATTTCCACGGTTCCGATAATTTCAACAGTTCCGATAATTTCAGCTATTCCAGCAATTTCAACTATTCCGGCAATTTCAATTATTCCGACAATTTCAACTATTCCGACAATTTCAACTATTCCAGCAATTTCAACTATTGCGATAATTTCAACTTTCGCGATAATTTCAGCTGTTTTAATTGTTATGACCATCCTAACCTCCAATTTCTTCAGAATTGTCAAAACTGTCAAAATTACAAATTTCACAAAAATGACTGTAATAATTGGAACATTATCAACGAGTCTCCCGCGTTAAGTCAAACTAATGACTTACAAAATATTCAATTCGAAATGAACAAAAAATGTTATTTTTATAATGGATACCTTACAAATGTGCAAGATGAAATGAATGGAAATTTTTCCAAAATATTCGACAAGAATGAAGCACATGCCGATATACCTACCAATAATATTACCTATAAGAAAGAAATAAAAGAAGAAAATGATTTTACAAATCTAAAAAGTATTCATAATAATAATAATAAATTCCAAGATGAAGATACTATCTACTCCAGTGATATTCACACAAGCACAAAAAGTAATAGTACTCTCGATGTAAACACTAAACAAGTTTGTGATCTTACATACAACTTTTCAAATACCAGTGTAAAATATAACACATATTCCTGTCATAATGATATATCCCCAAATGGATATGAAAAATATGAAAATAAAAATATAACTGGCGTTGATAAATATAACTTTGGGCAATGCAACAATAAGAGCAATTCGAGTTGCATTAAATTCAATGAACAATGTAGGGATAACAACGAAAGTCTGACAGTTACTGGTTCTTGTGATCGGAAAAGTGTTTTAGAGAACAAAAGTACAGGTGTCGAGGGAAGAACAGGAGGAAGTACGATAGGCATGACTGGGTTGAGTGTACAACAAATTGACGAAACACATGTATCAGTAAGAAAGAAAGAAATCGACATGAAATATAATACTGATTCCAATATGTTAAATGGATCACTTAAAGAAATGCATGGCATTAATAATTATGCAACAAATATGCTCGATGTAGATGTAAACAATAGAGCTGAAAATAAAAATAGATCCTATCAGAACATCCAAAATGATATGAGTAAAATAAGTGTAAAATGTTGCAGTGAAAAATATCGCATAAACTGTGGCCAGAAAATAAGCGATAATGATAACGGAATAATTAATATACACATTAATGGAAATGAGAAAAACAACAAAGGTAACATGAATGATGATATGAACACAACTGAATGTACAAATGGTGATGGTACTATTGTTGACTACTTAAATGAAACTCATAATGATTTGGAAAAGATAAATTACATGATTTGTCCCACGAAATGCAATTGCGTGAATGAGTTAAATTTTTTAAATAACAATTTTAAGGATTTAAATTACTTGAACAGTACAGAAGAGAAAATTAATTTTTTAGAGGATGTAAATTACAGGGACTATGTACAAAATTTAACTTATTTCAATTCAGAAACGTGTAAAAATGACGATGGAGATGTGGATAGTAAAATCAGTGGGGAAAATAGTATCATGTTCAGCAATTGCTCCGATAATAGCGCCAATAATGGCATCATCGACTATTCAAATAAAGGCACCGGCAGCTACGCCAATAATACCACGGGTAACTGCACCGACAACGGCATTGACAATTGCACCGAAAATTGCAACAGTGATGATCGGCATAACGACGCAAGTTACTACAGTAAAACTATGTCCCTAAACTACGAGAACTATTTTAACTACACAAATAATATTTACCATGCACATCACCTGAAAAGTTTCCCATACCATATGAACGACAACAATACTGACAGTCATGTTGTTAATGCTAATATTGCAACTGATGGGATAAACATGCACACTAACTCCAATGGAATGAACATGCACACAAACTCCAATGGAATGAACATGCACACTAACTTCAATGGAATGAACATGCACACAAACTCCAATGGAATGAACATGCAAACAAACTCCAATGGAATGAACATGCACACAAACTCCAATGGAATGAACATGCACACAAACTCCAATGGAATGAACATGCACACAAACTCCAATGGAATGAACATGCACACTAACTCCAATGGAATGAACATGCACACAAACTCCAATGGAATGAACATGCAAACAAACTCCAATGGAATGAACATGCACACTAACTTCAATGGAATGAACATGCACACAAACTCCAATGGAATGAACATGCACACTAACTTCAATGGAATGAACATGCAAACAAACTCCAATGGAATGAACATGCAAACAAACTCCAATAGAACAATTTGTAATAACATGAATAGTGCATTGTATAACCACGCACTGAATTTTAGCGACATCTACGCAAACAATGAGACACTTGGTATAGATACTTCCATTTATGACAAAGAGAATAAAACGTATGAACAAAATGGAACATATGAGGGCATAACGCATAGCAGAATGTACACAACATATGATAAGTTCATTTCGCATGATGGTATATTAAATGGAGAATATAGCAGAAATAATAATTATATTAAGCATGAAATGAATAACCCTAAGATTAGAGAATTCAATTTGGATTATAATAGTAATATTAGAGATATACCGAATAATGTTAGTATTATCAAGAATGAACATTTAACAGCAAATAGTACCAGGAACATTAAGGAAGACAGTGTCAAAAATGACGTTTGCAGTATTAACAGTGTAAGCACTATAAGCAGCATTAATAATGGTAGTAGTAATAATAATAATAGTAAGAAGAAGAAGAAGAAGAAGAAGAAGAAGAAGAACATAGTAAAATGTAAAAATGAAAAAAAAAAATATTCAAAAACCAAAAATCCAGGATACTGTAGGAAAGAAAAGAAAGAAGAAAAATGTAGTAGCTATATGTGTAGCAATAAAGGAGATTTATTAAGTAGAAGATATGAAATGCAAAAATCAGTGCTACTAAATATTGACGGAGAAATAAGAAAAATAGCAGATGAAATTGTTAAGAATGCATATATATTACCATCAAAGACATTAAGTGGTAAAAACACACTTGATCGTAATCACCCCATTCATAGTGTTTGGAAGGACACAACTCGAGGACATTGTTCTTGGAGATGCAGATGGTGGGAAAATGGAAGACGGTTAAGTAAAAATTTCAATGTCAAAAGATTTGGAACTGACGGTGCATTAAGAATGGCAGTTATCATGAAACTAAAAAAAAGCACTCCAAAAGAACAAGCACAATTATTAAAGCATCAGAGGGACTTTCTAAATTTGTGTTATGTTAATAACTGGTTGCCCAATCCAAAAAAGGAAAGGGGACAAAATGTGGAAAAGGATGATGGTTGTGATGGTGTTGCTGCTGCTGACGTGCGAGAAGATATGATGAATCATGTTAGGGAAGAGAAATGTGAAAAGAATAATAATGGAAAGAAAATTAATAAACACTGTGATGAAAACAGAAACACAGGGGCATACATTATGAGCAAATTGTTTAATTCTTCCAATGCAAATAAAAGCCGTGATAATACTAATAAACGTGTCAATAAGAGGAATACTATGAAAGGAAATGTGCGCATTCGTAAAATTAATAAAATAAATAATGCAAAAAATAATGAAATGAATGATGGAAAGAATAATCGAAAGAATAATGAAATGAATAATATAAAGAAAAAGGAAAAAAGAAATATAAAAAATAACAATGTTCATGTTTTTACTAAAGATGAGAACATAGGTTCTATGTAGAACAATCAAGACTGTGATAATAAAAAAGAATACAATAATTAAAGGACAAAAATTCAATGTTAAAATACAGACCATGAAATGAAAAAAGTAAAGTGGGATAATAATAGTCCCCTTAGTAATATGTGTCTGGGTGATAAATATTCTTATGTGAATATTTTAGCAATAAAAAAAAAATATATATACCAAAAATAATGTGAACATGTAACAGGAATTAAAAATAAACAACCCTTGATCATCACACAAAAATAAGGAAAATATCTTTCCGTAAATATTTACTGATATGAACTTTTTTATTCATCAAATAAATGAATATGTAGGTCAGCATGCTAATCAGAACATCAATATGAATATCAATTAGAGTAATATTAATTGGAGTGCTAGCAAAAAAAACATTAATCAACACGTGTTTCACTATGAGAAAAAAAAATAAGAAAACTCCTTCAAAATTATTCAACACATTTGATAATAGAAAATGCTCGTATTCGTAATATTAACAATCATAGTTCACATTAGTACTACCACTATTATCCATAAAGTGAAAAATAAAAACAGTGATGATATGCAACCTTGAGAAATAACTAGCATAAAATGTAAATAACTAATATACATGTGTGCGTACAACATATATAATATGTTACACTTCTTCCCTTTTCAAATATGCACACATCTTGATATGACAACCGCGATTCATATATTTATCTTTGTACAACAACGATTCTCTACTTTCTCCCTCGAAATGGCGTCCTTATTTCAAAATAGGAAGAAATATTATTTTTCTTAAAATGTGAAGACAGCACAGTTTTTCATTTGCCAAAATGTGCAAAGTTTTATGTACCGTAAGGTGAAATGCCATATGTGTAAAAAAAAAAAAGAAAAAAGGTAAAAAAAAAGGGAGATTAAGAGGAACAAAAGGAGATCTAAAAGGAAATAATTTTGTGCAAAGTAGTGTACCATGAACAGAAATAAAAATCTTGTATCTAAGTGCAATACTTTTGTTTGCTTTCAAATATTAGTATGTATATTTTTTGCATACTTTTATATTCCCCTTAATTTGTTAAATTTTCCCATTGTTGAAATTTCTCCATTCTGTTGAAATTTCTCCATTCTGTTGAAATTTCTCCATTCTGTTGAAATTTCTCCATTCTGTTGACTCTTCTCAATTCTTTTGACTCTTCTACATTTTGTTGGCACTTCGCCATTTTGTTGACACTTCTCCATTTTGTTGATGTTTCTTAAATTTGTCAATACTTCCAGAATGCGTGAATTTTTTCTTCTTATAACTTTCTATATTGTTATGATAATGTGTTTATCGTACTTTATGCACATTTCAATATACACATTTCCTATATTTTCTGAATGTTCCATAATCCTTAAATATGTGCATGGATAACACACACATTATTTTATTTTATTTTTTTTTATTATTCTTTTTTATAATTCATGTTATAATTAAATTTTTGTGTCTCCTAAGCATTCAATTTTAAATAAATGTATAAAAAATTTTTTCCAAGTGCCTCTGTATTCTTATGTAATGTTGTGAAGTGGTCAATTTTGATCATGCGGGGAAGAATTTATGCTTTCGTTTATTTTGCAATTCTGAAAAATATATTGTGACATCATACGATGATGTATCGCATATATATGTGCAACTATTACCCGTACAAGCACTCCCCATTATATTAACCAAAATTAGTGGCCTCCTTATTATGTCAGTTCATTACACCTTATGGACGAGTCAAATGATTAGTATCCCTCAATTATCACTTCAATGTTTTAAGTTAAAGCACTCTTATTTTTACATATTTTTCATGTTCAAACATGCAGAATCTTTTTCTGCAACGATTACGTTAAAATGTTACATTAGTTGGCATTGTTACTTTTCCTCTCAACTATGTACTCAATTTGTGTCCTCAATTTTATTCCCTTCTTGTGTGCTTTGTTAAATTTCCAAAATTTATGCTCAATCATTTTGTCTCCATTTTCTTTTTCAATGTTTTTTATTCAATAATAATCATTAATTATTGAGCTCGATTATTGAGTTCAAATTTTACCTTAATAGCTTGTGCCCCCACAAAAAAAAAAAAAAAAAAAAATATTCAACAATTAATTCCCATCTCTCACTTATATATTTCCCTCATTTGTAACATGAAATTATTATCATCAATATGTACGCTAATTGAATACTTTCATATGATGTACTAAATTGGTATATTGAACTATTACTTGCATTGGAGAATTTCGTTATTGACTTTGGTTTTTGACTTTAGTAGTTTTTAGTTGTTGTTTTTGATGTTGTTTTTAGTTTCTGTTTTTAGTTGTTGTTTTTAGTTGTTTTCTTTGGTTGTTCTCATTAATTGCTGTTTTTAGTTGTTGTCTTCAGTTGTTCTCATTAATTGCTGTTTTTAGTTGTTGTCTTCAGTTGTTCTCATTAATTGTTGACCTTTATACAGTGCTCTCATTTTGTAACTTTATTCACGGCTTCGATATTTATCCTCAATAATTACTGCCAATTAGCGCCCACAATTATTAAATACATTTATTATGCTCAATTATTTTCTCAACAAGTTTTTATACTTAATCCTTTCTCACGACTTTTCCGCATAACTGTTAAATAAAGTTTTTATCATTAATTTTCACCTTAATCCCTTTAACATTTGAGAACAATTACTTTACTCAATTTCTGGGTTATACCTTTTATAACCAATTATTGAAAATAGTTATTTATCCATTCTTATGTTGGATTTTTCACACTCTTCTGTTATTTTCTCGAATTACAATTAATTTTATATGAAGAATTATTATCTTTAATTATAAGTTATAACATTTACTCACATTCACTACATTTAATTACCTTTCATTGATTTTACACATTTCCCGCTATTATTTATTTAATCCCTCAATTTTTTCTTTAGTATATTTTCTCATTTTTATCCCACCATATCTGTTATTTCATTTATATATATTTTTTTTATATTTACATTTCACCCACATCATTAGCAGGTGTATAACAATGTTATGTTTATTCGACCTACCCCCTTATGACCTCTCCCCCATAATTAAGATTTAAATATTTTTTTATTGAACATGATTTATTTTGTTTTTACACACATACGTATATTTCCTTATTCCACATTTTATATGCATCCTTCAATCGAATACATGTTATTAGCTACAATCAAAAGCTTATTTACATTTCCACATAATGTAAAAAAGTCCCACATAAATGTATATGTGTGTGGTTGATTTTTTTTTTTTTTTATTTGAGAAAATATGTTGAATAAATTAGATAAAATGTATATTTTATTTATATCCCAATTTTCCTTAAAAAGTGAATGTCATTTTTTAAATTAAAGAAATCATTATTGTTCTATATTTTTCCAACATGAACAATTCTCATAATTAACACATCATCAAAACCATGATGAAAATTTGAAAATTTGGAATATGTATAAAAAACATATGAACGCACATGTATACATATGTTCAGAATGAAACTTATTTTCCTGCTTTTGTTAAATAGCTTTTTTATGCACTTATCATGAAATATATTTAGAACACATCGATTCATGACGCTATGTTGAAATATTCCTGTACCCACACCTCCCTGTGAAATTTTGACGGTCCCAATGTGCTGCAACGTTTTGCTAATGCACCCCTGAACTGTTAAATCACAAATAAAATGTTAAAAACAGCTAATGCAATAAAATGAGCAAAAGTAATTCTTAAAAACAAGTTTTAATTAATATATTAAAAAAAAATAAACCATTTTATACATAAAAAATTGCTCATCTTGATATATTTCATTGAAAATATTTTTTGTACAAAGAATAATGGAAATTATTATCTTTATTGTAAATATATATAGAGATACATTTTGAAAAGCTCTTTTATTTTTCTAGAACCAATGTGTAAAAATAACCACTTTATATCAACTATATTTGTAATTTCAAATATGTTTATGCAAAACATTTTCAAAAATGATATAAAATACATAGTATATAATCGAATTTATTTTTTTTTAAATAGATAAGCAAGAAATGTACCAAGTGTGCCTTGTAAGGCATATTTACTATATATATACACGTATATATATATATGTTTGTGTATTTTACCTATAAATGTTTCTCCACTTATTAATAGATTATCACATATTGAAATTTTCGAAACAGCAGGAATTAAATAATCATTTTTTTTTTTTGCTTCATTTAGATATCCTCATATATGTAAAGTAACCTAGATTTTTAAATTCTTATCTATATTTAATTATAATGTTTTCCACCTTTACTACTCTAACTCGTATATGCACTCCTTAAAAAAATAAAATAAATGTACCTATTAAATTTTCATATATTTAGCACTAAAATTACGTCATATGGAAAAGCATTGTAAGTACCGTAACCACAATTTTACCTTTATCACTATTACATACATGTTTGGGTGATTCATAATACACAATTTAAATGAACTGCCTTCAATCAGAGGCCATGAACAAAGCAAGCACCCCCAGTTCTCACACTTCATAATGGTGAACTAAAATACACACATACGAACGTGCAAAAAATATACATATATAATGATCTTAAAAGTGAAGCAGCCATTAATTCCCAAAAAAGCCTTATCTGAAGAGCATATTTTTTTTCCTTCAATTATTTTCCACATCAATAATAGGCATACTTTAAATTTTAAAAAGTTTCTCAGTTCATCGAGTGATATACATAAAGGAATTCTAGAAAATTTCAATTTGAATAAATTAATTCAATTTTAGAAAATTATCTTGTGTGATAAGCTATCCTTCTTAAAAAAAAGAAGCTTTCCTTAAGTACACCTAACACATTAAGAATATGTACCAAAAAGAAAGCTATGTACAACTGTTAAATCATTCGTTTATAGGAAGAGATTAAATATTGCTATTATTGCTATTTGTATAGGATTCGACTTAAATGTACATTTTAACTTTACATTTTATCTCTTACATTTTATCTCGTACATTTTATATCTTACATTTTATCTTTTACACTATTTTTTACGCTTTATCTTTTATGTTTTATCCTTTTTTAAAAAAAACAAAGGGTTTATATATTGGAAATGGATATAGATCTATTGTAAAATTCAGTTAAAACCCATCAACGTTCTTCATTCCTTAAATATTACATTTTGTGTTATAAAAAAATTTTTAAAGCTTCAATATGCGACGTTTTTTTTGTTTTGTTTTTTTAAATGAAGAAATATTTTTACTAAGGGCATTTCCCCCATTTATGTTGCTATGTACTTTTTCTTATTTTATCTATATGGTTTCAAATGACATGAACAACATGCTACATTTCATAGTACATTACAGTATAATATATTAGCACTTCACACATAAAGCAATTTTAATACAGACTCAAATAGATAGAATAACAAAATATAAGCGTATAATGTAATATCAATTTTTCTTTGAAAAAAAAAAAAAAAAAACTATGCAGGATAATTCCGTTTCTCATGAAACTTTTTCTTTTTTTTTTATGTGATAATACAGATAGACATTACACGTAGTGTATTGTTTAGAAGTCCTTTTTTTTTTTTTTTTTCTCACTTATGATGAAGCATTACATTATTCCCATGTATCATGTATAGTCATGGGACATTTTATACTTGTATAGGATATTGCACAAGTGTTATGATATTTTTAATAGGCTTCTTAAACAATGTTTACATCTATGACTTTGAAAAAGTAAAATTTTCTTAATTGGTAACATATTTTATAATTCTTTGTAATTCGCCTTGCAGTAAATGTTCTTTGATCTAATTTTAAAATCAGAAAAGTATCCCATATTCACTTTACATTTATTCATTTACATTGCGGTTTTATGCGCTCACGAAATTGTGAAGCAAAGGAATGTTCAATTTTATGTAAAACCTAGTCTCTGAAGTGATGATAAGCTAATTAATTATATGCACATGTACATATGGACAAAAATAGAACGAAATGAATGTATGCACATTTTTTTATGCAATAAATGGAGCGTCTCTATTTTTTTTTCTTTGCATATCTTGTACGTAAAAACGAAAAATTATATTTTTCGCATGGGAAAAGTGGATAATAGTTTAACTGAAAAAGTTACAGAAATTTTGATACGAGCAAGTTTGTATATATTTGCTCCTAGAAAGAAATGATAAAAATATAGTGCTTGTCAATACATACTAGTACTGGACCCAGGAAAAACAGATTCTTAACTTGATTCGCACAAAATTCTTCCAGTAGTCGTATGGGTACGGGAAACACTTTTTTAATTAAATTCACGTTTCCACAAGTATAAATGTACATAGAAGTACATACACAATTATTTATATGTTTTGGGTTTATATGTTCGTTCATTCATTTGTTCATTTGCTTGTTCGTTCGTTTGTTCGATCATTCGGCAGCTCATGCAATCGTTTCATGTTGTTTTGCTTGCTTATAAGTTTACCCTTTCCATGAACATTTGTTGAATTATTATAACAGAGGAACGACACTGCTACATATAAATAGCTATAACATCGTGGTTGAATTTTTTAAATCAATAGCAGATGTTGTATAAGTCGTTTTTGATCATTTTAACATATAACATTCATAGCCTCACATCACTGTTAATAGCCAATACACGTTGCGATTTTTTCTTATTTTTTTTATTTACCTTTTATTTTAAATATATAAAGGCTATTTACATTTTTATATTAACAACTCAGGTAAAACTTACAAAAAGTATGAAAAACTTGTGTGTGCACAAATTTTTTTTTTTTTTTTTAGCTATAGTTAGCTGTTATGCTAAAAAAAAAAAAAATTCAAAAAACTACACATGTAGAGATGAATTACATTTTCCCTACACATTATACTTGTGTGTGTATATATATACATGAATAAAACCACACGGCAATGTTAAAACCTTATGAACGTTTCCCTTGTAATTTTCATTTCCCCACTCATTTGTCCTCTTAATTTCCCTATTATTTTTCTTTTTTTTATGTCACAATTTAAGAGCTATAGAATTTTTTTTGACCGTTATTTGTTTTACTTCATTTTCACCAGTTAAATTTTCTTTATTTTGTATTATATTTTAATTTATTCCTTTTTCTTTTTTTTTTTTTTTTACTTTTTAATAAAATCAAATGTTGCACTGAAATTTTCTGCAAAATAGTGCATAAAAAAAAAAAAAAAAAAAAACGCAAAAGTGTGTGAAACGCCTTTGACTGATAAATCATAATAATACTTTTTGGTGTGGATATTTGATTTTTTTTTTTTTTTTTCCTTACCTGTTAACAAAAGTGCTGCCACACTTGTAAACTTTTGTTTTATTTTGCTTAATTTTGTTTTATTTTGCTTAATTTTGTTTTATTTTGCTTAATTTTACTTAATTTGACTTGATTTACCATATTTTATTTTTTTTAGAAATTCCATTGTTTCCCTTGACTTTCCTTTTTTCCCCTTCTTTTATTTTAATTAATTTCTCACCTTACCATTTGCACATTTTTCCGTCATTTTCTCTATTCACTTTTTTTTGTTTTTTTTTGTTATTTTTTTGTTTTTTTTCTTATCGTTAGCACATTGACTCAATTGTGTTTAATGCTCACACATATACTGACTAATTTATTTATGTTTAACGTATATTATTTTTTTTTGTAACAAAATGTAATCCGTTAAATCTTATTAAGCAAAAGAATAAAACACACATTAAGAGAAAGAAGAAAAAAAAAAAAAAAAAAGAGAGAAAAAAAGTAAAAAAAAAAAAAAAATTGCTAATTGTTTAATACAGAGTACTTATTAAATCATTTGTTATTTTCTTTTCTTTTTTTTTTTTTTTTTTTTTTTTTTTTTTTTGCTTTTTCTCTTCAATCCTCTCCTCTTTCCTTAAGAAAGATCAAAAAGATTACGAATTAATCCAACACAGAATCGGCTAATATTGATACATGAACGCATGTTAATCGATTACGCAAAATAAATAATCGGACAAATTAAGACTGTTAATATTTGTAAATAGAAACCAGCAAAGATTTACACACACACAAACGTGCCTTTATGGGTTTATATATGCACAGATAGATACATAAATATAGAAATTAGGCATATAGAAAACTCAATTGAAAAGCCTGCGACAAGCAACCCCCACATACATTTCACCCATATCGAGCGCATCGTGCATTTCCATCATTTTTTGGCACTATTGTTAACTGCCACCAATAACGATAATAATTATATAACGCGCATTCATCCACTGAATCAAGTCGAAAATAATTTTACACAATGGGTAATTATTGTAGAAAGAATAGAGCAAAGGAACCTAAACGTAGAGACATAGATGAATTAGCTGAACGTGAAAAATTGCAGAATGAAATTCCTGAAGAATCAGAGCAGGTTCCAGAAGATGTAGAAGAACTTAAAGATCAACAAGAGGAACCTCCAGAACAAGACGAGTTAAATGATGAAGATATAGATTACCCTATTCAAGAAAATAAATCTTTTGATGAAAAAAACTTAGATGATTTAGACAGATCAAATTCGGATATCTATTCAGAATCACACAAATATGATAACACAAGCGATAAATTGGAAACAGGTTCACAATTAACCCTATCAACAGATGCTACTGGCATAGTACAACAAGTTACCAAATTGACTGAACCAGCCCATGAAGAAAGTATATATAACACATATAAATCGGTTACACCATGTGATATGAATAAACTAGACGAAACAGCGAAAGTATTTTCAAAAAGATGTGGATGTGACCTAGGAGAACGTCACGACGAAAATGCCTGCAAAATATGTAGAAAAATCGACCTCTCTGATACCCCATTATTAAGTTGAAAGGTGAATTTCCACAAGAACATATATTAGATGAATATCTATTTAGGAATTTATATGTACATACCTTTTTTGTGTGTGTTTTTTGTAACATCCGTACCCTCTAACACCTAATTGATTGATATACATTTTGATGCACATGTGAAGAATCCCCTTTTGGGCACAGAGCATGTGATTTTGTGAAAGATGCTTATGTGACGACCAACATGATCATTTTTTTTTTTTTTTTCTTTTTTTAAAGTTTCCAATAAAGTTATTAAAATTATTTTCCTCTGACATTTTATGTAACTTTATATATATCTCTATGTGTGCATGGATATATACATGCAGGCATATTTGGTAGATTTATTCGTAGGATGTATGCATATGCGCATACACATATTCATCTTTAATTGTTTCTCTACATCCATGCATATTTCTTAATTCAATGTGAAGTAATACGTATATTTTTTGTAATACATTATTTTTGCCTTGTTCCGCTGTTGATATAGCAAAGCTTACATCTTTACTCTTTCATCTAATAAAGATTTAGTTCGCTGCAAATTGGGCGAAAAAAAAAAAAAAAAATTAAATTTTGATAATGTTTTTTACATCACAATATTAATGTTATTATTGTAGTATAATTAAAATAGTGATCAAAACAAAAATAGAAATTGACAAACTTCTTCATGTTATTAATATTGCCTATATTTTACTTTTTTTTTTTTTTTTTTTTTTTTTTTTTTTTTTTTCCCTTTTTTTTTTTTTTTTTTTATTTTTTTTTTTTTTTTTTTTTTCCTATTTCCCATTTTTAGAACTTAACCAAATTGTCACTATGTCATCTTTACATTCAACCTTATTCCCGCTTTCCCCCCATGTTTAACTTATTTATGTGAATGAAAATAATTTAAATTTTCACAATTATTATTTTATTTCATTGCAATTTTGTGTATTTCTATACATTCATGTATACTCCATCATTCCACTTTTCACACAACATACACATGAAGCAATTATTTAGCCACATTGGTTTTTTGTCAGTGGCTTATCAATGAAAATTTATTGTAATCTTCAGTACACCAAGGTGTTTATTTTTCTTGTTTTATTTTATTTCATTTTATTTTTTTTTTTTTTTTGTTTCAAACAAAAAATTTGGGTGATAAACACAACGATATGTTTTGTTTTTCCATCTACAGTTTGTATATGCATTCGTACAATAGTAGAATACCCCACATGTATATACAAATGCATGGATATACACAAGTACAATATACTTATATATCTTTATACCCATGTACAAAGCATACATTATATGTACATTTGGTGCTTTAAACGTTAACAAAACGTCTTCAAGCCCAAATAAAAAAGATAAGACAAAAGAAAACATAAAAAAGAAAAAAAAAAAAAACGGCGAAAGGTGAACTTGCCTTATGTTAACAATTAACATGTATAAAACATTTGAATATGAACAAAGAATTTTTACAAATTTTAATTAATGGCCCCTGGTAGGCCTTGTAAATCACAAAATACATGTATTCCTTGAATTCCGCAAATATAGGTATACTAACAAGTACCATATATTTTAATGTAACTATACACATTATAAGGTTGAACAAAAAAAAAAAAAAATTAAATTAATAAAAAAGTTGTTTTTAATCCATAATCAACAGGAGACATATAATTTCTCTTAATGTATCACAAATTTTATGATGTTATACAACACTATTAACGTTAATTTTTTTCGACTTATAATGGTTTATCATTATTTTATTTAATTCAGACAATCCAAAGTTTTCTATTTGCTCTTTCTTGTCTTCTTCGTTCAATCCGTAAAAGCTAGCAATGTTCGCAAACTGAAATCAGAACCATTGTGTAGGAATGGAAATGACGTATATCTGTATATAGGAACATCAAATTGTTTTTAAAAGTTTTCCTGATATGAAATTTTGAATAGTCATAACGCTTAACGCTACACAATGACTTCCTTCCACTTTTAATATTTTCAAATTACGTTAAAATGTGGGTCGTTATTGCTTTCTCTAATTTTTTCCGTGAGCAAATATGTCTATAAAAAAGGGACAAAAAAAAAAAAAAAAATTAACTAATTTTTTTTATCAAATAAAATGTTAGGGTATTATTTTGTTTCTTTTAACCATGTGTATTAAGTGGGTGGGGTTACAAAAGTAGGAATGTGTCTTATAATCAACTATAGCAATTTTGTGGCACTGATTTTTGAAGGAGTTTTCTTGGTATTGTTCTTTGGTGTCCTACATAGCACGAAGTCGGTTGCACCAATTGGTGTTTTTGTGGTATATATGAGCACAGGTATAGAATCATCATAAAATTATTGCAAGAAAAACAGAAAAAAAACGTTATTTTTTTTTTTAATGATAGGTAAAACTGTTGAACATATTAGTTCGACCTTTGTGATAATTCACCATCTTTTTATATAACCCGAATAATTGATATGAAATTTGGCGATATTATATAAAGTCTCTCTAACTGTTTGCTTCATTTTTTTTCTTTTTTTTTTTTCCATTTTACCTCACATATTTCATATAAATCTTCTATCAAAATGTTGTTTAAAAGATAATTTTTCTTTTTTATATCCTTTAGCATAGTTAAGTCATCAGTGGAATGATTTATTTTGTTTAGGCAGTTTTTTATCTTATCGCAACATTTACTTAAATTGGTATTCATATTTTTATCATTTTCTTCATGATGTTCAACTTGATTGATTTTCTGAGCTGCATATATGTTAGGTGGAAAATACAATGGTATATTTGCTATTTGTGGTTACTCCCATAAGCTCTTACGTGTGTTTTCGATTTTTGCTACTATTTGTCATTTTACTTCAAGATAGAATAGTAGCTAAGCTGTATCTCAAACGAATGTATGCAATGGAATAAGTGTGTAATCACACAAGAAAAACCAACAAGAACAAAAAAAAAAAAAAAAAAAAACCTTGTTCACAAATGTACACACATTTGCTAGGTATACATATCTCATGATACAAAATGCATCTCAGAAAATAACCTGCTATTTCAACCTTCACAAATTCGTTATGTAGTGTTCCTTCCACATTTTTACATATTAAATTAACACGGGATATGTCATTATGCTAGTTCGTTGTAAAATATGGGTGTTGTGTAATGTGTGCATATGATGGTGCAGATATGATGGTTCGGGTGTGATGGTTCCGATGTGATGGCTTGGATGTGGTGATTCAGGTTTGGGTGGTTCCGAGTGATATTGCAGATGTGGACACAAAGGTGAGACACTTAATAATGAATAGCCACGGAGATGTGTAAAACTGAACAAAGATGTGTGGTACACACGTATCTATATGATCAAAATGGGGAATTTTGAGAAAACCCTTTTACCGATTAGAGTCTCACCAATTCGATTTCTTCCTTTTCCATGTTTTTCAGCTGCTTGCAGATGCTTTCTATGTCTGATATTAGCTAGTCGTAATGATTTCGAAAACAAAAATAACAATAGTGAATAGAATAAAATAGTTTAAATAACGTAGAGGACGCGTGGGGGAAATAGATATTATCGCTTATGGCGAAGAGATGGCAAATAAAAAAAGAAATATTTGGAAAAGGCAATTTGCCTTATTTTAAAAGCGAAATATGTGTGCGTATGAAGATATTACCTCCTTTTCGCTTTTCTGCAACTCCTTTTCAGTAGTTTTCATCTCTTCTATTTGCATGTGAATTAAGCGGTTCTTTGATTCCAGATCGTTTATCTGGTTCAACAATTTTTCTACACCTTGTTCCATTTTAAAATATAACCTCCCAAGTATAAGTGAAATGTGTATATATTTTTTTTCTTATTTAGATTTATGTTCTTTATTATTATTTTACTATTATTATTTTTTGTATTCAAGCGTGCATACATATAGACATTTATCAAGTAATGGAGAACACTTGTGAAATTTTTTATATTTTGGGAGAAAGGATAAGCACATGGGGAATTAGAAGTTTTTTTCACAGTACTTTTTTACGAACATATTTTCATTTTTTTTACTTTATTTTTTTGTATTTCATTTTTTTAACAAATATGAAATTTCGCACAAAGGTAAAAAAAATAAATCGTTATGTAGAAAAATTGCAACATGGCACTTATTTTATTTCCCGAACTATTGTATATACACAAACCAACTTGCAGCTCTTTTTTAAAATTTTCACGTTTAGGGGTAACTTAAAATGATTTTTTTTTTTTTTTTTTTTTTACCTTTCTTTATATTTGATTCGTTTGAATTTTTCATGTGTCATAAAAGTTAATCGGACTGGATGAAATGTCATCAAAAAGTTGTATGTTTGTGCAAGGGCTTTTCCTATTTTTTTATTATTTTTTACTATTTTTTATTATTTTAAATATTTATATTTTTTTTAATTATTTTAAATATTTTTATTATTTTTTATTTGTGCATACTTTTTTTTTTATTTTATTATATTTTTTTATTTTTTTCAGAAATCTCGATAGACATGCGTAAATGAGGAGCTAATAATTTTGGCTAGATGGGAACACAAAGCATAAGCACAACAATGCTGGCCGTGGGAGCATATGTTCGGATTTTTCTATATTCGACGAAATGTTAAAAAATGTGAAATATAGATATGGTGTCCTTATACATTTAAAACAGAGATTGTGTGTCGCATGGAAAATGTGCTAAAATTATTCTACAATTTTTATTTCCTCTGTGTTCAGGTTCACAAATTTTGCATAATTTTGATGCCTGCCGTTTATCGAATTGTTCAAGATAAAAATTGAGAAATGCAAATAAAAAAATCATAAGAATATATATATATATATATATATATATATATATATATATATGTATGTATACGTGTATGCTCTTTGGGGCTAGCTCTAATCATTCATTAGTGCGATTATTTTGCAAGGGTTAAGAAGATACTTTTGCCATTTGTGTTTTTTCTTCTTCATATTTATGCCGCCAATTTTTTCTCCATAGGATAATCTCTGACCCCCTTCTCCTTTTAGCATCTTTCTGATCGAACGTATGAATCAATTTCACAGCTGATTTGAATCAGTATTTGAACGAACTACGTATAACACCATTTTTCTTCACTGGTTCAAAATTTCAAAAAGGTGATTGGTCATTCAATGATCTTTAACTATAAGGGAAAGATTAAGGGTGTAAGAAATTTTTACGCTTTCTTTAATCATAGGAATAATGAAAAGGCATGTAACTGTTTTTTTTTTTCCGTTTTGTTGCCAAATGAAGGAAGAAATAGAAGATCATCAATCGGCGGTATTATAAACACGCCAACAGGATTAATTGTAAAATGTGTGAATGACACATATAAGTCTAAAAACTTCAATAAAATAAAATGGAATTGTATAAAGAATGATATATTAAAAAATATAGATAAATTTCATACAAAAGAAATATTAAAAATAGCAAATATTGTAAGTCGTTTGCATTTTGGAAAAAATATTTTAATGCAATTTATAAAAGTACTGAAATGTAGGTTAAATAACATAAATGCTGATAATATCACACGAATTATGATTTCTTATATAAAGGCAAATATTAAGGATGATTTATTTTATAATGAACTATGTTCAATTATTAAGAATAACTTGCAGCATATATCACACTCCCTCTTAATTAATCTTGTGTTTAACATTAATAAGTGTAATATAAAAAATCACAATATTATGTATGTGCAAAAATTGATATTGTATCATCTCATATCACATTTTGACTTTGAGGGTTTTCAAATTGAAGGTTCATTTTTTGAAAAGTTAAATAATTCGGCTAGAACCATGAGAGAATGGGAGAAGACTCATGGTGTCTTGGAAGGAGAGGAAAGCGAAAATAATTTCAAAAGGAATGAACTAGGTGACGCGGCTGATGTTGGTGTAGCAAGCGAAACTACAAAAACAGATATAGAATCACATGCAGACGAATCAGGATTTTTCAAATCTCCAGTTCATACTAATTTATACGAAGGAAAAAAATATGATGAAATACTACTTTTCTATTCACTTAGCAATTATGTATTTATGACTTACTTAGAGAGTCAATGTAATTTTGCATTATGTGATGATTTTGCAAAATGTTTAAAGAATTGTTTCTGTACAATGAATAAAGCCAGTTTTGCTAGTGAAGAAAGACGTTTAGGTGAATTCCCTCCATTTTACATATTTTTACTTTATAAGGCAATTCTAAATGGTATATACATTTTTGAAGACAAGAACATAAGCTGCACTTTGCTATTCAAGGTTAAAGACAAAATTAATAATGTCTTAATACAATTAAAAAATAAAGAAACTTTTATGAAAAAAGGAAAAACAAATGAAATTATAAAATATATAAATATATTGCAGCAGAATTTATTTCATTATTCACAAAACAGAAAAACTCATTTTCTTAATCATTTTGAAAATAATGTTGCGTTAGTTAAGACTATGTTATCTATCTTACAGGAAAGTAATCAAAATGACATCAACAGGTACAAAATTAAGAACGATATGGATTCAAATTGATAATTGACTTTGTGTGTGTGGGGAGTCACTTCCTCATGTGATCACATTGTCCATATACATGTATATTTCCCTTAACACGGACGAGCATGTGTCGAGCCTTTTCCCTGCATATATGTACATGCACATATATATATAATTGTGGCAATTTATCTATCCCCTCATTTGAATAAAGAACAAATAAATCACCATGCTTTTCATGTCTGAGCGTGCTACGCCTTTTCATTTTTACACTTGTATCCTCTTTTTTAAAATTTTTTCAATTTTGCAGATATTACTCATGGCACAGGGAAAAAGTTGAAGAAGTGCAAAGAATTATAAGGTTAATTGAAATGGAATAATATATACACGAAAAAAAAAAAAAAAAAATGGACAAAATGAAAAGAAAACATATTTTTCTTCAAAGTTTTAAATACACTAATGTGTGCAGAGAAAATCTGAACACAATGTACATAAAAATATTCAAATATTGTACATGTGCGTGTGTAGGGGGTGGGGATAAAGGCTTCTATTCTTCGAAACCGTTTTGTTGAACGATGTCAATGAAGTCCTGATGGTGTCAGATTAAGGGTTCAGCAAGAAAAATGAAAACAGAGATATGAGTGTGAAAACAGAATTTGTATTATTATATATATTGTATATATGCGTCCTTATGTATGTGTTCTTATGTATGCGTGCTTATATATATGTGTGTGAGTGGTGGTTCATATGGGAACAAAATAACCTCCCCTTTTCCTTGGCTCATTTGTAAAGGCATGCATGTTATTATAAGCACATATCCACCAGCACCCCGTCTCTTCTGCTCACAGTGCATATTTTTAGATAAAGGGGACTATGGATTATAGGATACTTACAAAGTTATATTCGTCCTCCTCAGAATCCTCAAGTTGGGTAGATAGTTGATCGTTTATTTCAGTTTCTTTTTCAAGTAGGGAATTATTTAGAATTTCCAAGTTGGTAAAACGGGCAAAATTCAAAAGGTTCAAATTTTTACTTTCTTTCTGGAGTCCATTATAATTTTCTGATTTAATATTACACAGGCCTACACAGAATTAAAGGTGTTTTTAGCGTTTGTAATGAGAAGAGGTGAAAGAGAATTATTTCAAACTGTTAGGGTGTGGAAAGTAATTTTTGCATCCAAGATATTTTGTGTATTTTCTTATTTTCCTAATTGGATATTTTACCATGTGCGTATTTTATTTTATATTTTTATTTTATTATTTTTTTTTTTTTTTCGCGTCATATGATCGCAGTATACGCAGGTACAGTACGTATAACTTTCTTTTCCGTATGTATGTATAAACAACGAAGCAAAAAAAAAAAAAAAGAAGAAAGTAAAAATAAAAATCAAAAAAGGGGTATTTTCATTTTTCTCGTTTACTGCATAGTTCTCTATAGTTTTCTCTGTTGAATAGACAAGATATCTGCAGGGAGAAAATTGGAAAAAAGTAAATCATGTTTTGGTATTGGTGTGTTGGGATATACTATATGGATAACTATATAATAACACTTCATAAAAATGATCAAAAAACACCTGAACACGTATATACACAGATATGCAAAGGTAATATGTTTTTTGCAATTTACCTTCTTTAATATAAGACAAACGAAATTCAAATAATTCGCAAAAAATAAAAATGTTTTGAAATAAAAATTTCTTGAATTTCTTCCATATGTGGAATATAGTATGCTTGTGACCAAATTTATCATTTTACCTTTTTATTTGTTTTTCCTCTGTTTATTTTAGTTCATATAATTGAGTACGTTCTCGCCTCTATAAGTAAATAACGTATTTATTACTTTTAAAAAAGAAAAGAAAAAAAAGTTATCCACAGGTTAAAAATTTCTGGACAAAGCAATGATTTTTTTTTTTTTTTTTTTTTTGCAACACACTTCTGGGATGAACGTCTGAAAAATAATATTTTATCTTTATAAAAATTTCGCAAAATAAATAAGCGTAACACCCGAAAATGTATGCAGAGCGAAGGGTGATTTGCTGAAGTGTTTTTAACCGTTGTGGTAGGAATGATATATTCTACGTTAAGATTCCTTTTGGATGCATGTGCATACTCTTCGGGAGCATGTTAGCGAATAGAACTCATCTTTTGTGACGTATGGAAGAGGACACTTGTCATCGTAATGTTTTTGGACTTTTTCATTCACTCTTTCGTTCGTTTATTCGTTCATTCGTTCATTTGTTCATTCGTTCATTCGTTCATTCGTTCATTCGTTCATTCGTTCATTCGTTCATTCGTTCATTCGTTCATTCGTTCATTCGTTCATTCGTTCATTCGTTCATTCGTTCATTCGTTCATTCGTTCATTCGTTCATTCGTTCATTCGTTCATTCGTTCATTCGTTCATTCGTTCATTCGTTCATTCTTTCATACTTCTTTTTTTTTTTTTTTTTTTTTTTTTTTTTTTTTTTTTTTTTTTTTTTTTTTTTTTTTTTTTTTTGTCCTTTTCTTTCCCTGTTTGTTTTTTTGTTTATATTTTAAATGTCCAAACATGCAATCAAAATGATGGATAAGCAAAATTTTACTGTTCACTAGAAAATATCAAAGTGGTTATGAATTATGGAAATGAACATGTTGAAACTTTCTGGGTAGTATTTTATTATTATATTGTTACTTTTTCTCCTTTCCTGATAGATATTATATGAACATTTCATTTGTTCCATCATTTGAACATTTTTTTTTTTTTTTTCTCAATTATTAATCCATTTTATGTTATTTTCACATTCAATATATGTTCCATCTTACAAAAATTTTTACATGACAAAACATTTGTTTGGGTTGCACGAAAGTTGCATTAATGCATGATTGCACGCTCCCATAGAAAGGTTGGGCAAATGGAATTTATTAATTTGGAAAATAATTAAAGGAGGGATGTTGAAAATGTGTGGAATAGGAAAAAATGTTTTCAACATATGAAAATGGCTGGATTCCCCAAAAAATAAAACTAAAATAAAATAAAAATAGCACACTATTGTATGACATTTGTTAACGTGTGAAATGAAAAAAAAAAAAAAAAAAACTGGAAAACCTAAAAATGAGCAATATTGATGTGTGAAAGATATTATTAAATGTGTAATTTTTTCTAATTATTCGACTCCAAAAAAAAAAAGAAGTATTGTCTTCTTGTTCATTCCATTTTGAACACTCACGAGTTTCAGCATTTTTATCAATTATACGTCTACTGATGGAATGGCATAGCTTTTTAATGGTACAAGTGGAGAGAAGTTGTTCTGACATTGTTCTGTCATTCTTTTACACATATGCATACACATTTAGATAAATGAATATATATGCATACGTGCAAGTTCATACATGACCACGCAAAAGTTACAAAACCTTAAAATGAATAAACGTTTTAACATAAAAAAAGGGAACGTATTTGGGGTGGAGAGGCAAAAAAAAAAAAAAAAAAAAAAAAAAAAATTATTAATCTTTTATTTTATTTTATTTTATTTTTCTACAGCTTGGCAAGCGCGTTCAGTTACTGTAATGCAGATCAATGCATGGTTTATATTTACTCCCTTTGCTGATATAATATTTTGGTGCACAAAAGTATAAATATGGTACATACATTACCATGTGCCTTGTTAAACAAATTGAACTTGACCAAGTCAGGGACCTCGTTTGGTTAAGGCATGCGGATTAACGCATCTGTGAGACAGTGCTCATGGTTGATGTGTGGATGCTGCATGGGTATAAGTATAGACATAATTCTTAGCAACATTTGCATCCTTGCAGCGCTTATTCAATTTTTCTTTGTTTTATTCCTTTACTAACAGCGTTCCTAGAACAAGCACTACGTCTCCCACTGCTACTACCACTACTATAACTACAGCTGCCATCACTACTGCTGCCACCGCTAGTACTTCCATCGCTAGTACTACAAAAAAATAGACAAAATTTTTCTTACGGCATTCGCATCTACAATGCTTCAACGTACACGGGCCCTACCCCCACGGAGAATTCAATTGCCTTCAATGCAAGCCGTGTCCAATCCCAGCTGTTTGAGTACGGCCTTATAATTTTCCACATTTCTATGCAAGATTTCTTCTATTGGACCTAGAAGTCTCTTAAAGCTTTTTCTGTCTAGATAAACGACTTGGCAAGTGTTTTTTGCCTTTACAGTAGCAGCTCTGGGTTGATTTTTCAAAAGAGCTAATTCTCCAAAATAATCGCCCTTATTATATGTCTTAATGACAGTATTATTTTTTAAGGCCAAAGCATTTCCATCAATGAGTATGTAAAATGTATCACCTTGTTCACCTTCATTTATAATTATTTCTTCATCTAAGAAGGTTTTTGTTTTTAAACAATCAGCAACCTTAGATCGCTCATATGGATCCATGTCTTTCAATATAGTAATCTGCTTTAACACATCTTCGTACATTTTTCTTTTTTTCGCTACGTTATCCTTGATTATATATGTAAATGATTCTCTGTCTAATGCCCATAAATGGCATTTTGTTAATGCTTTTGCAGTTGCAGCTCTTTTTGAATTATATAATAGAGCTAATTCTCCAAATACATCAGTAGGTTTTAAAAGTGTTAATATTTCTTTTTCCTTTCCTTTAGTTTTGTAAATTTCTACCTCTCCTTGATCAATTACATATAACAAATTACCATCATCTCCTTCGTTGATTATATTTACATTTGGTTCAACATGTTCATCAAAAAATGCATCTACAATTGTTTCCATTTCTGTTTTGTTCAAATGGTTAAATAAGAAGGATTCATTTAGCGCTTCTCTTAATTTCGCTTTCTCACTCTCTTCTTTCTTATAAACCTTTGGAACAAAATTCAATTTTTTTTTGTTCCATTCTCCGTATGCCTCAGCACTTACTGACAATCGTTTGCTCTGTCTGACACTTAATCTATCTAGATCCAGTTCTTTAATTTCAATTTCTTTCTTATCTACTTCGCTTAGGCATTCCGTTTCGTCACCATCACTGGAGAATTCATCATCTGTGTTCAGGAAGGGGAAGTTAAAGGGAAAATATTTCAGAAAACTCTTATTTAAAATGGATTATCAAAACATATTGGTTCCATAAGGGGAAGAGATGTTCTTCCTCATAACATCACAATGAAGATCAATTCATGGAAAGGTGAAAAACAGAGAGTACTTACTTATTATGTTTTTCTTATTTGAGGAAAGGTTGATATGGGGGTTCATCTTTGAACATTCATTTTCGTTCTGGATGTCATTATCCGTTGACTTATTTTGTGAATTTCCATCTTCTCGTTTATTTGTAGAGGATGAATTGGATATATTACTTTCCCCTTCATCAACACTTCCCATAGATTTATCGCTAAGAATGTTTTTTTTACTATTTCGTCTTATTTTTTCTTCATATTTTTCAAATTGCTCCTGTATATCTTTGTCATTCATGTTTGATGAATTCTGTTCATCTGAAATCTCCTTCTTCCCTTGTCTCCTTTTAAAAATGAAGAATTAAAGTACAAAAGTCGGTGTATAACTTTACTGTTATTGTTATTATTATTATTGTTATTATTGTTATTATTATTGTTATTATTATTGTTATTATTATTCTTATTATTATTCTTATTATTATTGCTATTATTATTGCTATTATTATTCTTATTATTATTCTTATTATTATTTTTTTTTTTTTAATTTCGAAGGTGGGATGTAATGTGGATCATATGCATATACAATAAATTTGTAACGTGTGCAAACATGCGTAAATGTGTACGCTGCGCTAAAATATTTTTTTGTTAAAAATGTATTTCACATTGATGCAAAAAATGAAATTGCGCTGTTTGAAAAATTGCACTGTTTGAGAATTTACACTACTTTAAATTCTCTGTGGATAAGCAGTTATATGTTATTCTCTCATGACCATGCAGCTAATGTGTTGCCATTCCGCTTCTCCCTCTTTGCTCTCGTTTGCTACACATTTTCTTATGCATTTCGTTGTGCATCTCGCCAAGCATTCTTTGCAATTTTTGCCACACATTTCTGTGCGGTTTTCGCCACACATTTCTGTGCAGTTTTCGCCACACATTTCTGTGCGGTTTTCGCCACACATTTCTGTGCGGTTTTCGCCACACATTTCTGTGCAGTTTTCGCCACACATTTCTGTGCAGTTTTCGCCACACATTTCTTTGCAGTTTTCGCCACACATTTCTTTGCAGTTTTCGCCACACATTTCTTTGCAATTTTCTTTGTACACGTATTTTGTGCATTTCTTTAACATTTTACTGTTTCATTTGCACATCTCTTTATTTTTCTCATTTTTCAAACATCCGCACACACCTTTTTTTACATTTTAAAAATGCAAATTTTTCAAGTCAAAGTGTCTAATTGTTGAGAAACTTTCGACATTTTGGTGGGGGTTTACATTTCCTCTTATTTTGAGTTGTTACTTTTTGTTTGCCACCCTCACCTCCCCCCCTTTTTGCTTCTCCTCTTTGTGCTTTAATTTTTTTGAAACTTACCACGTGCACATATTGCCCATTTTGCTATTTTGGGGGGTTTCAGAAAAAAATTTACACTTTATTTCGTGCTATCGGACAAAAAAAAAAAAAAAAGGTATTGATAAATGAAGTATATACTTTTGTTTTCTATTTTGAGAAATCAAAAAAGAAAAAAAAAAAAATGACAATGGTAAATGTTTCCACATATGAATATATATATATATATATATATAATATAATATAATATAATATAATATACATGTATACATACATGTTCATGTATGTATATTTACATTTACACGTACACATGCTCCTACGTAGGTAATATATCTTTCCTTTGTTCATTTTCGTGATACAACGATTACCACCAAGTGAAGCTTTTATTCTCTTATCACAATGCCACACAAGTTCGTTTAAGACTACGTAGGTGCGTTATATGCAAATAAGCTTACGTGTATATATACATTTATATACACACGTCAACACATAGGTAAAAAATCTCAAGTCTGTACATGGTAATTTTAGCGATTCCAGGAAGCCAAACATGCGCAAAAAAAAAAAAAAAAAAAAAAAGGGTAAATATGTAAATACAAGCATATGTACATACAACGCTTATGTACATGTGGAATATGCAACTTAGAAAAGTAGTGTCCATAAATCGTAGTCATATGTAATATGACACAAAATGTGGAAAAGTTACACAAAAGATGGAAATTCCCTCCTTATTTGTGTGTACAAAGCACCTTATGAATGGATAAAAAAAAATGTCTTTCAGTTTGTTTAGTTTGATGAAATTTTGAGGAAAGGAGATTAAAATTATTATGCCTTTGTATAGAAATAATTATTTCTAATTCTTGTATTTTGAGAAGAAACCTTTGTAAATTTTTCCTTTTCTCTACACTGTAGCAATTTCCTCATATTTTATTTATTTGTACAATAAGTATGCAAAATATAAATACTTCACTACGTGGGTTGATGCCCTTAAATTCTGCCCAAATTTTTTTATGCAGTTGACTTATTCTGTTTCTTTTTTTTTTTTTTTTTTTTTTTGCTATTATGTAATACTACAACGATTTTAAAAATGTCATCCGTGTGTAAACGTGATTAAGCAAAAAAAAAAAAAAAAAAAAAAAATGGAAAAAAGGGAAAGCAGAATTATCATTTCAAAAATATTTGTTAAGCTTTGCTTTTATTTAAGATTTCTCCTCCACCACTAACTTTTTTAACCAAATGTATGACGTGTAAGTTTGTATTATTATTACCTTCCCACGATTGGCATCATGCTGCATTTTTACAAACAACACTATATCGTGCAACATTTCACTGCAAACAGTTGATTTACATTAATTCAAAAGGTCAACTAACATGATTAGTTTGTCTTAAAAAGCAAGACGAGATATAAAGAAAATAAAGGGACTCTTATGATACGCCAAATTAATCTTTCAAAAGTAGTAACATATAAATTTTCCTTTTAGAATGTAACAGGCTAATTAAAAAGGGGGAAAAAAAAAGTGAAACATCTACGAGTTATACTTTTTATTATTATTTTTTTTTTAATTGTAAACTGTTTACATTTAAAAATAATTGCTTCCCCATCCCAATAAAGCAAAAAAAGCAAGGCACAACCTTTGGAGGGGACGATTCCATTTATGGAATTACAAAATGAGCAACACTTATTACATTACTACGTTATTACGTTTTCAAAGTAACAACACACAAAAATTAGCGAAAAAAAATAAAAAAATTCAAAATGGGGGTGATATATACATTCTAGCTTAAAAAGCAAAAATATTCATCATGTCGCCTTTGAAAAACTTATACCTTTTAATTCCCCTTTTATCTATTTCTTATTTTTTTCTTCAAAAGAACAAAACTGCATTGTCAGCAAGGAAAATATCATAGCTATTTGTGTACATTCTAAGATGCATGGATAAACAATCTTAATGTATATTAATTTATGTTCGCCATAAACAAAAATATAGACATTAAATTTTACCAATTCGAACATTCCCCCCATTCTGTACTTATGCTACACACTTGTTTAATTTGAAAACGGTTCATTAACTGCATAATCACAACAACACTCAGTTTAAATTAACAAACGACCTGTTTTACTTTAAGTCTTATCAAGTGATATAATTTAAACACACAAAAATAGGGTCTTTTAATAAACGCATAGCTGTTTATTCCTTGCCTTTTAAGTGCATAAATCATCCATGTAGAAGTAATCTACTGGTGAGAGAAATTAGCATTTGAAGCACAAAATTGACATAATATATATATATGTGTTATGCAATTTCTTGCGCATACAAATAAAATGCTTTTTTTTTTTTTTTTTTATTTTATTTAAATGCACAAGATGAATTTCCCATAACAAAGATCATTCCTTTCAACCTCATCCGATAACTCTTTTAATAAAAGGTTTTTGTTTGTGCGCCCTTTTCCGCTTTAACCATTTGAAATAATATATTTTTTTTTTCTTTCTGTTTTTGAAATCTTGCCGTAAAATAGTTGATTATGAACATCTCTCACTATTTTCAGTTAAACATAGAAATGAGGAAGAAAAAAATGCATGATTTTTTATTTATTTATTTACATTTCTTTTAAGTCTTACCGTCGATGTCGAATAAAAAGAAGGGGAAAAAAAATATACATATATATATGTATAAATAGTACACTGCATAAGGTGGTAACATAGAAGACTCAATCTCGTAATGAATGAAGGAAAAGAAAGTATTTAAAAACAAATCACAGTGTTATGATGAACAAAAGTTGGGCACCCCTATAAACTCCTCAAAAAATAAATAAAATAAAAAAAATAATAAGGAATACAACATTGGAAATTAAATAAGTAACTTTTAATACACGTAATAACATATCCCCTTGTTACATAAAAAAAGGAATGTAATAAACGAATTTGGTTTTATGTATGTAAAAATTAGTGTAAACATATTGAGTGGAGAATATATATTTTTTTTTTTTTTTTAAGTAGCTACCACAATTTTACCTGAAACAGGGGAACATTTAAAAAAAAATTAAAAAAAAGTTATACTTAAAAGTTGCCCAAAGTTATTACATATATATATGCAAAAGTCACGTAGAACACGCATAGCCAATTTTCTTTTTAATCGCAGTTTTTTATGAATAAAAAAAAGCTGCTGTAACATGCTGAAATATGGTTACATGTAATAAAGCGAATTGTATTTTTGTTTGGAATGTAGTATCAATTGCTTTAGTCGCATTTTAGTTTGGTACGTTCATGTATGCGCCTATGAAGGGGCGAAAGAATGTATCAATGTTCTAATTTTTTTTTTTTTTCTGATCCAAGTCAAACACAAAAAAATGACAAACCAGGAAAGAGACTCGATCACAAAGTAGCAATTAGCAAGTGGTAAATACCGAATAACATAACACATGCCTGGGTAAATAATATGAACGGTATAACACTTATATATACACAATACGCAACACAAAAAAGAAAACAGGAATATTTTCCCATCGTCAGCAGCAAAATCTGTGTAGCACATATATAAAAAAAACGGAATGATAAAAAACGAGACGTATAAGGGGAAAAAGAAAGCTAAATTTTGAGTAAACAAAAAAGAAAAGAAGTAGAAAAAAGGGACAAGAAAAAGGAACGGAACAAAACTGAATAAACTAAACTGAGCAATCCAAATCGAACAATCAAAACTGAACAACCCAAATCGAACAACCCAAATCGAACAACACAAGCCAATCAAATCTAATAGAACAGTCCAAATAAAGCAATACAAAACGGAAGGTGCAAAATGAAAATATGTGAGAGCAAACTGCCGATAATCCCAATTGAGGACTCTAAGCATTATTCGTGCAGTGAAGAAAATGACACCATTAATCTGGAAAACAATTCGAATGATATAAATAGTTATCAAAATTTCTTGATTGGAAGTTCACCAAACAACGCGACAGAAAAACGCAGAGACAAAAATATGCATTCGTTAATAAAGAAGGAAAAAGGCACAAATAAAATGAACAGCAAGGTTGGTAGCAATGTTGGCAGTAACACTTATGGTAACATAGGCACTAATGTTCGTAGCACGATTCGCAGTAATAATGATATAGGCTTGAATTTGATAAAAAGGAAGAAGGGGGTTATGAGAAAAGACCCCTATGGAAGTACGCACCTAGTTCTTGGGAATTTAAAGAGCGGGAGAAAATTAAAAAGAAAGTTACTATGGAACAATTATTATGGAGATCAAAATACAAATGTATCTGAATTGTCGTACATAAAAGATTTTGAAAATAATTCCTTTATGCATGACAATAACCATCATATGATTTTATATGAAAATAAATATAGAGATTATAATGCCATAAATAACAGAGAAAGTCGTAGTGAAAAAATTCGTAATTTTTTTGTGTATTCCCCAGATATTATTCAAAGATGGCTAAGAGTTATATTTAATATTATAATAACATCATTAATAGTAACTTTGATATATTTTATATTCGTATCCGTTCGAGAAGATATAAATAAAAAGGTAGCAATTCAAGTACAAAATGTAAAGGAAGAATCAGACTCTTGTAAGAAACAATATTATGCACATAAATGTGGTAAAGTCAATTTACCTATATTAAATGAAAAGTGTGAAGAGTGGTTAAAATGCATGAAAACAGATCATAAATTATATCAAGACGTTTCTTTTTTATCAGCTCAAATGTTAGGACAAATTATTAATGCATTTATTGTTCAATTTGAATGGAAAAGCATTTGTGTAATTGCATTTATATTTCTTCTTATTTTTATTGGTAGTAATTATGCCTTATCTATTGGAGGTGGTGGAACCAGATCAAGTGCAAACGAGTATAATATATACAATCCATATATGAATAATCACCATCTTCCAAATAATAATATACCACTTTTCCCCTATTATAATTATTATCCATTCATACCACAAGCTGTGAATTATAATAGTTCAAGTAATAACGCAGATCCCCCAATGATGAATATCCCTTTCACACAAAATAAGTTTTATCAAAACGGTAGTTTTAGTAGACCCATTCCCCCTTCAAATTACAACTACTTCAATCATTATATGAACAACAATGAGAACAATGCTTCTACTCAATCAACCTCGAGAAATAAAGATTACTCGGATGCTTATAGTACATCTAAGGATGACACGAAGCGTGGATCCCAAAAATTGGGATTCTTAAAATATCTAACTCCAGGTTTCAAGTAGATCTAGGTTCGATTACATATTTAGTTCATAAAGTTTGTTGCATTTGTGCATATACCTTCTGTCTGCATGTTTTTCTATTTGTCCATCTATTTTTGTGCATGGACACTTATGGGGTATATGCAGTCCAACCCCCCAAAACAAACTTTACCTATACATATAATGATTGGTATTTTTGAAAATACTCTCAATATTGTCTTCTTATGCTTATTTGTACACACTTTGTATGTATTCCGAGGGATATCCCTTTGCTTCATATTTCATTTTCACCTTTAGAATATGCCTTTTTATGTCTTTGTCAAACACGCACAAAAGGTGTCAAATATGTTTTTTTTTTTTTTTTTTTTTCATAGCAACAATCATCCGTCTCTAAGCGTTTGTATGTACAAGAATTGTACATAATAAAAATCTCCATCTGTTACTATGCAAGCATGTGTTTTTATACCCTGGTTTGTACCATTCTGTGTGTTATGTGTACATATTTTTTTATGTGTTTGCACATATGCATATTAAAATAAAAAAAAAATGGAAAAATGAAAATAAAAATTTTCTTCTTTTTTTTTTTTTGTTAAATTTTTATAAATTAAAAAAATGCCCTTTACTTCATTTATTGCTTTTACTGCCTTTTTTTTTTTTTTTATAAAGCTTTAATTTTTTTTTTGGTTTACCAAAATGATATACCTGCTGCACACGTAGATTTTATTTTTTTTCTTTCCCGTCCTTATGTACATTTTTTTTATTTTTGAACACCATGAACTATTTGAATAATGTAATAGCACTCTTCATAAGAAAAAACTCATTACTCCAATAAGCACAACATACGAAAAAAGGCAAAACTACCACAATTTACTCTAATCAATAATATGTTTTTGAAGAAAAGGATTTTACAAAAAAAAAAAAAAAAAAAAAAGAATATGTAAAAATTTTGTAAATATAACTCGTATAGATAATCATTTTGTAAATGTAATTCGTTATACCGAATGAAAAATATGTAGGACTATAAAAAAAAAAAGTTAAAAATAGCACTAAACTAGGCTTATAATACAAATAGAGTATTGTAACCAAAATTAGTAAAGTGTCGATAAATGTGCAAACAGAATAACATGATGTAAAAATAAGTTTTACACACACACACAAAAAAAAAAAAAAAAAATTCCAGATTGTCCAAAAATTGTTGCCTAAATATGTGTTAGGTTTATTTGCCTTTAAGGTTTCGTAGAGAGTGAGGTGCGAAAAATGTTGCGTATATTTATCTTCATGTTAAAGTGGGCATCGAATGTGTAAATGTCTTCATGCGGCCGGTTGATAGCACGAGGGAGTGAGGGTCCAAACGAACATACATAAGTATGTATATATATACATATATGTGTATATCCTTACGCATGTGTGGGCCGCAGGGAAGCAAACTTACATAATATCAAAGTAAACGAGTCTGTTTAGCTTACTCAACTTGGCGTAAATCTGCAATGAATGCTTCCTATTTTTTTTCTTTAATAAGGAGATATTTTTTCGAATAAGAACAGCATGGTCGGTAATCATGATGAGTAAATCGCTGTCTTTCTTTTTTGTCATATCATATAATTTAAATCCGAGAAACTCATCCGTATCTGTGTTTTGTGCGGAATTTTTTTTCCCACATTGTTTTTTCTTTGTGCTCATGTCATTTCCTAATGGTTGCACCATTTCGATGTTGTCATCTGTGATTCCTTTCATTCCTTCCGTTCCTTCTATTTCTTCGCGTTTTTTTATTCCATCATGAGAAGAAGATAAAGGTAAGTCATTATTCGTGAGGATCTTATTTTTCTCCTTTTTAAATTTCATAATTTTATAACCCTTTCCTTTTTTCTTCTGTATCTTCAACTCATCCAAATTAATCATTTTTCCATATCCTGCTTTTGAAAGAAAGATGATTTTGAAATTTTTCAAAAAATTTTCATCGCTCTTATATGTCAAAAGGTCCACAACTTTGTCGTTTTTCCCTAAATTTATACATTTATTTCCCAATGAATTTTTTTTGGATATTTTAAAATTGGACAATGGGAATTGTATTATATATCCGCTCCTAGTACCCACGATACAATTGTCACTAAAATTGCAATAGCTGAAATGTATATTTTTCTTATTTTTAAAAAGTTTGATACCTTTTTTTTTCTTCTTCAAAAATAAATCATTGTTTATCACTTTCATCTTCCCATCTTCGCTACAAACAATAAGGTATTTTTTATCTTCTTCAAATTTCGTTATCCCAGTAATGTTCTTTGCGCTGTTAATGATTTGATTAATTGGTGTTCCCTTGGAATCATAGGAGGAGGGATGCAGGTTACACACGTTAAGAATATAAGCCTTATTATGATTATCCGTCAGAAGTAGTTTATCTCTATTTCGACATAAAATACTTTTTTTTATTTTATAGCTATTGCTTCTGTAACTACTGTTGATTTTTTCTTCACCTAGATTTTCTCCATTTTCTGTGATGTTGATAAGACTAGTTTCATCATTTGGGTATGTACTGATTTGTTCTCCAATTTTTTGTCGCATTCCCTCATTGAGTTTTTCCTCATTTTCTTTTAAAATATATTTCACATTAGACAACTTAATGGTGTTATTCAGGTGATTTTTCAACTTTTCGATAATCTTTATCTTCTTTACATACCCCCCATAGGTAATTAAAATCAGTACATGATCATTGTTGTATACACCTTCGACGTTTGTGTGCATTGAATCTATGTATGTATTCCTATAGTGCACTTTTTCTTCTGTCTTCTTTTTTTCATTTTTTTTCTCCTTCATGTGACCTGCATATGAGGGGGAAGCACTCTCGTCGTGATCCCCTTGACCTTGGTTCTGTTCATTTGGTAAAGTATAAAAATAAGTTTTATTTTCCTTTTCCTCCTCATGTGGATTGTGAGAATCATTAATTTTTGATAAGTTCTCTCCATTTAGAATAGATCGATATGCGATATCTTCGCTGTTTTCTTGAAATGAAATTGGGACATCCCATAGATGAACAGATGAAGAATCAATTTTGCTCCTCCTAAAATCTTGGTTTTTCGTAAGAGATGTGTGATTTATATAGGTATACTTATACTTAACAGACTGCGGAGAAACCTGTTTTGTTAAATGATTTATGCCATATTTGTTTTTTATATAAATTAATTCTTGTATGATAAGAGCCTTAATTCTGCTTAGGTTGGCAATAAGTTCTTCATTTTTTCTGATTTGTGCAATAATTTTATTTTTTTGTGTTTCAAAATCGACATTTTTAATATTTATCAATTTTTGTATTTTCATCGAGAGGATATGCTGAATTTGATAATCATTAAGTTGAAAATTGTTTTTGAGGAAGTTTTTGATTTCTTCAATATTTTTATTTTTTTGAAAAAAGGAAATTATTTCTACAATTTTTTTTTGTATAAGAATGTATAATTCTATTATGTTCTGATCCTTTAGCAAGTTTTGATTTTTTATTTGTAGATTTTTTTTAATAAATTTTATTCGATTTTCACACCATAATTGAATAAAAGATTTTAAAGAAAATTGGGTATAACTGTTCTTATGTCCAATACACACAAAATTACAATGATAAGTAATTTGCATTTGTGTGTATCTAAAAATGAATGATAAGAAATTTTGAATTTGTTCCAGCTGACTATGTTTTCTTAGTTCAAGCACAATTCTCATGTCTTCCTTTTCACTTTCATCAAGTATTTTGACGAGTATATTATCATGTTCATTTTTCCTCTCATTTAGTACATTTATGATACTTTCAATTAATTCATTTGGTTTAACATTTGGAGGTAAATTTTTTATTATTAATTTTTTACTTCCCTTATTATCCACATCTGATGAATGTAATGAGGCAAAATCATTTATGTGGTTTGTATAAAGTTTATTATTCTTCATATATTCAAAAAAAACATTGCTCCTTATTTCTATATTTCCTTTTCCTGTATGGTAAATATTTTTTAGTTCACTTTGTTTACTAACAATAATTCCACCAGTAGAAAAATCGGGACCTTTAATAATATCAGATAATTGATCTTCTGTAATGTTTGAATTAACTAAGAAGCTAATGGTGCAGTTAATTACATCTATTAAATTATGGCATGGGATATTACTTAATATGCTTACTGCAATACCAGAACATCCATTAATTAGTAGAAGTGGAATTTTGCTACATAATACTTTTGGTTCTATTTCATTACCATCAAAATTTCTTACATATTCAATATTTTCATCATTTATTTCATCTAGTAATACATCATAACAGAAATTTGAAATTCTTGCTTCTGTGTATCTCATGGCTGCTGCATTGTATTCTACTGATCCAAAGTTTCCATAACCGTTTATTAATAAATTATTATTATGATGTTTTTGAGCTAATCGTACTAAAGCATCATATACACTTTTATCTCCGTGTGGATGATATTTCCCTATAACTTCTCCAACAATCCTTGCACATTTTTTATAACTTCTTTTATCAATACCTTTATTTATTTCATACATACTCCAAATTATTCTTCTCTGTACTGTTTTTAACCCATCTCTGTAATCACACAAGCATCTATTTAAAATTAAAAAATTTGCATAAGACAAGAAACTTTTGGACAGTAGTTCACATATTTCCACATCATAATATTCTCCCTTTATTCTTTTCACGCTTTCTTCCACAAGATCTTTATTACTTTCCATCTTTTCATCTCCAATCCCACGACTTGACTTTCTTTTCGCGTGATCATTTGGATTCTCCTGTTCTTTCAATTCATCAGTGGGTCCATTACTTTTAAAAATGTTTGGTGGGAAGTTTGACACGGTTCCTTCTTGTGCTCTTAACAATTCTCCATTAAGATGAACATTCTGCTTCGAACTTTCGTTCGAATTTTTATTTGAGTTGGGAAGCTCATTGGTGCTGTCTTTTTTCTCACGTAAAATGAAAATGCTCCCACTTATACTGGTACATTTTCCCTTCTTGCTTGTCCTCAAAAAAGTTTGGCGATATTCCTTGTCATCACATTGATTATTACTATTTTGTTCATTCCCCGTCCAAATTCTTCCTTTTAAATCATTTTTCTTTACTCTTGCATATGTACTGTTGATAAAAAGGTTTGGACTATTCTTTGGGATTATTCTGTTAAAAAATGAATTCTTTTTTTTTTCACTTCTCACAAGAAAAAAAAAACTCAAGTTGGAGTGTGGTAAAAATAATTCGACAATGAGAATAAGGAATAGAGGATATATGAACAACATAATAGTGATAGGCACGAGTAGGAGAGGGGAAGATCGGAGAAAATATTATCTTCCCTTACCCGCGCATAAAATATGTTTGTATTTGCTTATTATGGTGCTTTAAGTTATCAAAACGATCTGTACATATTTAAAGAATTCCCCATGAAATATTTTCGAATATGAGGAGTAAACGCTGACATGGGTAACATATAAGTATATGTGCTACCCTTACATATGCTGAGGATAACCACAAAAAGAATTAATATACAAAAATGTACCCTTTTGTGCAGAGGCTAAATCAGACAAAAGTACGCAAAATGAAAAGGGGGAGGAGCTAGAGTTGAGTTTTCTCGATAAATGTGATCATTTCTTTAACTTTAAAATTTTTTTATTTTTTTTTTATTTTGCGTTTGTAAAGTTTTCCCTAAAAAAAGGTATAATGAAACTTTGTTCTTCTCTTTTTTCTCTTCTTTTTCTCCCATTTGAAATGGGAAAAAAAAAAAAAAATAAATAAATAAAAGTCGAAATTGGAGAAATGACAAAATGTGAAGTGGCAAAATGGCAAAGTGACAAAATGGCCGAGTAAATCCTACGCCTGCATATTCTGTGTTTACCATCGAAGTTCAGATAAGAACCTTTGGAGATCTTTAAAATTTTGCTCTCATGATGGATGCCATATGTATACACACTACATGAATAAAAATGCAATACATACATTATACATGCAACATGGATAAGCATACAATTAATACGAACAATTACACATACGTACATTCTGCACGCAGGCAAAAATGTGAAAACGCGGATGTTTTTAGAGGGAGAAACTTCTTGCTCTTCATTGGGGATTCGAAAAAAAAAAAAAAAAAAAAAAAAAAATATACATTACATATAATGTATATAATAAAAATTAGAAAAAAATAAGGTAAAAAAAAATGAGAAAAAAACCCATTCAATTGAAACATACGCTCGAGCGTACTAACACTTTACGAAGATTGTAAAATTAAAAGAGTTCTTGGCATTTTTTTTTTTTTTTTTTTTTTTTTTGATATCAATTTTTTTATAAAGTTACAAATATATATGCTTAAAATTAATGAACGAGTGAAAGGTCATTACCATTTTAACCATGACCTATCACCGATTTATACTTCTTTGATATAAACAAGCAAAGAAATCCTGGAGTGTATAAACATTTTTTCTTCGCTTCGAATGTGTTTTAAAACGAACAATTTTATATATATATTCCCATATTCCTCCTGCTTTCCTTTTGCTTCTTTTTTTTTTTTTTTTTTTTTTTTTGGTTGTCATAATTGTGTATATGATAACATTACTCTGGGCAGAAGAGTGTTTTCTTAACTGATCCAGTTGAGGAAGTCCGAACTAGATATAATACTAATGTGGAAAAAAAAAAAGAGTAGCGCATGCATGGAAATATAAACTCTATTTTTTATCTTTTTTTCAAGTGTAAAATTTTAACAATTAGTTCTTAACCTCTCTGCTCTTGTAAATCATATTCCATTTTTAAGGAACCCATTTAGCAGTACCCACGTAAGCATTTCCAAAAATATATTCACCCCTATGCAGGGGAAAAAAGGAGAACATAAAATTATCTGACCAGTTCTTGTCAACGGGAGAATATATAGGGAGTTTACACGTGGACGACATACACACATGTAATAGCAAGCGATGGGATTTAATTCTGCTGACAAATCATGAGCACTGTAAGAAAATAGGCCTTTTGCCACACACACACAAACGCACGCACAGCTTTTGAGAAATATAGATATTTAACATGATTTGCATAGTATGTCTAGTTCTTTTATCATGTCATATTTTAGAACGTTTCATCATAGTATAGCTGAGAGGTGAAAATTGGATGTGAATAAGAACAAGGAGAAAAAATAAACAAAAAAGAATCAAACAAATTAATAACATATTAAATAGGAATAGAAGAAACAGAATCAAAAAGCACAAACAGAGCAAAAGCTTATTCGCCACAATTGGTATCCCAGAACGAGACCCACATTTCTCCTTTATCAAATCACATATTAATTTTTACATTATTTAGAAGGGCTCGTAGTTACGAACTACCATACAAGGATATGCAACCCCTTACACAACTGTGTACTAGTGTATATATACATTTGTGCATCTTTTCAGAAAAGAAAAAAAAAAAAAAAAAAAAGCGACAGCAGAACAAATCAGTAAAAAAATTAGCAGAAAAATTATCAAAAGAATTACCAAAAGAATTACCAAAAAAATTACCAAAAAAATTACCAGAACAAATCAGAAGAACCGCTTCAATATTAAGAGCCAAAAATGGTGGATGACGAAGAATTAAAGCGGCTTCGATTTGTGCTGAGTAAAAAAGTAGGGAAAATAAAATATTTTTTTTCGTACACATTTTACAAATTGTTCAGTCATTTTTATAATAAGAAGAATAAAAAACGAGAACGGTATGTTAATATACATGGAAGAACAAGTCCGAATTTTTTTTGTGATAATAAGATAAGAAGTACGAAATACACAGTCATAACATTTATCCCATTATTTTTATTTTATCAATTCGCGGACTTTTTAAATTTATTTTATTTGTGTGTTTCTCTTCTACAAGTTATTCCCATATTCAACACTGGATATGTATTTACTTTTGTAGCCCCTTTGATTTTCATCATTTTTATAAGTTTAATAAATGAAGTAGTAGATGATTTTAAGAGGTTTATAAAAGATTTAGAAAATAACAATGAAATTTATTACAGCCTTTTGGAGAATGGGAATTTTGAAAGAATATATTCAAAAGATATAAAAGTAGGGGATATAATTTTGATTAAATCCAAACAAAGAGCCCCTGCTGATTGTATTTTGTTACGTAATTTAAGTAAAAATGAAGAATATACATTTAAGGTTGAGGAGAAGAGATTTTTTGGAAACATGAAATTGAATAAAAATTCCAATGTGTACAGCAAAATAAATCAAAGTTATTACCATTTTGATAAAAACATTGACAATGAATTGATTGAAGATCGATATAACGAATCAAACAACAATTTGAGTGAAACAAGCAATAATCTACTCTTTAGTGAAAATGAAAAATCTCTAAATGCTGTGAAGGATGGAAAATGTCTCTTAAAGGATAAATCAGAAAAAAGTGATCATAAAAATGATATGAACAATAATTCAGGAGAATTGAATGATTTGGAAATGAATAAAAAAAAAATGAAAAAGAAGAAAAAAAAGAAGAAGAAAAAAAAAAAAAAAAAATTAGCACTAAGTAAAAAAAGTGAAGGAAACAAAGATACAAGTGCATCCAACGAAACTGCAAATTATACATATGTAAAGACGGACAAAATTGATGGAGAAACCGATTGGAAAATTAAATATCCAATCAGTATATTCCAAAATTTAAAAAAATTGAAAGATTTCTTTACTATTGATATTCTATTCATCTTAGAGCAACCAAAAAATGACATTTACAAAATTGAAGGATCATTTGTTATATTCAAGTATAATCCATATGGAGATTTTCAGAAGGATGAAAATACTAATAATCTTGGATTGAACGACAATCAATTAATGAATTATTCATTTGATATGATAAGGGATGGGAAAATGGACTTGGAATCAGATGGGCGCTCTACCTTGCCCAAGGCATACGCAACTGAGGCAGATGATGATGAAGAAGAAGATGATGATGATGAAGATGATGATGATGATGAAGATGATGATGAAGAAGAAGATGATGATGATGATGATGATGATGATGAAGAAGAAGAAGAAGACGATAATGATGAAAAAGATCAAGATGAACATCGAAACGATCGCGAACTGAACAATATGGAAAACGAAGGAGGAAAAAAATTACATAAAAAGGGATATCTCAATTGGGGAGAAAAAAACATGTCGTACGCATGCAATAACAAAAAAAGAGGGGAACAAATGAATAAAGAAATGGTGAAGTTTATCGATGTGGAAAAAGGAGGGACAACAGTAGTAGTACGAGGAGGAGTAGGAAATAGTGATGCAGAAAGAAACAGCGGAATTGTTGAAAAGTATAACGGTCCAAAAGATAGAATAAATAAAAGTGGAAATTATGTAAATGAAACGAGAATGTGTAATGTATTTAATAATGAAGACAATTTCAATTTTTACAATGTAAGCTATCGAAAAAAGCTAAGTTATGATAACTTCATTTTATTCAATTCTGTAATTACAAGTTCAGATGTTATCTGTCTTGTGATATATACAGGAAGTGACACAAGAGTAAATATGAGTACTCAGATTAGTAAAATAAAAAGAGGAATGATAGATAAGAAATTGAATTTAATCACATTGTTTTTATTTATCATATTGACATTATTTTCCATGTATATGTGTTCAGTTAAATTGAATAATTTATGGTATCTCAATTTCATCCGTTTTGTTTTACTATTTTCTTCTGTAATTCCGATATCATTAAGTGTGAATTTAAATATTGCAAAAATTTATTACACATTAGTTATTCAAAAGGACAAAGAAATAGAAACGACAATTATAAAAAATAGCTCAATTATAGAAAATTTTGGAGACATAGATTATATTTTTACAGATAAAACAGGTACATTAACAGAAAATGTAATGGTTCTAAAAGTTATACATATTGGTTTGGATGTAATTCATGCTGAAAATGAAAAAAATATGTTACAAGGTAATATAGAAAATAAAGCCAAAGGAAATTTCAATAAGCATATGCTATCATATGATTTAGATGATTTAAATGAAGATGTCGATGCTTCATCTTTATATTTGGCCTCGAATTATAACACAAAAAATGATAGAAGAAATAAACAAAGTACTTATAACAAAAATGGTCGACCTATTTCGTTTAATCACGACATGGAAAACAGTAGAAATAAAAATGACCTATCCAATTTGAGACATTTGAGTAAAGTAGCCAATCCAGTAGATCGCATGAACATGCTAAATGATGAAGAGAATATTGATGAAGAAAATTTCGATTATGAAAATTTTGATTATGGAAATTTTAATGAACAATCTACAGCCACAAAATCTGCATTTTCACAAAATGGCTATAGAAATATGAATATAAAAAATTTTAAACAAAATAGCTTAACTCTAAACCCAAATGTAGCAACTGGAATAGGAGTAGGAGAAGGTGGTGCTGCTGGTGCTGGTGCTTCTGGTATCCTATGGCATAGAAGAAATGATATACTTAAAAAAAATTCTGCACATTTAGAAAAAAAGAAAAAGGTTGAAAAAATGGTTGATGAGTTTTTGAAGTATAAGTCTGATGTGTTAGATTATTACAATGATAATGTAGAGGATGTGGAATATTTGAAAAAACATCGAGTATTCCAAACCTTTTTGTCTTTTCTTATTTGTAACAATATTAGAACCTTAGCTAAAGAAAGTAACAATAACAGCACTAAAGAAAAGGATAAAGCAAAGAAAAAAAAAGAGCACAAAGAAAAAGATTTTCAGAAAAACTTTTATTACATATTAAATGTTAATCGAAAAAGTAAAAATGAAAAGAAAACCAATAAGAAGGAGAAACATATAGATAGTACTAGTATGAGTTTTTCATATGATAAAAAAAACCTTGAATCAAACAGTTCTGAAGATTCTGAAACATTTTCTCATTCAGATGTAAGTTATCAATGTTCTTCACCTGATGAATTAGCCTTTCTAAAATATGCAACCAATTGTGGTTTCATTTTGAAAAAGAAAACAGCAAGCAAAATAGAAATAAAATATAAAAATCTCGTACTAGAGTATGATATTTTGTTGCATATCCCATTTTCATCTGAGACTAAACGAATGAGTATATTCGTTCGAAATGTAAAGAATCGAAATATATACTTCTTTATAAAAGGTGCAGATAATATTTTAATAAAAAAATGCCATGAAAAATATAAAACATTTATTTATGAAGAAAGTGATCATCTCTCCAATCTGGGATTGCGAGTTTTGGTTCATGGATTTTTAAATATAGAGGAACAATTCTTTCACAACTTTTCCAATCACTATAACAAGAATAAGGATGTCAAGGGACAGATGGAAAATATTCTTGACTATGTCGAGAAGAACATTAAAGTTTTAGCTATAACAGGGGTTGAGGACAAATTGCAGGAGGTATATGACTATACTGATAGTGTTTTGTAAATGTCGCATACATATTCCTTGCGTGTTACTTCATATTGTGAAGTGGAAATGCTCGTCTAGCGTAAAATAAGCTTGTTCATACAAAAACAAGAATCACGTATACCTTCCCTCATGTGCCCACCCCCGCCTTTTTTTTTTTTTTTTTTTTCACTTCACATTCACAGGGAGTTGGAAAGACAATTGAGATGTTATACAATAGTGGCATAAAAGTTTGGGTTCTGACCGGAGACAAAATCGAAACGGCAATTTGCATTTGCAAGAATGCTAATATAAAAAAGAAGAAGAACAACATATACATATTCAGGCATGAAAATATTAAGAGCACTTCAAATCTAATAAGAGAATTTAATTCCATTTTAAACAACATAGATTCGTATGTCCTCTTTTTTGACAACATTATCATTCAAAATTGTATCAAATATATACCCAATGCGTTCGTTGATTTTGCAGCCAATGCAAGGGCAGTGGTAAGATTTTGCAAGCAGATGAAAAAATGGAAAAATAAAAATGAGTGCTCCCATTGTGGTGACAATTGTGCATACACAAATATGTGATAAAATACAAACACTTGAACTTAATTTGATCACCCATGTGACTCCCTGGAAATGTTTCTCCTTACTCCATTTTTTTTCATTCGCCCCATTTTTAGGTCTGTTGCAGGTGCAGCCCCATTGAAAAAAAAGAAATAGCTGTATTAATAAAAACCATCAAGAGAAAAAAAATTTTGTGTATAGGGGATGGTGGTAATGATGTAGCCATGATACAGTCAGCAGATATCGGCATTGGTGTTTTGGGAAAAGAAGGAAAACAAGTTGTACATGACAGTGACATAATTGTTTCAAAGTTTAAAAACATAAAGAAGTTAATTTTGTATTATGGGAATAATACCTTTCTGCAAACTTCCTCCTTGTGTTCTTTTTTAATTCACAGGGGGTTCGTCCTTACGTATTTGCAGTTTATTTATAGTTATATCTTTTTCGGTATACCTGTCTCGATTTTTCAGGTAAAAAAGTGCATGCCACACTTTGTGTAATATTAAATATATCCACCTTAGCATGTGCATATTCGCTCATCAAGCGTGTAACACTCATATGACACTCGAGTACTATTCGCTGGCCCATGTGTATTCTTGCATTTTAATTTATTGTTCCTCATTTTACTTTTACCTTTCCTCTATCAGGGCTGGCTTCAAATTGGTTATACGACATACTACACAACTGCACCATTTTTGTCTTTACTCCTGGATGTGAAAATAAAAAAAAATTTAATATACCTATACCCGGAGATATATAAAAATAAAAAACACAAGCGGAAGTTAGATTTAAAATCATTCTTTATTATCGTATGGATATCAATATTTCAGGTACACGACTGATAGGAGGAATGGTGACATGTGATTGAGTGAATATGCATACGCTCATGAGGTGTAGTGGGAACCTACCGATGCACCTTTCTGTGAGCATATATTATTCCATTGAAACATGAAGCATCATATCATTTTTTTTTTTTTTTTTTTTTTTTTTTTTTTCCCCCCCCATCACTTATAGGGAACGGTTGTTATGTTAGGTGCATTGAAATTGTTTAATGATAATTATAATAATTTAATAAATATATCCTTTTCCTCACTGATCATGTTGGAAATAATGAATATTCATTTGGAAGTGGAGTCATGGTTAGTTCTCAAGGGGATAGATCATTCTCCATCCCTATTTTTCTTCAACACTTACATATGTTGTATGTTTCATCTTATGGTGATACTGTAAAAGTATACCCATGGATTTAGTAAATATTTGTGTACATGGACATTTCCTCATAAGTATTTTTTTTTTTTTTTTTTTTTTTCCCCTTCCTGATGCAGGCACCCGCTCATGATATCAGCCAACATTTGCTCCTTTATTGTGTATATCTTTTCCATGTTCATTCTGAGGAATTATTTTGACATTATGCAAATTATGTCTGTTATGTTTTGGTACAAAGTCATTTTGATTGTTCTCTTCGCCTGGTTACCATTTTTCATAATTAAGAAGGTAAAAAATATCATAACACCATCCCAGTTTTTCAAGTTGGCATGACCCAAGTGTATTGTTCGTGGAGAAGTGATAAAGTTGTAATAATTTTGAAGACTTAAATGTTTTAAACGTTTTTTTAAAAAAATTTAAAAAAGTGTAAAAAAAAAAAAAAAAAAAAATGAAAAGAAAAAAAGGGAAGTACGACGATTCAAGGAAAATTGTGTTCTATAGACAAAATCGAAAGAATATATATTCCACTTCTTTGCAAGTCTGTAAAATGGGGAAGTATTATGAGGGTGAGGAAATTGATGAAGCAGTGTCGAAATAATTTTAGTGTAAAACGATTACAAGGAGGCGGTATCATCGTGCATATATATATATATATATATATAAACATGTAACTGTACAAGTTGAAGGAGATAGAGAAAGTGGGTATAGCATACATTTATAAAGACCAGTTTTTGTGTACATTTTTTAAAAAAAAAATATATATATGCAGAAAAAAAAAGGATAAATGATGGAAAGGGTATGTGTGTGCGTATATATTCCTACTATAATTAAATCGTTCGATGGGCATTCCATATAGGAACTGAAGGCCTTTATGAGCAAACACATCATTGTACTTAAATGATCTAAAGACGAGGAGAAGAGACGTGTACATAATGAAGAAACAGAGTTGTATATATATATATATATATATATATGTACAACTAGAATCAAGTCAGTTATGTTTTCATTTTTATTTTTATTTCATTTAATTTTTTTTTAAATGCTTTACATTATATAACGGCTAAAAACACAATGATGAAGTTTTTTGAATATTTTTTTTTTTTTTTTTTTTCCAAACCTAAATTCCGTGACATTGTTTTATAATATAAAGGGATGGACGAACTTGCTGAATGGTAATTAAAATTTTTTAAGTAGGACGTATTTTGGTGTAACAAAATGGAACTGTATCCAGCCTATAGGGAATAAGGGGTGTGTAGAAGATGTGCAAAGTTGCGAGGATATACAAATGGTGGAACATATAAATGATGGAACATACAAATGGTGGAACATACAAGTGGTGGAACATACAAGTGGTGGAACATACAAGTGGTGGAACATACAAATGATATGTGTGTGGTATTGGATTATGAATAAGTTTCTGTGGTCGTGGTGGAGAAGTGAGCTCACAGTGAAAAACTCAGGATAAAAAACTGGATGAAGGAGCATAATGTGCATACCATAATGTACATGTTAACGTCGTTTGGACAGACGAACATGTTATCGCCAATCCATGGAAATGAATTTTTATATTTAGTCGAAATATGCTTCTGCTTTACACTTTTTATGAACATTTTCTTTCTTTTATAGACTTGCACGATTTTTCTGACCTCTTGATCATAAGAATAAATATCATTTGACACTGTGTTAATGAGTAAATGATCTCCGTTAAAAATATTGTTTAAATTTTTTTTTTTTTTTACATAATTTTTTGTAAAATTTCCCCAAGCATTTTTATATTTTGAACACTTGTAATCATGCATAAGAAAATTATTTGTCTTGTCATATAGTGCGTAGGATATTTTTTTAGCATTTTTATCATATTCCATTTTTTTTATCAATTTTTTGTAAACCTTTTTAAGTTTTTTGTTATTTTTGGACAAGTACTTTTTAATTACGTTTTTGTTAAATGTAATAAATAATTCATCCATATCATGCATCTCTCTCTTCCCCTTGCGTATGCTCTTCGTAGAGATATATTTTTTATCCTTTTCCGTACCATTATGCATTTTTCGTTTCATATCTTTTATCTCATATTGTTCATCAAAAATATACACTGGCTTATGTAGATAAAATGAGCACACTGTATATGTATCTTGGTTGCAATAATTTGTCTCATTTTCTTCATCACTGCCATTATATTCTGAATAAAAATCCGAACTGTCACTTTTTTCTTGGTTAATCAAATTATCCTGCTTCTCTTCCACCATATCTATGAGGTTTTCTTCCTTTTGAAAGGTTTCCAAAATATTTTCATCGTCAAAAAATGGATACATGGTGTCTCTTATATTTTCTTCTACATCATTTTTTCCCGTCACAATTGACAGATCATTCACTTGTTCACATTCGGTTTGTAAAGCTGAGTATTCATCATTGTGTCTGCCATTATTTGGCACTTGCCTTGCGTTCTCTGAGTCATAGTGGTAATTAATTTGGTTCATATTTCCGCTACCACTTTGGCTCCATGTTTGACTATCAATTTCTCCCCTCGCTCTGTACATGCCCGTGTTCTCTCCGCTGATTGGAAGAAGTTCGTTATTTACACAAAAAAATTCATTAAATTCTTTTGGCTTATTTTCATTGTTATTTTTAAGTATAGCCAAATTTATGTCACTGTCATAATCACCATGGTCAATCCTTAATGCATCTTTTGCATTTGTACTCACTTCTGCATTTGAACCTGCATGGTTCCCACCATCTTCACATGCTTCACATTTTAAATACTTATCTCTAAACTGATTGGTGTAAAAAATGGACACGAATTCATTAAGCACACTTGTGTTGTATGGTTCCAAGTAATAATTCGTGTGAATAGTAAATTCTTTATACACGATGTAATTAAATTCCAGTGCGCTTTTTTTCATGTACTTTCCATAAGTTATCGAATCATTTTTCAGCAAAATTTGGTTGGCCAAAGAGTTCATAATCATATTATACAAGTTAATCGTTTCTGACGGATTTGAACAAAATTTCACACTACCACCTATATCCATCTTTTTCCATAAGCACTTGTTGTATATTCGGTTACATGCTTTACTTCGTTTATGACCTTCCCCATGCCTTATACCTGTGTTAGTAATATGGTTCCTGTTCATCTTATTTATGTCATTGGAGGTTCCCAAACTGGTGAGGACATTCATTTGGTTGATACTTGGGTTGTGACTTGTGCTGAAAAGACTGTGGTTTTGGTTGTTTGTACTAAACAAATGATCATTCGAGGATATGTGATAATTTCCATACACGTCACACTGGCTTTCCAGGGAGTAACTATCATGCTGAACCTGCTGTTCGCTCATGAAATCTTTAATCGTGTCTCTGTCATTTGACAAGGGAATACTTTGTGTGTCTGTACCATCCACCTCGGTTTTTTTTCTTGCGCCCTTTTCATTTGAATATACTAATGATCTTGCTAACCCACGCTGAGAATACCGCTTATTATTTATATTGGGGGAAATTATATTCGTTTCGTTTTGTCCAAATATGTAATATTTTAATTTGAAATGGTCTTCCTCTTTTTCGATAGCTGTCATTGGGTCGTTAATAGAATGGAGAGTCGGAAAACTCAATGAACCCTTTGACGGAACTGGTGCATTACGTCTCAATGTACTTCCTCCACGATACTGTGAGGAACTTGCTCTTTTCTTTGAGTCCCTTTCTTCTGGATATAATGCAAGGACATTAGGCATGAGGGATAATGAATTAAAATTTCTAGAACGTTGGATGAAACTTTCGTTTCCTTTAACATCATCGTCGTTGATATTTTCCTTAGATAAGTATTCTTTGTAGTCATCTGTTAAAAATGTTTCTGGGATTTTTTTGTTTTTCTTACTACTTTCATTTTTTATTTCATTTTCAAGATATAAGATATTTTGAATTTCACGTGTACGTTTCGTGCTAGAACTAAGATGTGTATTTTTTTCCTTTTGGAAAAATTTATTTATTTTATCATCTGAAATATAATTCTGTGTGTCATCTGTGAATTTTATTGCCGTGTTCATGTAATTATCTTGTGTCGAATTATGCGAATCATTTAACTTTTTTTTCTTTTTTTTTTTACATGCACTTTTGTCTGCCATTTCACTATTTGTGTTTCCTTTTTTTCCTTGTTCTCTGTTTCTCTCCTCACTCTCGTGTGGTGACTGATCTATGTCTTTTTTAGAAATTACAAATAGGCTTTGATTTCCTCCCCCTTCTGTCAATTTGTTCTGTTCCTGGTAAAAATTTTTTGGTTCCCTTTTGATGTTTTCTACCGATAGTACAGTGTGAAGAGTGTTAAAATAATTTGTGCAAGAGAGTTTAAAATTTGTGCATAAAATATGTATATCATTTGAGTAGTAAATACTACCGAGTAAGGAAAAAGGATTTATATAATACCCTTTAAATCTTAACATGTGGAATATGTTTTCTGAATTTTTTTGTTTTTTAAAATTTTTGAAAATTTCGTTAAGTGTATTGACATCGTAGCTAACAAAAAATTGTAACAACTGATTATCTACCTTGAGATAACTCAAATAATTTACTGTTTTAATAAATAATGAAGGGAAGTATCTTATGGAAAAAAGATACATAATCCTAGGTACATGACTCATTGGGTACACTAGAACAGAAAATATAAAATATGTATATCTCCTTGTCCGGACAACATTTTGGATATAATTTATTTTATATATTTGTTTTCTCTTTATTCGTAAATTTATAACTTTATTTTTTCTTTTTATATAATCATTTTTTAATCTCAATGTAAAACAATTTGTATTCGAATGAAATTGAAAATGTACATTTCGGTTCAGGTTATAATTCAACAACGACTCTTCATATTTGTCATTCTTCATCATCTCAGCTGATAAGGAAGAATCATTACAGTTGAAATACGTGCTGTCATTGTATATGCAAATGTGTGCTTCTCCTTGGAAATTATGACATTTTAGAGTGGAAACACGTGGGGGTAATGTTGATGGTTGTTGGTCTTCTCCGGTTTTATTTATTCTTCTTCCACTTGCCCTTTCTTGATCTTCTCGATTGATGATTTTTAATTTCCCTTTTTTAATAATATCCTTGGTTAGAAACATATTATTGTTATATGTACCACAATCTATATTCTGATTGGTGTGTTTTGTGATGGTCTCTACTCCTCTCTTTCCTGTTATATTATGTACCAACTTGTTAATCTGATTATGCATTTTTTGGTTTCTTTCACTTTTATTACAGAGTAAAACATATGTGTCAGTTATCTTTTCATGATATCCCAGGACTGCTGCATCGAAATCGTAGGATCTATTATGAATAAGTAAAAAGGGATCATACATGCTGAGATTGTTTTGCCATTCAAAGAAACGTCTATCAAATGAAGTTCCACATAAATCCTCCTTATCGAAATAGTTTAAACAATTGCTTAGTTTAAGGAATATATTCTTAAAAATTTTGTAACATTCATGTAAAATTATTTTATTACTGACACTATTTTGACTGCTTCTTAAAAAAGATGTACATCTGTTAAACTCACATGATTCTTTTTTTTCCATAGCTATATTTAACTCATTTATACTTTTTTTCAAGTTTTTTTTAAGATTACGATAATTGGGTTTTTTTTTCAAACGTAAAGTATATACTGAATCGCTTTTATAAGAATCCACATCTGTTGAAAGGTAAAAAAATTCATCATCTGTCCAGTTCCCTTCATTTGGAATCGTCCCGTTTGAATAATCCTTTGCCTTGTCACTTACTTCTGGGATGGCAAGCACATCATATGTGCTGTTGTCATCCCCCGAGGAGTCATTACCAGAGGAAGTATTCATTTTAAGAAGTATATCATAAATGATGTAAGAAAGTTCCTCTTTCGTGTGTCTCTCATTTGAATACATGGTTGCAAATCGTTTCTCTAGGTAGCTAATCAAGTAACCATTTAAAGGGATAGTAGAAAATAGAGATTTCAAATTTATGAATAGTTTTGAATTTATCAAGTTGATAAAATGTACTGCCTCCGCTACATACTTGTTGTCAATGGGAGGTGAAATGTCGTATGAAATTAAAGATTTTATAGGATCATCGTTGCATAAAATATTATATGGTAAATTATTTATTTTACAATTCATTTGGGGCATCATTGATGTTAGTACAGTATATCTTTTGTAATATTTAATTGGTGCTATATATTTGACTATCTTTGGGAGTAGTTCAACAGGAGCAACTTTTGTTATCTTTTCCTTTGCGAACTTTTTAATTTTATTCTTATCTATGCACGATATTGATGATGTTGATAGGGATTCCAGTGGAAAAAAAGGGCCACTATTATTATTATTATTATTAGCAGCAGTAGTAGTAGTGCCACTATTATTATTACTACTGCCATTATTATGATTGCTGTTACGGATGAGACTAATTTTACTCTCGATTTTTTTTTCTACCTTGGCGTGAAACTTTTTTGCGTTTTTGATCAAAATGAGTTGCTTGTTGTTATTGATAAATTTGTCCAACATTACTGAGTACACGATTTGTTGCAGGTGTTTTTTTTTCATCACAGTTTTGGATGCCATGCCTATGTGTTTTTTTCTTCTTTCTTGGTTTTGGAAAATTTTGGGGTTCTGTTCCTTACTCCTCGTCTTCAACATTAAATCTTCTCCAATTCTTTGCCAAGTGTCAGTAACAACAGTTTCATTCCCCAAATTGAAAAATATGATTTTATTCAAAAGAATTTCATTCATGGTAAAAATGGGGTATGGATAACTCTTGACATATTTTGTATAAAGTTTTGAAAGGTCCGCTAAGCGTTCCCATTTAATGTTAAGACAGGGTTCTAATTTCATATTCACCTGAATGGGATATAATGATTTCGATTTCCCACAACCATCACTGAAGATGGTATTCAATTTAGTTTCATCAAATGGAATCGAATTTTCTATGAACATTTTTTTTTTTTTTTTTTTTTTTTTTTTTTTTTTTTTTTTTGCGTTAGAATTGGTAGCTCTCTCACTAATGGATCTGTTAATAGACAGAAATACGCCTCTCTCATTTCCCAAGAATTTGTTCTTTTCACATAGGATATACTTAAATAATCCCATATAATTTATAATTTTATTTTGATCATATATAGAATTCTTATACATTTTGTTATACCTTTTTAATGTGTTCGATGTAAATGAATAAAATAGGCGTTGTATTAATGGATTGTTGAAGTATAATCTATTCTTTGAAAAAATATTTTTTTTCATTAAATTGATACAATAAGTTACGTAATATATAAGGAATAAATCATTTGCGTTTTTTATAAATTTCTTCATTTTTCTAAAATATTTAAAAAGTTTAACAGTGTGATATAATCCTATATCTGGTTCCACATTGTAATAGATATTTTGAAAAAGATGGGATCCATTTTCGTGTTGGGAGTATGCAAATCTATTTATTGCCTGTCCTTGTACATTCATAACCTTCTTATATTTTAAAATATTACATAATTCAGTATTATTTAATACATTATGATTTCCCTTCATAACAAAATTTAAGCAATCGTTTATCAAATCAGATTTATCATGATATAAGAAACAAAATTTCCTTTTTTTTATTCTCATAGGAGAGAATACATTCTTGTCGCTTAATAGGTACGGTACTGATTTTTTTTTTTTGTACAGATCTAAGATTGGAGAAAGGTATGTGCAAACAGTTTGGAAGATATCCCTCCTACATTTTCTTTCGCAACCATTTGATAAATGAACATCCATGGAGGTGTTGTTAACACAGGTATGGAAGTTCCCATTATTATACGAGTCCTTATTAATGAAGGAATTTTCCTTTATGGAATTTTTCCCTCCGTGCATTTTTCTATCCCAAGAACGTTCTACTGACAAAACAGTCACTACAGAATTCAATGTAGACATACTGAACCTGTCGAATTTTTTGTAATATTGGCTCAGACATGTGGCATAATTTTTCCTAGATAATTTTAAAGTCCCTTTAAAATTGATTATAAAAAATTTTGCATTCAATACTATTATATGAAAGAGAGTTTTTTTAGTGAATGGGAAAAGATAGGCATGAATGTAATCTTCATGCATGTAAGTTTCCCTTATAATGTTGTTTAGTTCATTTTGTATTTTTCTCATCTTATTGTTCAGTATTCTTTTAACATTTTTAATATTAAACAAATTTTGTAGCATGTATTTCAAATATTCATAATTTCCCCAATTGAATAAGTTATTTAAATGAATCATGCTTTCATTTTTTTTAATTACCCTTGCTTTTTCATATTTTCTTCTATGATATATAACTGTGTTATTATTTATAGTAAATGTGCCTGGGTAAAGTTGTAACTGATTTGGAAATTTCGATTTTACTCCATATAAAGCAGCAATAAGTTCAAAAATGAAATATAACATTTTAATATAGTATGATACATATATATTTTTTCTTTTATATTTATTTCTAAAAAAACAATTAAACTGATTTGCATTTATGGACTCTTTATCTTTCACAACAACCATAAAATAATCGAACATGTTTATAAGCTGTGTAAAACATTTTAAAAATTCATTAATCACATATTTTAGTTGATAATACAAAAATAAAATATGGTAAATATTCCATGTAGAGGTAATAAAAACACCTAACATATCTGCTAAGGATTGGAAGGTATAAAAATTCTGCAACATAATGTAATATTCATAAATAATATAACGAAAAAAAATAGTTTCATATCTCTTAGAAAATAGTAAATGTCTGTGTCTAATTTTTATTGATTCATTATTTTTATTATTCATAATATTTTCATTATCATAGTACAAACGATTTTTTAATATTCTACATAGCATCTTTTCTTTTTCCCAGTTACTGTTCGTTCTTGTAAATTCTTCAATTATCTCATCATTAAAATTTACAAATTCGATCTTTTCCTTCTCCATTTGATCGACCTGTTTTATTGATTGTTCATTTTCCCCTTCATTTTGACCAGCATTTTGACCTTCATTTCTTTCTCTCTCATTGTTGGTTATTATTATTACGTCGCTTCCTATGTCATCCAGGCCATTTACATTACCACGAGTTTTTTCCATTTCACATATGGTATCATTGGGGTTGTATTCCTCAATCGATTTGGCATTCCAGGACGTGTTTTTATTATGCATATGTGTATGCAGACATATGTTTTTTCCTCTTTTTATTTTTCCCACCTTATAAAGAATGGATGATTCTATAACTTTATCTAAGTGTGGGCAGTTTGTGTCATTTTTTTCACCTGGATGATGAGAGAACGAGGAAAAACTTCTGTTGCTCATTACTGTATGAAGTGTGTTATAAAAAGCTAATGAGTTAAAATCAAAATTGAAATGATTTAAATTTTGTGGGACGTTACTTAGGAAATAATTATTGGCAAGAACATTTTTTTGTGGTTTTGTCTTTTTGTCAAGTGGTGAAATTCCCTTACTGGGAGGATGTAATAAATCAGTGCAACAATATGGGTTTTGATTCACAAATATCCATTTAAGGTTATCTATTTGTTTTTCTACACAGATATTTTTTTTTCTACATGAAAAATTTTCTTGTGTCTTGAAAACTTGCAGACATGGTGGCATTCGTTTCTTCGAATTAACATGCTTGTGTTTATTACACACATTTTCTTCCTTGTTAATAATTTTATTTTTCACACTTTTCATGCTTCCATTTTTAGCTATGTGTGAAGAGTTATTTTGTGAATCCACGTGTGAAATTAATTTTACTTCATCTTCCTTTTCTACAAGATGCTTCTCCTCTTCACTCCTGTAATCATCTGATCCAAACCTGACACCGAAATGGGGATCCAAATCGGAGTACTTTCTATAATTAAAAAAGAACTTCAAAATGTTGGGTATGGGAACGAAATAATAATTGTGTTTCTGCTTGGACGATTTGAAATGTATCTTTTTAATCATCACTTGTGGGGTACTACCAGAGGTGAAGGTGGAAGTGGAGGTAATAGTAGCATTAGGATCCTTCCATTTTGTCCTTTTTTTTTTGGAAATTCTTGGATCCAACGTGGATTCATCAAAAATAATCAAATTATGAAAATACTCTTCTTTGTCATTAGTAGAATAATCTTTCATCAAGAAAATTTCGAGTTCATTTTCATTTCTATATTTTTTATCTTCAGTGTTGCATTGAACAGACACTACATCATCTGATGTGTCGCTAAAAATTTCATTATAATGGCTATATATCTTTTCCCTTTCGTTCAATAAGGAGTTGTCATTTGTCAGCACTGTTTCATTCACTTTGCAGAGGTCTATCCCAATTTCTGCATTTGTCCCATTTAGATGTTTTTTTATGGTTAAGTTATGAACTTCTCGTACTTCTTCCCATTGGACGGTACCATTCCCAAAGAGATGTTCTTCAACAACAATTTGTTTACTCTTGTCACTGCTACACTTTGCTCTTTTCATTTTTGATTCAGACAATGTAGAATCCTCTTCTCTCAACAATGCAAATGATTTTCTCTTTTTTCCAATAGTTTTCAGTCGACATTTTGGGTTATCCTCCTTTGTATCATTTTTTTTATTCATTTTGATTTCCCTTTGTTTTCTGTTAATCCTTTTCAATGTCCTTTTTATTTCCTTCTGTATAATCTTGTTCATCATTTCTCTATCTTCACGTTGGTTATTGGATCCTTTATTATTGTTCATTTTGTAGCCCCTTTTGCTGTTTTTATTCCACTCCTCATTAAGATTTCCCTGGGAGGATTTGTTCGCTTGTTTCTGCTTGCATTTCCTTTGGAAGTCAAATTTATTGTAGAGATGCATATCATTTTGCATGTGGCACTTATAATTATTTGCGTGGTGGAAATTTTCAAACTTGTCTTTTATGAACATATTTTGAAATGTGAAAAAATCAGAAGAAAACATAGGGTAATAGAATTTGCATGCAATTAAAACACATGCAGCAGCGATATGATAGAATTTTTTTTTTTCTACAGTGAGTGACACTTTCATGGTAATAAAAAAGGTGCAAATAAATTTTTGTCGATAAAAATAATTGATTTTGTTATACACTTTGTAGTTAATTTGTCCATTTTGAGGGATTATATATTTTTTTTTTTGTAAGTATTTTTTTTTAATATAATACTCTTTTTTCATTAAATATAGAATGTATTTATTAATTTCATTTTGTGAAAATGAGGATTTATTTCTTTTCTTGTAGAATATTTTAAAATCTCTTATAATTTGTTTAAATTTGTAAAATTTATTCAATTCTACGTGCATGTCGTCATATTGATTGGAATATACATTGAAGAGAAATTTGTAAAACCTATATTTGAATATGACAATATGTAACAATTTCATAGAATATATTTGAACCATATTTGGAAGCTGAAATTTGTATATCAAATCGTTGATTTGTGAATACAAATCGGATATTAAATTAGAATTAAAGAGTTGCAAGTCTTTTACCCATTTGGAGTTGGTAAAGTTGGTTAACAGTTTGTTCGCAATATTTAGATGCTTATAATTTTTAAAATAAGTAATGCTATACATATTTTTTTTTTCCAAATATTGCTGATTCTCTTCAGTAGTATCTTCTTGTATAAAATGTTTACTTGTATGCTCATAATTGTGTATACATAAAAAAGGGACACCATTTTTTAAATTTCTTAAAAAAAAAAATTTTTTTATTTCTGAAAATATGGGATTCTTTAATGGAAATGAAAGCGAAGAACTATCATGTCTGTAAATTTTTTGCAACAATTCTGAAACGTTGTTGAAAATTCTATACAAATTAAAGTTGTCTGAATTTGTATATTGCGTCATATTGTGTGGCAAACAATGAATATGTAACCTCTTCATACAATAATATATAACATAAAGTAACAAATCGAATGAAAAATTGTAACAAAACTTATATGTTTCATCATCTATCAAATAATCTTTATATTCCTTTACGAAAAAGTTAACATATTCGTTATAAATATACTTTATGCTTATCGTTCGAAATCTATTTAAATTACTTATATATAGTGCATTCTTATATAAATCATTAAAAATGTATGAATCGATTAGATACCTGTCTGGGATGTACAACACTTTACGATTTGGGGAATCACATTTTCCCTCATTTATGTGCTTCAATATAGAATTTTTTACGAACATTTCAATTTTGGCACAATTTTTTTCTATTTTCATTAATCCATTATCATAATAATATTTTTGAATTTCTATATTTTTCTTCTTTTTCATCCTATTTAAATATTCCAATTTTTTGTATATTTCATCCAGGCTAGTCACGCCTCTTCCTCTTTCTCTTCCTCTTTCTCTTCCTCTTCCTTCTTCTTCTTCTTCTTCTTCTACCCCTGTGTTTGTTTCATTTTCCTTTCTTCTCAAATTCGAGAGGCTCCTAGTGTTAAAATGATCTTTAAGCTTCTCTCCCAATCCGTCTACTTGTTTATTCCCTTCTGTGGGGAATCCTTCGTAAAGGGACAAATTATTTTCCTTATCCTTGTTAAGTGATGATGTTACATAGTTGTGTGGAAGTGCTAAATCGCTAGCTAACGACGAACATGCATTTGTGATATCATGACCCAACAAATCGCTATTCATTTTGTTGTCGCTCCAGATTATCTCATCTGATAACGCAGCGCTTTTTTCCTCTTTTGTGAATCCTCCCATTTGATGTTTACCCTCCTTTTTATCCTCCTGTTTGTTTGGAATGCATTTCTCGTCATCAGATATGGAATTGATAAGTAGATCACTATCATTGTACAAAACAGTTTTACTTCTTCCTTTCCTCAATTCAACATAATTTTGGTATGTCTTCAAGATTTTTTCCACATCTACAGTGGAATGCTCACGATTCTGTGTTTCGGCTCCTCCTCCTCCCTCCCCTCTCCTTTTATCGAACTCACTATTGTTTAACACTTCGATCAGCGAATTTTGTTCTCCTTCTTCGAATCCTTCTCCATATGTCCCTTTTCTTTCTACTTCTCCCATTTTAGCGTATCCCACTTGATTCCCTTTTTTTTCCCTCCTACTTCCTTGAATACTTTCGTCTATATTGGAGCCAAAAAATTCTGATGTTTCTCCTCTTAGGCTACATACATCCTGAAGGGATTCATCCAAAGGTGACTTTTCCTCCACATCTTTGGAAGAACCATTTTTTACTTTTACATTTTCTGGTGGAGAATCGAGTAGTATCCCATCAGTGGGTTGACGATCCATTTTGAACTCCTCAAAATAATAACCATTTTCTCTTTCGTATTCATCATCTAATTTGTTTTTCATTTGAGAAATGTTTGTAAAATTAAAACGGTTTTCATTGGAAATGTTTCCTATTTGAATCAATTGATCCTTGTTGTTTGGGTCATAATCTGTCTCTAGCTTTTCATTCAAATTTTGCGGTTCCTTATGGGGGATGTTCAGAAAATTTTTATTCTTATTCTCAGAGTCGGAGGAGGAAGAGGAGGAGAAAGATTTATGACATGATGTTATTTTTTGAATGGTTGGAATATATGGACCGGTTTGCAAACCCAATGACTGACATATTAAATAATCATAATTGCCTTTAAACACTTGTAATATATCATAATATGACAGAAATTCAATATCACAATTTTTTCTTAATTCTTCATGAAAATAATATAAGAAATCATGTTGATATATCAAATCGATAATTTTCGTTTGGTTAGTAGATCTGTTCATATAATTGCTGGATATGTTAGCATCAACTGGTTTAAGTAATTTTTTACTTTTTAGTAACTGATTAATTATAAAGGATGAATAGAAGTGATACACTCTCTCGGCATGAGAAAAATTATAATCTTCTGTAAAATCATTGCCTTCTTTTTTTTTTTTTCCCTTCTTGTCCATTAAACCTGAACTCCTTGCGCCTTGTGTGAATGTGGCTCCTTCTCCTTTTTTATCTCCTGGATGATTTGGGACCTTGTTAAGTTGATTCGATTGACCTGGTTGGTCGGGTTTATCAGATTCTTGGAATTGATCTAATTGGGGAGAATCATCAAAGTTGCCAAGGTTGTCTAAGTCTCCATAGTCACCGAAATTGCCCACGTTGAAGAATTCTTCCCCATTGTCACGGTTTCTCTCCTGATCAACCTTTTCATAAATATCAAAATCTTCATAACTGTTGCCATAAATGTCAGGCATGAGTAATGGGTCAATGATTTCTTGTGAAATAGACCCGCGAAACTCTGTCTTCCTATGATTATGTTTTCCTTCGTCTACTGCTGGATTTACATAATGGATCTTTGTAGAATTTTCATATGAATTGTTACTAGACATGGGGTTTACTTCTTGATAGGTATTACTACTGGATTTGGGAAGCATCTGATGCTCTTCCTGATTGATTTCTTTCATTTGTTCGTTTAATTTTGACCTTTGAATGGTATGTATTATTTCGTTAATTTTTAAGAAATCTTTCTGATTCATTTTTTCGCTATTCAATAAGGCCGTTTTTTTGTACAAATTTAAGTGTTTAATATCGAATCTTCTATGAACTGTGCTTTTTCTTGGTAAAAATTCTATAAACTTGCTAGTTTCGTTAATAAACTTTTTTTGAATAACAAAAAAGTAGGAAAGTGTGCTAAGTCCCATTTTTTTTATTACCGTTTTTATTTCCCCAATGATTTTTTCATTTTGTATAATGCATTTCACTATATATCTAATTTTGGGTGCTCTTATAATTTCAAAAACGTGTTTTATTGAATCCTTTGCATCCCCTAATGGTACATAAACATTTGAGTTCATAATATTTACTTTTAATAAATAAAACCATATTTTCTTCATTTCGTCGTATATAAAAGGTGGCAAGTGATGTTCTGAGACAAATATTTGTAAAAAATTTAGTAAAATTTTTTGATATTTCATAAAAAATTCATCATTTTCTTTAAAAACATAATTTTTAATCTTAGCAATTAATTTATTATTTCTATATAATTTCTTTAAAATGTCATAGAAATCCTTCTCAAGATATTCCTTATATAAATGATCATCTGATGCCTGTTCCCCATAATCATCTTCAAATTGTTCCTGTTGAATTTCATTAACATAGTTACATTCATTGCATACTACTTGGGCTTCTTCTATCCTAAAATTTGTAGACCCACAAATAACACACTTGGGTTTTTCCATTTTGTTTTTAAACTCTTAACAAAATTTCTAATATGTTTTAGGTTTCTTTCTGCCCATGTAGTTTTCCCTTGTTGCTGATGGGCAAATTTGTACACGCCTATTCGAAAAAGTATGCGTACAGGGGGTAGGTAGGTTCGGTTTTACCGATACGTATGTTTTCTTCTTAAGTAAGCATACTCCTCAAGTACATCTACTCTGTATATTCTTTTTCTCAGGAAATTACTTTTTATACATGACATTAATCTTAACTCTACTTTTGACATTGCTGCATACTTTTGGTTTTTATTTTCACTGAAAATGAATGCACCAGAATTATTCCCTTTTCGTATTTTTTCAGCAGCTCATTTCAGATCTTTCATCGAGGATTTTCAACAATATTTCTGATTCTTTGGATAGAGTTAAAAATGGGGTTTGGATCTGGCAGAGGCAGAAACTATGTGTTCTCTCGCGCACTGTATAGCCGTGAGGAGTTTTTTTTTTTTTTTTTTTTTTTTTTTATATCTTTTTATGTTTTTCTTATTTTCTAGCGTTTTTTGGTATTTTTTGCTTTTTCTTCTTTTTATTATACCGGTCTAACCTCTTTGGTGCTCTTTTAGTTCCAATTGATGTACCCTTTTTTGAATTTTTATTTCTTCATGCACACAGTGAGATGTAAATAAAAAGGTGGGTATTCTTCTGTAGACTTGATAAAGTTGGGTTATATGACCACAAAAATGTTTATTATGTACTCAAGTGCATAAAATTTTGATTATTGTCTTCCAGTGGGAAGGAAATTTGTCCAAGTCTTCTATACTCAACTGGTTCAGAAAAAAAAAAAATATAAAGTACTATATGTACCTAGGTTCATATGTAATATCCCTCAATTAAAGTAATGGAAATACAAATCATAATTTTGCAAAATGTTCAAGGTGCTCATTCTCTTTGTTGTTGTTTCCCAGTTCCAATAAGATTATGCCAAGGTGGCGAAAAATGCAAGTAGGAGACCCCCACAACATATGATATTTTCCCTTTTTCCTTTCTTGTATTCTCATTTGTGAGGAAAAGTGGGTAAATACAAATGAAGGTAGAGTTTATAGGATTTTCATTTTCCCTATTGTGCGTTCTGCAAAATTGTGTATAGCAAAAAATAAAGCAAAAACAATGAATATTAAAACAGTCGACTTCTGCTAGCTAATCATGATTTTTTTTTTTTTTTTTTTTTTTTTTAAAAGAACTCGCGCAAACCGAACAAGCGAATTTGGCTATTTTTGACCGTTAAAAAGGTAGCACAATGTTTGTCAAAAAAAAAAAAAAAAAATAAATAAATAAAATACAATACAATAAAATAAAAAATAATAATATAAAATGAAATAAAAAAAACATAACTAAGTGTTATTCAAAGTTACAAAAGAAGATACTATTACGCCTTGGGAGCTCTACAAAGAGCATAAACGAAAAGGTATGCAACACACACGGGATAATTTTTTATAATCCAAAATATATTACGCAATGGTGAGGGGGGGTGGAGATGGCTTGTCAACAAAATCATTATATAATTCTATACTAATCATAGTATTTGGAACTTTCTTCTTTTGTTGATATTTTTCAGGAAAAAAAAAAAAAAAAAAAAAAAAGTCTATCCCCGATAGTATTCTGAATGTATTATTATTCCCCATGTGCAGTTCAAGGATTGACATTTTTTCGAAGCCTACACGTAAAATTTGTAGAATGTGTTAATGCAGAATGGATGAAGCACTTTTCTGCAATATATGCAGTATTCGTTGCTAGTATATAAATCTTCACAAAATTTTCCAATTTTTTGAACGCTATTTACCACGTTAGGTGGTTTGCCATATATAAGAAAAAAAAAAAAAAAAAAACTAAATCAAGGACCTCTCAAAAGGTTGAGGTTGCTTATTAGGTTTGTAAAATTAAGGTGATAAAAATATGCATTGTAACAAAATATGAAAAGAAAATAAATGCATTCTTTCACATAATAGGGAATAAGATAGAGGTGTATTAAAACATGTACCTTTTCTAATGTGTTTTATTGCGATATCGAATGGTGGAGGAGAGGGTGAAGGAAAACGCAAGAGGGGATGATCGTCAAAATGGGAGGATACGTGATCATCTGCAAGGCATGTGTAACAGAAAAAAAAAAAAAAAAATAAATAAATAAGTAGAAAACTAAAATAAATAAAAATAAAGAATAAAAAGTACAAACCAAAATAAGTTAAAACAGAATATGAATAAAAATGAAAAACTAAATGAAACACTAATGAAAAACTAAATGAAACACTAATGAAAAACTAAATGAAAAACTAAATGCAAAATAAATCTGGACATCCCATGTGTTCTAACCATTACAAACCAAAATTTAAACACATCACAATTTGTGTAACGTCCTCTTCCCCCCACCTTCTTTCTTTCCCCTCCAAAAATGTGTTCGCATTAAGCAAATTTGGAAATTTCACATAGTGACTAAATCATGATTGCAAAAAGGACATTGATTAAAAAGAAAATACTTGTTAAAAAACTTATTTTGTGTAGTTATAAAAAAATAACAAAAGGAACAAAAGTATGTATAATCCAATTTTATTCTCAAATTAAATTGTAAAGTACTGATTTTCTCTTCAAATATTTGCTTATTTAAATCATGAGATATGAAAACGCTGGGTATAAGTAGACTATTCTTGTATATGCAACAAAAACTTGTCATGCACTTGTTAAACACATGTTTATTTTCACATATATAATAATGATTATACAAATTCGATAGACATACTTTTCCACAAAGAACACAATTTATTTTAAAAAATATTCGCTCAAAGATATAATGATCATCTTTTAAATGATCCATTTTTCTTTTCACAAATTCGTATATTAAAACATGGTATCTTTCAAATGTGTCTGCATCTATATCTATGCTTTGCGTCTCCCTTGCATTGTCTTTTTTGAAAATATCCTCGAAAATTTTATGCACTCCTTCATCTCCATCATTATAGACCTCTTTTTCTGTGCACACGTCGTCAGGTATGAAGGCATTGGGTGGGAAATTCCTAGCTTCTTCGCTGTCAAGTAAATGATGACTTTTTTCCAAGGGGTCCTTGCGAAGGGTAATGTCAGCTGCCACTCTCTCGTAAGACGTAATCATTATATAGAAGAGACCATAAAAATTGAGTAGTATTATCAGATAAAAATAGTCCAAATTGTTTTTCCTCAAATTGTAATTTAAATTCACAAACACATTGGTGTTATTAATCCTCAACGTGTTTAGCATAATGTACAAGGTTTGACAGAGATACAAGTTTGCATACACATCGGGGAAGATCGAGTTTCCACTTTTTCCACTTTTCGCACCATCGTTAAATATTAACTTATGATATATTTTTATTTTATTTATATAGTATAAGCATTTCTGAAAAGTCAGAATTTTCATTCGCAGGTCTTTGCTTTCATTTTCGAGGTGGGGTCCCCGCTTATTCGTATGGTCACCCATATGGTTATTTTCGTTATTTTCCTTAGGAATAAAAGTTTTCGATTCTTCCCCTTCCCAATTATTATTATTCAAAGATGTCAAATGTTTTGTGTTATTCATTGACGTGTCAGTGTCCTCAGGTGGATTTTTTCCCTTGCACTCCTCCTGTGATGTTTTGAAATCATTTTCTTGCCTTGACATGGCAAGTCCTTCGTCGTGTTCACTGATCTTATAAATATACCTAAACCTTTTTCTATTTCGTCTGTTTTTTTTGTTAATTAAAAAGTATGTTATGTGTGAGCTGAAATAGTCATTACTAAGGCCATATTGCTTCAAACAGTAATTGTACATGTGAATGAAAAAGGAAAATAAAAGAAAGAAATAGTTTCTTATATCTATGCACTCATAAAATTGAAAAGCGATTCTATTCATAGAGCTGGAAAAGGATGAGGGTGTATTTTCTTGACAAAATTCATTAAATATTAAATGGAAAAAAGAGTTATACTCATTGACGTAACATTTTTTAAAATAATTTAAAATTTGCAGAAAATAATAAAAATTCATTTTAATTTTTTTTTTGTTTTCCTTTGGTGATAAATTAAGCATATACTTAAAGAACGTATCATATGTGACGTAGTCTTTTATTATATTTATGAATTTAAAATGACTGTGTGCATCATATGAATTCATTACATTCTTTAGATTTCTTTTTTTATCCTTTTCATTTTCATCTGGGTTATTTCTTTTTTCATTTATTAAAAATAAATCGTAAAATCCGAAAAGGATATATTTATATTCCCAAAAATGAGTTTTATGATCCCTTTGGGTAAATAAATTTCCGTTTAAGTTTCGCCCTAATCTGTTGTTAGACAACTCGTCCGGTGAAACATCCTCTGAAACACCACTTGTTGTGGGATGTTCAATCACTTTTATATCCACTTTTTGGAGGTTAGCAACCCTTGTATTTTTTAACTCACTTTTGGATTTGTTCTGTTTGTTTGATTCGTTCATGTCCTCTCCTACGTCACTCCTTTCGGATGTGCCTCTTCCTGGGTTGCTCATGTCACGTGTTTCCCCTACAACATACGTCATGTTGTGATGTGTATGTGTGCTGGTGTTTCCTCTCTTCCAGCTAGCCAAATGTGAACACATTTTTCGGAAGAGCTTGCTGATCGATTTGACATAGTTGATAATTATGCACTCGTTATTTATGCAGAGGCCAATATTTTCATATTGTTTTTCTTGGTAAAATATATAAACTATACTGTTAAAATAGCTCATTTCGGTGTTATACAATAATATGTCGTTTGCATTTTTTTTTTTTTTTTTTAATACTTCTTCGTTAAATGGAAAGAGAAGAGGAATAAAAAATTGTTTTTTGCATAGGATTTCTCCTTTTGATTTTTCCTTTTCAACTAAAAAAAATTCAAAGTGTTGATTTTTAGTTGTGCACACAAAATTATATTTTTTTACACCTCCGTTTTGGTAGTAGCAGAGCAGTTCAAGCAATGTGAAGTTTCGATTGCCGTATCGAACATCGGGATTGATTCTATGCTGATTTTTGCTCTGATTTTTGCTCTGACTTTTGCTCTTATTTTTGTTCTGATTTTTGTGTTCACCATGGATTTTCCCTTTGGGTTTCTCTTCGCTGCCTTTCTCAAAATTGTGCTTATTCACCTGCACACTGCTGATGATGTTTCCGGGTTTGTTACTATTCGTGCAAGAGTAATTCACTAATTCGATTTTCAAATCATTTTTCTTCCTCCTTAATATTATTATAAAAAAGTCATACTTTGATGTTATTAACAGAAATATGTATTTGTACTTTGCCATTTGGGACGTACTATGATTGTTCCTCTCGTCATCCATAGTGGAATCATATAAAATTCTGTTCATGAATGATGGTTTGCCATGTCTATCACATTCAATGAATGGAGAAATTTCTTCCTTTACAGTGTTCCCAGTGTTCCATTTGTCATACATTCCGCAACTTCCCTTTCTTGTGTTGTCATATCCTTTCTTGTTTGTGATGTTTCTGTCATCGATGTGTGCAATTTGGTTTTTCTTTTCCACGTCTTCATGGGTACATTGGTTTACAGTGTGACGTGATTCAACCCTTAGCTGGTCGCTCAAGTGACCCCTCAAATGGCTGTCTAACTCGCCGCTCACGGTGCATTCCGATCTCAAGGAGAACATATAATCAGAACTGAACTTAATAACCTTTATGTTGTGATAACTACCTTTCCTATTTAACTGAAAATGATAATACTTTGATACATGTAACTCAAATGTTTCTTCGCAAAAAATATCCCTCAAAATAAGATTGCACATAAAAATATAGACAGTTCCTTCATTCGATAAGCAGTATATGGTAAAGGAATAGCTTTTAGGATCGACTAATTTGCATCTCTTCAATTTTGTCAAATAGATACTTGTTATATAAGCAGTAGTTGGGAATTTTTTAAAATTGATAAGACACAACAATTTACACTTTAATTGGTCATATAAATTATATATAAAAAAAGTGTTTCTTTTGAATAAATTTTTATCTGTCTCGTTCAGGTTAAAATGTTTGTTATACATGTCCATTTCTCTCAAATTCGGAATATCTTCATCCATATTTATGCATTTTTTTTCTTCATTCGAGGAGTTATTATAATTGTATAAAATCATTATGATCAGGTTATTCTTGATATATTTTAGGCAGAGAGTGAAGACAAGGATTTTTTTTTGTTTTTTTTTTGTTTTTTCTTCTTCTTCTTCTTCTTCTTTTCCCTTCCCTGGGGGAGTAGTTGTAGTATTGTTAGGATACCCATTTAACCTTTCATTAAGAATCTCATTTTGAAATATATCTGAGTCGCTCCAAACAAATTCAACAAAGGAATTTTTAAAAAAGTAATAATCCGAATAATAAACAGAACAAATATTGATCCTTTTATAAACTTCCCTTTTCACATGAATTACCTGTTCCTTCAGGTATGTTTCACCTCCAATAGGTTTTTTAAAAAAGCTTTGTTCCTTCGAACTTTTGTAATTTACTTCATGTGTAATTAGGCTTACATTATCATCGTAGCATTTTTTAAAAAAATTTTTAAAATTCAAAACTTCGAAAATTAAATTAAATTTGCTATTTTTTACATAGCCAAAAAGAATGTCATTCTTTCTATTGGTCTGAACAAAAATGTAATCATTCGAATTTATTTCTGGTATATTGTCAACATACTTTTCGATTCTCTTGACAACCTTGGGATTTAGCGTTAAAATGAGTTTTTTTACAAAGCACACTTTTTTGAAGCTGCAATATGGGGTGGATGGTGAATAAAGAAAAAAAGAATCAAAGATTGGTGAATGAAGTGAGAAAAATGATGTAAATGAACTTTAGTTATGAAACATTTTAATAAGTCCATCAAACGCAGAAAAAAAAAAAAAAAAAAAAAAAAAAACTCCGATGAACAGAATCGAATCGAATCGAACTGAATTGAACACATTGCATTTCGATATTACCCTCCAACTTGCCTAAACAATTGTGCATACAAAATTTAACAAATGGTACACGGTTCGGTGTATAAAAATCTATGAACATCACAAGACCTACACGAATGATGGTATGTATGCTTACACTTCAATATGTTCTACGTTCTGAATGGCCTCCAAAATGAACTCCTGTCTAGAGGCACATTTCAAATTTTGCTTTGAGTCCACGGTTACACACACAGAGGAACTTTTCTTCACATAATCTAAATAGTCTGATATGTTAATATTCATATGCGAATTAACATTTACGTATACATGTGGATAGAACAGAGATCTTAAATCAAAGACATGGAAATAATTACTACTCTGAAATAGAATTTCTTTTTCATTTAACTTTAAATTTGTCTGATTGAAATCGAAATACGTATTTCCCTTTTTTGTTAAATATTTTTTATATCTCAAAAGGGAAGAAAATATGATAAAATTATTTTTCTCGTTTTTCATTAATTTTGTTTCTTCCTTTTTTTCTCTATCATTTTCCGGTTCTACATTTGGAATATGTTTCTGTGTCACATGATCACTGCTACTTGATTCATTTACCTTTTCGGATCTCTCAAATGAATTATCTCGTTTTTCTCTTTTCATTAATTTTTTTCTATGTTTGAATTTCAAATGGATGATTATTTTGTTTCTCTTTGAAAGTGTTTTTTTTTTTTTTTTTTTTTTAAGGGGAGAAGGTTGTGGTTAGGATTACAAATTGACGCAACACTCATCACACATACTTTTCTTGCCTCCATATGTCTTACTATAGAATGTCATTATTTCCAGCTTATCATTTGTCACGTGTTAAGAATTTTCCTTCCTCAAGGAAATTGATGTCTAAATATTTCTTGAAAATGTTTAAACATAAATGAATAAACTGAAGAGAGGTGTTTACATATATTAGGTGGATTTTTTTTTTTTTTTTTTTTTAAACTCGTTTTGTACAATTGGGGAATGAATGTGCTAAAAAATTGAACAATAATATCCCCACATTTTACCCGATAAGGGCTTTTCAAAATGAGTTATTCAACTAAGATATGCATTTGTGTCGTGTGTCTATATGATGATGGGCTTATGTTTATTCTCTGTGTGTATCTTTGTCATATCTTTGTTGTAAATTCAGCCTTTTAACTTTGTTCATTATATAACACATTGTAAAAGAAAAAAAAAAAAAAAATAATAATAATAAAATAATAAAATAGAACAGAGTAATATAGTAAACCGAAGTAATACAGTAAACCGAAGTAATACAGTAAACCGAAGTAATACAGCAAACCGATGTAATACAACAAACCGATGTAATACATCAAGCCGATGTAATACAGCAAACCGAAGTAATACAATAAAAAAAGGTAATATAATAATAATAATAAAGCTAAAGGTTATGCAACCATATGCGACCTGTTAATCAGTTCCCTTAGGCACTCAGAGAAATTAGTGAACACCAATTGCAGCAGATAGAAGAAGCAGAGGAGTTCGGAAAAAAAAACGCATTCCCCAAATGGTACAAATCGGATAGCTCATATTTCTAGAGAAAAGTGGAAGAGGAAAAAAAAAAAAAAAAAAAAAAAAAGTCGTCACTAGGTATATGTTCACCTCAACATATGGATGCTTTGTACATTCCTCAAGTATTTAGAATGGACTAAAAATTAAAACAGAAGAAATGTTATATTTTCTGCCTTTTTTTTTTTTTTTTTTTTTTCACAGTTAACCAGATTGAAATATAAAAGCCTTACACATGGGTGTATGGTTCATGTTTGCAATTTTTGTGCATGCGATTTTATTTCTAAGCACCTTAACCTACTTAAGGTTGCGCTGCCCATGAAGTGGAAGGGGGGGGGGGGAAAAAAAAAAAGATCTCATGAGCTCCTATGTGAGGCCTCGAAAAAAAAAGGCACAAAAGGGGTAATTCAATAAGTAATGGACGAAATTTGTCAATCATGTGTTAAGTTTATACATACATTATAAGTATATATATATATTAGCTTGCACTTGTGCTCGAGTGTGTTAAACCCGAAAATCCAGGAAAACAGGTAAAGGTCTCCTTTAAGAATTGGCCTTGATTGTCCGTTAATTAAGTACCTTAGTATATCCACATTCATTTTGAATAAATTCATCGCATCATACATATTTTAGGGATTTTATTGGATTGCCAAAAAAAAAAAAAAAAAAAAAAAAAAAAAGGGAACACATAAGGTTAACTTAACCATTTAGAGATTTTATAAAATCATAAAAGGAAAAGAACTAAAATGTAAGAACGCGCGTTACAAGTAAACAATATATGAGCGTAACAATTTCTTGATGCTTTACTATACGTTCAACTTGCATACACTTCTTACACACCTTTATCACACCCCTTCATCACGTCCCTTACAGTAAGTTATTTATTTTATTTTTTCCCTTGTCATCATAAAATATAAAGAATGTGATATTCACGAATGGGGAAAATCATTTTCTCACCTACCAACGTGTGCACAGAAGTTCGTGTGTAAAGAATGTTGTGAGAAGTTGGTGGTGCTTGTTAAGGTGGCATACACATGTACTCCTGCACATGCACCTATATATATATATATATATATATATTTATGTACACATATGTATACCCATTTTTTACCCGTTCCAGCTCAGGCATTATTGACGATTTCTCGAGCGGGAAAGGATGGTGAGCAAGAAAACTTTAGAAGCCCGAAAGGCCTTTTATGAAGAAGATGTAGAAAAATCAAAAGAAGCACATGATTCATATCATAGTTTAGACAAACATGGAGAACAACATAGTCTTGATAGGGACAACCTGAAAACAATAATTTTTGGAAGTTTGGATGGAATAATCACAATTTTTGCAATTGTGTCAGGATGTGTAGGTGCGAAAATAACACCTGCACAAGTTATAATCATAGGTATTGGTAATTTATTTGCAAATGCAATTTCAATGGGATTTAGTGAATATACGAGTACAACTGCACAAAGAGATTTTATGTTAGCAGAAAAAAAAAGAGAAGAATGGGAAATTGAAAATTGTCCATCAGAAGAAAAACAGGAAATGGTAGATATTTATATGAACAAATATAAATTTGATAGTGAGGATGCAAGAAATCTCGTTGAAATTACATTTCGAAATAAAAATTTTTTTTTAGAGCATATGATGTCAGAAGAGTTAGGACTACTCATTACCCACGAGGATAAAAACGAATCACTTAAAAAAGGAATTCTCATGTTCTTAAGTTTTTGTATCTTTGGTTTAATTCCCTTAATTTCCTACGTGGCTTACACATTTTTTTTTCATTATACGGATTACAATACCTCCTTTATCGTTGTTTTTGTGTCAACATTGATTACTTTATTTATCTTAGGCATATTTAAGGTAAACCCCACCATTTTTCTCCTCTCACACATATGTATACCATTACAGATGGTATATCATTGTCCCTTTAATATATGTTCTGTGTATATGCATGCACCTGCAGAGTAACTGCACACGTATGACCATGCAATATGTATAATATTTATACGCATGAATAAATATACAAAAAAATATCCATTATTGTGCAATATGTCATTTCTTTTGTTTCCTACAAAACCATCCCTTTACAGTCACAATTCACTAATCAGAAGCCTATTCATTGTGCCCTTTGCATGGTTTTCAATGGATCCATTGCTGGAATGGTTCCATTTCTATTGGGAATTTTACTTAAAAACAACATTGCAGATTGAGTGGGAAGATGAAAAGATGTGATTGCATATATATATCCAGTCCGTTCAGTAGGAGTGGCATATTCATCGTTCTTGTTATACTATTTTTTTTTTTTTTTTTTTTTTTCCGAAGACACCTCGTTCAATTTTTTTTGCTTCATCGCAAGTTTTTCACATTTTAGTAATAATTTTTTACGTTTTGTTTCCTTGTGCCTCTCACGTCCAGTAAAATATATGCAGTCTCCTCTCATTGATTAGCCTATTATGAATTATTTCCGCAGCATATGTTCTCGTTACTTTTGCTACCGCGTCATTTTTCCAACCGCTTCATTTTTCTATCGTGCAATTTCTCTTTCTTTTTTTTTTTTTTTTTCTTTCATGGTTTTTTTGTACATATTTGCACTCCTTTTAACTAGACCTTTCGCTTTATGCCACTTTATGAAACTCATTTTTATATGGAACATATTTCCGCTATTGTGCTTAACGGACCATGTTGTGTTAATATTAATGTCAATATATATATACCCCTTTAAATAAATATGAAAACAAGTGAACGAGCTAGCCATTTGAAGTGTTCTTTCTTTTTTTTTTTTTTTCTTCACAAAAGTAGGAAAAACTGTTCAGGTATCCATTGGTTTTTCAATTTTCACAGAATTTTTACAATTGAATTTTTCTGTAAATAGATGATATTTTTTGGTCCTGATTTATGGATAAATCCGACTTTGAGTTTAGTTGAACTGAAAACTGATAAATATGCAAAAATGTAAGACTCATTATTTTTCATTTTTTTCTTCCTCTTATATTTTTGCCATACAAAAAAGAAGAGAAATTAAATAAAGTTATGTTATGACTATTAAAATTTTTTCACATTGTAATAAAAAAAAAAAAAAAAAAAAAAAAAAAAAAACGCATGTTTGAATCCGATTATTTAAAGGGACCTTAATCATTTTTTTTTTTTTTTTTTTTTTTTTTTTTTGCTCCATTATTTGTAGGTTGTAGGAAAGAATACATTCACATAAAGCATGCACACACATGTAATAACAGTATACATAAAGATGTCAACAAGCGTAAGGTAATCCATATCAGACCAAAGGCTTAAAACTTATACACCAATCTTGCAACAATATTTGCAAATCACTAGATCCTTAGATGAACATTCTTTATTTGTGCTAAGATTTGTTATATTTCAAAAGGATAGGTGGAAACATTTTTGGATTTGCTTTAGAGTGATAAACGCGTTATAGACCTTAAAAAAATAAAAAAAAGAGATAAAAATTTTAAAACTTTTTTTTTTTTTTATTAACTTCATATGAAGAAAAAATAAATTAGAATTTCTTTCCTACAAACACATTTTTACTGGCTCATGAAATAGATTTACATATATATAGGTATACAAATGTATTCACAAATGTATATATATATATATATATATATATATATATACACGTAACCAGGTTTCGCAGTCGCTTAAACACTTTTGGAAGAAACTGCAAATTTTTTATCATATCGATGGACAAGGCCATAACTCATTAATTAAGCCGAATCGGAAACATTCAACATAGGTGGGTTACACACAGGTGGGTTATACACAGGACTATTGCATGAGTTTGAAAAGGGTGATTTTGAATACTTAGGCAATGATAAACAGTTTGTCGCATGCATATGTATCCATAAACAATGTACATTATATATGCATGCTTATGTATTAGCCAGACCTTTCTATCCCAATGAACTGGTTACCATATCAGAAAGGTAGGAAATTTCGAGTGTTCAAAAAAAAAAAAAAATAGGGAATTTTCTGGTCTAATAAAAAAAAAAAACAATTATAAAGAGAAAGATTTCACATTTACAAGATGAAAAAAAGAAAGAATTTTGGAAATATTTTATAAATTAGGACTATTATACCTTTTTTTTTTTTTTTTTTTTTTTTTTTTGAGCAAAATTTCTCAGTTCAACACTAAAGTGTATTATGTACATTATAAACAAATAGAGATTGTATTACAAGACATGTTTTTCTTATATATTGTATATATTTTTTTTAATTTGTTCATGATAAAATGAGATTGATATGATTTACTATCCTTTTCAGTTTAACGTTACGATTAGTGGGGATGTTTATTTATGGAATCACCGATATTAGTGCTACAAGAAAATTTTATCGGGTTCAATTTGGTTTTCTGGTTTGGCTAGATCGTGATTCTCAGATTGATTTCCCACACGTATTCTATCTTCATTCCATGTATCTATCTGAACCAACGAAAAAGAGAATCTGAAGTGGTAGGTGACAACAAACGGAAGGGAAAGGAGTAAAAAAAAAAAAAAAAAAAATATTTACATATACATATGCACATATATATATATATGTGCATATATTCTCTGATAGAAACATACGGGAGTAACGATAAAATGAGTAAAGATATAATAAACGGATCCATTTTACATTGTCTGGAAACAGCGACATTAGGTATGCCTCTCGAGGTATGGAAAACGAGGATGTGTGTTTATAGGAATGAAAACACAATAAAAGCTTTTGGAAATATTTATAACAAAGGATTTGGACAATTCTACGCTGGTTTTTATGCAAAACTAGTAGAAAGCGCGTCGAAGGGTGGTGTTTTGCTCATATCAAAAGAACAGATGATCAGATTTTGCAATGATTTAAATGTAAATAAAACAACAAGTGGTTTTATTGGTGGGGCTACTGGAGGAATTTGTCAATCGTTTGTCATGACTCCATGCACCTTTTTTATAACCGCTAGTATTGATAAAAAAATTAATTATAAGGAAAAAATTTTTGATATTTTTAAAAATACAGGATTTACAACTCTATACAAAGGGAACAGTGCTATGTGTTTGCGTCAGGGAACCAACTGGGCCAGTAGACAGGGTTTAACTGAGTGGGTTCGAAATTTTTTTATAGAAAGTAAGAGGAGGAAAGTGGAAGAGAATTGCCACATAGGATGGAAAAGTGATGAAAAAATAGGAAGAGAAAATGGATTTAAATCAGACGAGAAAATAAATGCTCGAACTATCGTTCAAAACCAAATCATAAATAAAAATGAACAAATTGATAACATCACCATCGCATCAAAGGATGTACATTTATTGAACCAAGGGAGAGATACTTCCTACGATTTAAATGCAACGGAAGAGCTCCTTTGTGGTGTCCTTGGAGGAGCCTTATCGGTATGGAATAATCCATTCGATGTGATTCGTGTGTACATGCAGAATAATGCAAATAATAACATCAAGCTTACATTTTCCCAATCATTTGTTAACCTTTACAAGGAGGGAGGGATATTGTATTTGTACAAAGGAGTAATTCCTCGTTGCATTTTATGCATCTGGCAAACCTTATTTATGGTTACAGGGATTAAAATTTTGAATAAGTATTACTAACAAAAGTTTTTTCTCATTTGGGTGTAGATATGGAGGGAGTATCATCTATCCATCATTATGCCCATGTGTGTACGTGCATTTGTAGATTTTATGTGGAGTTACATCTTTTTCTTTTATCCTCTATTTATTGATGTGTCCTTTAGTCACCTCCAACCATGCAATAAAGCAACACACGTTCGGATTTGCGATAGTTCATTGAAACTTTTGGTATAAAAACTTTTAAAAGAGTGACAAATAAAAGTAATTAATACTGATGATTGCTAGTAAGTTTTTATGAAATCGATTATATTAATACGTACACACATATATATATATACATATATATATATATATATATATATATATATATATATATACATATCAAATATATGTGCAGGTAGATGACCTACTTTGGGGGCGTCCATATTTAACGTACCCACCCCCATCCTCATGTATGGGTAACAGGTGTGGGTATCTTTACAATTCTTATTTTTTTGCACAAAAACATGTTTCTATGTTATTGAAATGGAGCATAAAGAATTTTTGAGAGGTGGTCAGCCGGACATATGTGGGAAATTGTTACCATATGCATTTAGATAGATTGGTGGATAAATTGGGGGACAGATTGATGAACATATTGATGAACATATTGATGAACAGATTGATAGACTAATAGATAGACTGATAGACAGACTGATAGATAGACTAATAGATAGACTAATAGACAGACTGATAGATAGACTAATAGATAGACTAATAGACAGACTGATAGATAGACTAATAGATAGACTAATAGACAGACTGATAGATAGACTAATAGATAGACTAATAGACAGACTGATAGATAGACTAATAGATAGACTAATAGATAGACTGATAGATAGACTGATAGATAGACTAATAGACAGACTGATAGATAGATGCATTTTTTTCAGCACGTACATAGGAAAGTATATCCAGAGGGTATATATAATGCACATGGGTGGTGGAAAAGCCAGTAATGTTCGCGTGCAGGGAAATTACTCTTCCAGAGAAGTGCTGTTTTCACCCTGATGAGAAGAGTTAAAAAAATTTTTCATTTCATAAAACTTTTTTTTTTTAATTTCGTATGCTATTTTTTTTAACAAATTAAAGTTCTTGGAATCTCTCTCTGCATAAATGTCCTTAATGGGAGGTCCAGTTTTTTTTTTGTGAATGAAGAGTTCATAATTATTTTGTTCTTTCAAGGCATTTTTATTAACAGGTTCAGGCATAGCACATCCAGATATTTTTGATATGCGTACACATTCTCCATTCATCATATATCTTCTTTTTACAACAGTTGGTTTTTTACTTATTGGATCTAAAATTGCGACATTAGTTATATGAATAGGCATTTCTTGCGTTATAATTGAACTTGTTTTTTTATTTGTAACATTCCATGCTGATTTTTTCATGTTACATCCATCAACAATTAGTGTGTTTCTTTTTGGATTTATGTTTAACACAATACCTTCTCTGTCTTTATACGGCCCATATAACACTTTAACTAAATCTCCTACTTTAATATTTAAGTACTTAGACAAGTCTAAGTGTTTGGGTTGGTTCCTTTCTCTCAATGGAAAAGGAATGCTAAGCTCTTTGCTTAATTCTAAGAAGTCTAGTTGCCCATACTTTCTTTTTCGTTTGTCAAGACGTTTCGCTTGAACGAAATATTTTACATATCGCGACATGTTGGTTCGATCGTTGCTTATTGCCGAAGTGGCTAGTAAACTGGATATCTATCAGAACATGTAACTGATTATGTAACTGGATATCTAACTGATTAGGTAACTGGATATCTAACTGATCATGTAACTGGATATCTAACTGATTATGTCACTGAATATCTAACCGAGCATCTCTGTAAGATTAGTTACTCCTTTTTCTCTACTTTTAACGCCTAACGTTGGGTGGATGTATCACCGTGTGATTTGTTATTCAGTTCTCTTGCATGTGTTTATGTTGTGCTTTAGATATACTTCGTTTTTCGATAAATACTTTAAAAATCCCCTTTAACTTGAAACTCTTTTTTTTTTTTTTTTTTTGCAAATTCCTACACCACCACACTCCCACAAATCTGAGCTATACTTCTCAACATGAGCCATAAAATGAACACCTCCGTCTGTTGTATATGCCTCGTATTTCTGTTGTCAACCAGTGGGTGTTACAAGGCCTTTTTTTCCGAGTTACGTTCGCTTCAGCTTGGTTACGTTTATTCATTCATTCATTCATTCAATTATTTTATTTTTATTTTTTTTCATATTTTTTGTCTCTCTGAATGGCCAAAATAGCTTTTCCTAGTGTGTGGTGCGATTTGTCGTGCGTTAGTTATAAATATATACATACAGTTGTTTTCGCTTTTGATATCATTGCACTGTTTTGTATTAAGATCGTATGCTTAATCCGATATGCAGTTTTTTTTTCATTTACCCCCCTCATATTTTAGTATGTACCTTTTCTATATTTTTTCCTTTTTCCTTTTTCCTTTTTTTTTTTTTTTTTTTTTTTTTTTTTTTTTTTTTTTTTTTTTTTTTTTTTTTTTTTTTTTTTTTTTTTTTTTTTTTTTTACTTTTGGGAAGAGGTGCGACTAGCCATTCTTTCAAACCTCGCAGAAATGTTTGTCAAAGAAAAAAGGGGAAAAAAAAATAGTTACCCAAGATGAATGGAGAAAATAAAGAGGAATAAAAAATAAAAAGTGGTCCTATGTGTGGCATAAATAAAAAAAAAAAAAAAAAAAAAAAAAAAAAAGATCTAGAGTTATAGATTCAATACATCTAAGACAATTTCTCTTCTATAACTTCACATGCATTTCATTTAATAACATGTGACATGGTTTATTTTTTGATTTACTATTTAATAGCATGTAGATTTGTCAGATAATATCCACCTTGCTTAAATATTTTACTACTTATCTATTTAGAAAGGCAATCTTGGAAGATTTACATTTTTTTTTTTTTTTTTTTTTTTTTCTTTCCTTTATGTCATACGATATAGATCTTTTACTATCGTAGCTTATTCTCATAAGTGTAGAAGTTAGATTATATCATTTTGTAAGTGTGCATTATAATGACATTCATCTAACGTCTCATAACCAGTTCTTCACCCGTTGACAAAAAGAAAACACACATATATATATATATATATATATACATATATAGCCCCTTTGGATATCATGCTCAAACGAAGGGACCTAACTGAGAATAAGAAAAGTGGTCTAGATAAACTTGATAAGTTCGGACAGAGAAGTTGTAGAAAAAGTAAGGAGGTTCAAAATTTTCAGTTGATAGATGCTAATGGAAATGATAACAAGAAAGAGGCCTTTGAATACAAGCAGAGCACAAATATAATAAATAGAGATTTGGACTTAGGGTTCAGGGTTCAAAATATTTTTAAAGAAAATAAACGTAGTTATAATAACCTAAACGGAAATAAGGATGATTATATTCCTTGTACAAGCCAGGAACAGTTTAACATTGTTGATCAAGATAAAAAGTTGAGTTCTGATGGTGTTCATATTTCTAAAAGGAGCAAAAGAATGATAGACGATCGGGACAGTTCAATTACAACAAATGATGTTTCTGAAGATGAGGGTTTAAACAAAATTCAAGGTGACCTCCATGCGAATCTCAAGGAGAAATACTCCCATAATAACAATTTGCTCTCTATTGCTGACGTGGAAATGCAAAATGGATCCATAAGTATCCGAAAAAGGAAAATAATTAAAAGAGAAAATGAAAGAAGTGGTAGGGATGGCAGTGGTAGAAGTGACAGTGATGGAAGTGACAGTGATGAGAACTACCATGTGACGAGGGATAGGCAGCAAAGTCGAACTGGTTGCAGAGACAGTAAGGCCCGTGAACGCACAAAGAAAGAAGAACAGATTTTGGATATAAGTAAAAATATTTACAATATTTTGCAGTTATTAAAGATTCCACCAAATGATATATTAAAGAGGACAAGTAGAAGATTTGCTGAAACATTTTTATACCTAACAAATGGATACAATATGAATATTGAGAAAATAATTAAAAAATCATTATATAAAAGAAAATATAAGAACAATTCCTCAATTAAGATTACAGGAATTCATATATACTCTTTATGTAAACATCATTTATTGCCATTTGAAGGTATATGTAACATTGAATATATGCCAAATAAATATATTATGGGGTTATCAAAATTCTCAAGAATAATTGATGTATTTTCACGGAGATTACAATTACAGGAAGATTTAACAAATAGTATTTGCGATGCTTTAAAAAAATATTTGAAACCCAAAAATATTAATGTAAATATTGTGGCCAAACATTTGTGCATTAACATGCGTGGGGTGAAAGAACACGATGCAACTACTATCACAAATGTGTATTACGAATTAAAAAATAATAAGTATGTTAAGTGTGTGGATAAACATAACTGCGTTCCCAATGGGCTGAAAGCTCCATGTCGTGGTGACCACCAGCTAGTTCAAGATGAAATGGCGTTCATGCAAAGTTGATCATTTTGTGTGATGCGTATTTTTGATCAAGGCTGGTTTTGCCCTTACGTGCTTGTCTGTTTCTTCGATTGTTTGTTTCTCTGTCTGTCTCTCTGTTTGTGTGAATGTGTTTGCTTCTTTTCGTTAGCTTCTCTGTGCTTGTCTTTTTCTGTGCCCTTCTCGTTGACAGTATGTGGGAACATTTTCCTATAAGAACTCGCATGTACCGACAAACACAGATACTATATTACACAAACTTTTCTATACACTCGCCACCCCTTCTTCAAATATCCACCGCTTGGAAAAAAGGACTGCACTGTTTTGGTTATTTAAAATTTTTTCATTTTATAATCAGCAAAAGAACCTCTTGTTTTATTAAGAATTATATGTATATATTTTTTTCTTTTTTGATAACAGAAAAAAGGGGAAATAACAACATACGCGCTTGTACACACATATATACACATTTAAAATAACATGGATTTAAAAAAAAAAAAAAAAAAAAAAGGGATTTAAAAAATTGTTCATTAAAAATATTGTATACAAAAATATATGTACAATGTGGTAACAAAAACATGTACGTTCTTGTGGACGAATGGAATGCGAATGTGTGAATACATGATCCACAGCAAGGCGTGAACATATATGTATAATATGTATACATATCAAACTGCGAATTACATAAAAAAAAAACATTGCATATATATGTATACATATATATATAGGCAAAATTTTGATTGCGCCCTTTAAAAGCTCTTCTTTAAATTTATTAAAAAGTGATGAATTAAAAAACAAAAGGAGTGTATTTAAAATACAAAATGCCATTTTTTAAGACCAACATGGAGAGATCCCTGACCCGGAAAATGACCATCTGGCCGACGTTAATGGTGCATATGTGATAATTTGATTGCACGATTTTTTTTATGTGATAATTCGTTAGTATGTGAACCTTGTCTTGGCTTTTTAAGGCTATGTATTGATGAGTAAGAGGGTTATGAATGTAAAATTTTCTGTGGGTAAGAAATTGTGCATTCATGACATTTTTCCCGTAGTTCTATTTTTATACTGTGTAATACCTCTCTGGTGCTACACCGTTTTTTTTTTTTTTTTTTTTTTTTTTTTTTTTTTTTTTTTTTTTTTTTTTTTTTTTTTTTTTTTTTTTTTTTTTTTTTTTTTTTTTTTGTTTTAACGATGTGTCCATTTCCCATTACAATCATCACGAGGGTTGCCACTGAAATATTTCGTGAGACCTTGTTAATGCTGTACCTATGATATGTCGTTTCACACTCGTCTGAAGACTAATCATCCAAAGAAATGTGCGTCAAATTGATACAGTTGATATTTCCACATGCCATGGTAAAGGCCTTCTTCGGCTTTTTTTGCAACTCCTGAAAGCTGGCTTCATCTACAAAAAGAGTTTTCGATACATGCAATATACTTTATATGACAAGGCTACAGTTGCGTATAATTTTGCGCACATATATATATATATATATATATATATATATATATATATATGTATATACGCATGTGCGTGTGTATATATATGGGCATATAGATATGGACACAATAAGCACGACACTTCCTAATTGCTGTATAAAAAGTTAGCTTAACCTGCATAAAGAAAAATGAGGACTCTATTAACATAAGTAATTGTTTCCACATTGTCATTTCCTTTTTTCACTGATATGATAGGACAGTTATCATTTTTGTTTTTATCTCCGTACCAAAAGACACATGCATAATCATCTCCTAAAATAGGATCGTCATTTTTTGTGATTCCATTTGCAATTTTGCCTGAAAAAAGAGTGGAAAACGGGGATGATTATGTCAGTGTTGGGATTGCTAAATATGCATATGGTTAGTGTAATAATGTGGGGATGCTCATCCACTCCTCTGCATTGCATATTATGCCCCTCCACTCTTCTGTATTGCATATTATGCCCATTATCTTTTCTTCGCATTGTATATTATGTGCACTGTCTATTTGGCCTATTTTCTGATGTGCGCATTTTCCCTCGTGTGCACCATCAAAGGGAATCTTTCCTGTTTCATACATAAAATGTTTTGAAGTTGCTGTGAATCCTTCCAGTATTCCTTGGCTCGAGGATGCACGTAATTTTCCCAAGCCCTACATAATAGTAAAATTTCATTGGTTGATCTTTTTTCTATTTGATCTCCTACTTTGGATATAACTTGAGATACGTCATTACTGGTACTATCCTAATTGAAAAATTCAAACAAAAGATTCGTATGTTTTTATGTAAATATATTTGCACACATTTTGAGAGTGACATATGCGTAAATTATGGTTTTTCCCATTATGGCACAACTGTGATATTCTCCATTTTCTTTTTCTTTTTTTTCTGTAAATATGTCTATCAAAATGGGAGTTGGAATGTGCACCAACTTGTTCGTCAAGTTTATCTATTATGTGTTTTATTATTTTGCTTTACTATTTATTTGTTTTATTTTATTTTATTTTTTTTGCGGTTACGTCGTATGTCACATTGGAACTTTTTTTCTCCTCTTTTTTTGGTAGGTTTTCGCCATATATAAAATCTAAAATATACTCGAAAGGAGACACTGAGCAATATTGGCAGTTGAAAATATCCATTATACTTCTTAACTAGGGGTGTTTGAATAAGTTTTAAAGGCTTGTGAATTTCGGTAAAAAACAGAGATACGAGGAAAATAAAACCATGTTCATAATGCAAGTGTACAAGGATACGTGTATGTCACAATATGTATGCACCTGAACACCCGTGTATGCACATGAATAGTCGTGCATGAATATTTATGCATGCATGGGGCCCCAATGTGTCTATGCTCGCGATGTGTTCATGTTAAGGTTACAAGTTAAATTAGTTTTTTTTATGTGATGCGGGTGGCGTGAGGTTGAAAAGTACAAACTTTTTTGAAACATTGAAAGTGTTGAAAATTTTGAAATAAGGGAAATTGTTAACACTATAAATTTGCTAAAGCTGTGGAAGCTGTGGAAACTATGGAAATTGTTAAAATCGCTAATTTGTTGAATTTGTTAAAATCTTTGAAATTGTTGATACTCTTATAAATTTTAACAATATTCCAAACCCTCCAAAATTTAAAAACTTTAAAGATTTTAAATCAGAATTATTTTCGGAAAAAAAAAAAAAAAAAAAAAATTGGAAATAAACTGAGTATTTTTTTTTTTTTTTTTAAGTAAATATTCTCCCCATTTTCACCAGCCCTTTACAAAGTGCACAATGGTGTTTTTTAGCACTTTTTAGACTTTTTATGAAAATTTGAATATATTTTTTTTTTAAGTTCAGAAATTGAATGTTTGATAGTCTCTCGTTTGACATTGTGGAAAAAAAAAAAAAAAAAAAAAAAATACATACATGCATAATACATGCATATATACATGCACATACACAAGTTACACGCCAGTAGGTGTGTCAAGGAGATGCATACCAATAAACGCACATATATTCAATGACATTACGCATACACGTTATACAAATATTGAGGAACTTCTGGAACCCTTTCCCCTCAAATAAGCCTTTTCAAACGTAAACCATAGCAAAAGAAAGTGACACAGAACAGTGCAAGAGTCAATGATAAACATGCATAGTTAATTTTGTAAAAAGGAAGGAAAAATCTGAACTGTTCATAAAATCTTATATGGTTGCAATTTTGCAACACAATTAGATCAGTCTCGTGTGCGCCTAAAAAAGGTATGCATGCTGATGTGTGTACGTAGTATATATGGAAAAACAGAATTCATATTTGCAAATGTTTCATTTTTTTTTTTTTTTTTCGGCGCAGAACATTTCTCTGTATATTACAATTGTGCAATTGTGCAGAAATAGTTGCAATATTTTTTCATTTACATTCAAAAATGTGCTATTATTTAGTGTCATCACAATACCATTCTGCTATTGCATTTATAACGCCTTTTTACCATTCCCATTATTGGTTTGGAAAATGTTAAAAAGTTTCACTATTTTAAAAAAAAAAAAAAAAAAAAAAAGCCGAAAATTTGTGAAATAATCTCTCGTATTACACTTTGGGGGGTGGGGGGAGAAATATTCAAATGGTTCAATTTATGTGTAAAATATTTGACAGCTATAATTTCCCTCTTAGCATTTCATTTCTTGTTTAATTTTTTTAAAAAATATTTTAGTTCGAAATAAAACAGTTCAAAGAAAATATTCCTTTGTGTCATATCTTTGCACATGCAACTTGTTTTGATTCAGGACATGGATAAATTCGTTAATATAATTCTAAGGTTTAAAAAAAAAAAAAAAAAAAAAGAAAATCATTTATTTTGACATTCGCGTGAGTCAGGTTAACATTGGGTGTGATTTATAAATTACCTGAAATGCCTTAAAAATGCAAAAGTTGTACTCTCCTCCTTCTCTCCTCCATCTCTCCTCCCCCTGCTTTCTCCTTCATTTTATGAGTTAAAAGTGATAAGATGAAGAAAAAGACATGTGTGTTAATTTATATCATTCTGTATAGAAACATATTCATATGAGTAGTAAATTTCAAAAAATATACAATATGTCATATGAAATGCATAGGAATAAATACTTTCGTTTTTCCTTTATTTATAGCTCTCCTCTCTGCCCCTCTACTTTCAATATTGCATTGTTTGTTCAGTGTGTGCATATGTTTCAATAATACTTGTTGTAACCCAGGGAAATTGTGAACTGAGTCATATCAACGAATCAAATTAATGTACAAGAAGAAAAATGGAAAATTGTACATGGTTGCGTTTTGGGGGTATTTAACTGTAGAATTGTTTGGGACCCTTTCGATGGGGAGAAAAAACATAGCGCTTGCTTTTATGTTTTGTTGAGGAAAGTTTATTTTACTTTTTGTTCTTTGCTTTGCTTTGCCCTGCTTTGTTTTGTCTTGTTTATTTTCCCTCCAAAAGATATTCATATAAATTAGGGAAAATAACTTTGTCAACTAAAGGGAATACACCCATCGGTTGGCACTCTTATTATTCATATGTAAAATATATAAATTGTCAATAATTCATAAAAAGTAAGATATTTCATCCATTGAATGTAAAGCTATTCCGATTAATCATGAGACTGGTTGGGAATTGCATATTTTGTTATACTGGTTTTTCGAGGGTGACTTGTCCTTAATGCGTCATGAGGGGTAAAAAAAAAAAAAAAATAGGCTCTTACATTAAGTTTATCTGTGTGTCTATCAATCTGCATGTCTCCTTAGGATAACTATTTGCCTGTGTGTCTCCCCAATGGTCAGCTGGACAAATCTATAAAAGGATCCCAGTTCTGTTCATCTCATTTTTGTAACTCTCTATTTTTTCATCCTTTAAGATTACATCCCACTTCATCCTTTTATGTCATCCATTTTTCAATTTGGAAAAATCTTACGAGAAAAGGTAAGTAAAAAAGTGGTTCTTACTAAAAATAGGGTGCACGAAATATTCAAAGTGATAACGCAATAAAACATATCAAAGCATAGTAAAATAAACAAATTATCAAATATTTTCTGTGTAGTCTCCAATTGTAGTTTAAAAAAAAAAAAAAAAAAAATCTCTGTTAAGCGCTCTTTTTTTTTTTTTTTTTTTTTTTTTTTTTTTTCATTTTTTCGATCTATCAAAGTCTGTTTTTGCATCAAGTTGTCGAGGTCTGACACATTGTTTGAATATGAAAGCATTAATATGAACACACATCCATGAGTAATATGAGTGGATGTAATTTTAAAATGTTCTGTTCATGTGTACACAACAACATATATATGCATTCACCTGAATATACATTTTCCTGTGGCTCCTTTATTGTCACAAGGACAGAAAAAAAAAAAAAAAAAAAAAAAAAAAAAATTGCAGAGTACCACTGCTTGGTTTTTTTTTTTTTTTTTTCTTCTTTTTAGAAAATATAAGTGCATTTTTGTTTTTCCTCTTTAAGATGATTACAATTTTTTACGCGTTAAATAAGGAACAAATTCGCAAGTGAGTGAACAAGCAAGCGAATGAACAAACAGGTGAATAAACGGACCATAGAACGAACGAACGAACGAACAAACGAACAAGCATGTAAAAAGGAAGAATTTTTTGCAAAGTCCCAGAAGGGAATGCACACAAAATATACCAACATCAGTGAGAATTAAGGAGGACGCAAGTTGTTTCCACTTTGTTTTGAGCAAAATTTTCCGTGCAAATTATTTTTTACGTTTTTTTTATTTTTTTTTTTTTTCACGTTTTCGGGTTTTGGCATTTTTGCTTTTTCATGTTTTCACGTTTTCGCGTTTTCTTTTGTTCCCTGTCCTACTGCATAAGCCAAATTCTACAGGAAGAGAAAAGCCAAACACAGTTCAGCATCTTTGTAACTAACTGTTGAGGACCAAGGTGTAATTTACTGTGTTCCCCTTTTTTATACACTGTAATCGCAGTTGAATTTTCATTTTTTTTTTTTTTTTTTTTTTTTTTTTCAAGTACGGTAAGTTAATCGCAGTGTGTACTTTCGCGTTGTATTCAAATTCGTGGAGAGCACTACAATCGTAGGGAAATTTCCCACGCTGAATTGTCACAATCATTGAGCAAAGCATCTCATACTTCACGCTTCTATTGGGTTAAGCATCTCCCATCTTGCACATTCCTGAGAAAGACACTTTTGAAGGCACACGAGAAATAGACAGAATGCAGGTCGTTTGCGATTTCGCACACCTGAAGATGCTGCATGGGGATGTGCCCATAGGGAAGATAATTTATAAGAATCTCAAAGAAGTGACTAAGAATCAGAATTATCAGTTTGATGAAGAAATATCAAACTTTATGAATCTTCGAGATAGAATAATTATGGAACAGGGGAAGGATATGGGTGTAACGTTGTTAAATTTGTATAAGGAATATTTATTTTATTTTGAAACCTTCCGGAAAAAGAAATTATTGAGTGAAAAGAAGAAATTATTATGGACAAATGACGTATTTGAGAAATATAAAAGAATAGAGTATGAATTTGAAAATGAGCACATTTTAATAATATTTAATATCGGTCTTGTAACAACGAGTATATTAAAATCGAAGAAAAATTCGGATGATATAAAAATGTTAAATAGAATATCAAATGAAGTAGTAGATATATTTAATTATTTATTTGTAAATATGAATGAAGAAAAAATTTGTGAATTGACTGATATAAATTGTGTAAGTTGTTATATATTCTTATGTATCTCGTTGGCATATCATGAAAATATGTTTTACAACACAGCAATAGTGAAAAAGTACAAGAGAAATTTGTTAGCCAAACTTTCCTTCAATATATATACTCATTTTAAAAATGCACTCAATTGTCTAGAAGGAAAAGAATTAAATAAAATTTTTAAAAATCCTTCCAAAGTTTCTGCATCGACTGAGATAAAAACAAATTTGCAACACATAAGAAATAGTCATAGTACATTTTATAACTTTATCCTTGTAAATAAAATAATATTTATAAGCATTAGTAACTATCACACCGCTTTGAAATATGCTACTTTAAATTCAGACGTAGCTAATGATGATAATATAAAAATTGAAAAATATGATGTGGATAAGATAGGTGAAATTATATGTCGACTGAAATACAGCCAAGATAATGTGTACAAATGTATAGAACTATGTAAGAAATATAATTTTAATATAAATATCACATCATTAAAAGAAAAAATTCACACAGCTATCGAATATTTTGAATATGAAAATAGAAATATATATTTTGATGTAATACCCAGCTATGAAAATTTATGTGATATAAAAGGAACGTCAGAAGTTATAAAATTAAAGGAAATAGATATATCCAATATTTATATAAAAGCAAATAACATTTCATGTAATTTAAAACTATTATTCAATGAAAAGGCAGAGTTAGTGTACAATATGTATAACAATGAAGCTATATCCGTTTATAATATTTTTTTTAAAAATTTGTTAAGTCTAAAGGATCAATACAAATTGATAGATTTATCTCATCGAAAAAATGTTCTTCGCACTCTGCATAATATTATCATCAGTACTTATAACAAAATTACGAATTTACACAAACCAACTCATTTTGAAAATAATTTAAATTTTCTTTTAAATATTGAACAAAATTTAAAGGAGATCTTAACACAAGTAGAAAATAGTCTCACGGCAGAACACACGAACCATGTAGAATTTCAAAGAAAGTTTTTGAATGTAGGAATTAATCAAGAATCAGTTAATTCATATAATTCATTTGTATACCATTTGACTATTTTTAAAAAATCGCTAGAAGAAATTCAGTTAAGTGTAGACAATTTCCGAAATTTTCTACAAAATAATCAGACCAATTTCCAAATTTGTCAAATGGATATCTCGACCTTTGCTAAGTACATTGTCGATGACTTGAACACGTGTACAAATGTAAATGTTGAATCATTAGATCATGAACATACATATTATAAAAATATGTTATCAGAAGATAAAGAAAATGAAATCAATTCTGCAAGTAGCATCAACGATATAACTGAATCCACTAGTGCTAACATTCCTATTTTAAACTATTTCTATTTTCACAATTTTCTTAAGAATAAAAATTTATCCTATTCTACACAAAATATCAATGCATTTAATGAAAAAAATTTGCATCATTATGACATTCTCAATAATTACATAAATGTGCACTCAGAGGAAAAACTCTTTTTCGTCATCCTTGCCATTTACTTTTCTCTGAGCATCCAGTTGAATGTATTTGCGGCTGACTTGGAGGAACTGAAGAATAATATGCATGATGTATTCCTCAACTCGATATCGGTATGTAGACACGGAAGGAGGAAGGGCAGGGGTGGGGTGGATTCACCCCTGTTGAACGTTATTCAAGATATAACACAGGATGTAATTACTTATTGCGTCATTATAAATCAATTAATTATACTTCATTTCATTTCATTTCAATTTTTTTTTTTTTTTTTTTTTTTTTTTTTTTTCCCCTATTATTGTCCCCATTTAGGAAGAATACGACGAGGGTAAACTGAACGAATTACTCCAAAAGCAGAAATCCATATTGAACACAAAGAAAACAAAACTGGAAGAAAGCTTGTCATCGTTTGAAAAAAATCTTAACCAATTTTATGATTATTATCATGAGTACAGCAAATTAGATTACTTTAAAACGATAGAGGTTAGATCATGAAATGCAATAGATAAGGAGTGATAGTTTTTTTTGTACAGGAGGACTATATTGTTCTCATATGGGATTAACTTTGTGTGTGTGAATGATATGTAATTGAACATATATATAATTTCGAGTATACCCTGTTGTTCATTTACCTACTGTTTTATTTTATTATATTATATCAATATTTTTTTTTTTTTTTTTTTTTTTTTTCTTGCTCCACAAAGGACCTGAACAATTTCACCAATAATCTTATGGGGATGGTAGAGAAGTTAAACGAAATGAACAAGAAGCATTCGTATACTCTGAAGAATTCCCTTGTGTTTAAGGATGACGTAAGAGAAAAAAAAAAAAAAAAAAAAATAGAGTTAATTGTAGATAGTTCTTTTTGATGATATTTAAAGCAGAGACAAATCAGTCCTTTTTGGTTGGAAAATGGGTACAACACACACAGTTGATATAAAAAGTTATACAAAAATATATGTTCCCCTCTTTTTTTTTTTTTTTTTTTTTTTTTCCCACTGCTGCAGATCAACAGATATATATACATGCGAGAAAGTGAGCGTTCGACTATTAGGTAATTCTAATTATTTCATTTTGTGAATTTAATTCTTACATTCCATGGATGTATTTGAAGATAAGTTCGCACTACATCTTCTCGTCCACTATCACACAGTGGGTTATGTTGACTCGTGCAGTGCTTTTTTTTGTTTTATTTGACTTTATTTCATCCCATCCTATCCCATCTCATTTTTTTTTTATTTCATTTTTTTCAGGGTACAACAAATCCCAAATGCTTACTCAAGAAACATTCACAACAGCCACGAAAGCTTTTATTGACATTTTACATAATTTTTACTTTTGAAGCTTCAATGATTTTTTTTTTTTTTTTTTTTTTTTTTTTTTTTTTGTGCATATATTTGAGTCTTCCCTGGAGGAATAAGAGCGTACATAAATATTTCAAAGCAAAGTGGAGTTTTTTATGTCATTCAATGGTGTATATACGTAGATGATGCTGTTTTTATATTCATATTAGATTTTTCACAATTGTGTGTGTATACCATTTTACATATTTTTGTGTGATCTCATATGGCTTTGTTTTGTTCAATCAACAATAAGAAGAGTAGAAAAAAGAAAAAAAAAAAAAAAAAAAATTTTCCCTTCCCTCTGCTTGACCCTGTTCATGGTCACGCCTCGTTTTTTTTTTTTTTTTTTTTTTTTTCCATTGTTTATTGAAGAACAGAAAAGTTCTTAAGTTAGAACATGGGATGCAAGTAAAATTTTATTTATGCATCCATATTTTGTGTCATTTGTTATTTTGTATGTTTTTTGGTTTAAATACCCCTATATGTTTGTTTTTTACTTTTTTCTCCCTCTTTTTTTTTTTTTTTTTTTTTTTTTTTTTTATTTTAACATAATTATAAAGAAGTGCATTTTTTTTTTTTTTTTTTTTTTTATTTTTTTTTTTTTTTTTTTCTTTTTTTTTTTTTTTTTTTTTTTTTTTTTTTTTTTTTTTTTTTTTTTTTTTTTTTTTTTTTTTATATTAACATAATTATAAAGAAGTGCAATTTTTTTTTTTTTTTTTTTCTTACAATTATATCTTTAAACGAATAATAGTATTTCAAAATAGTTGGGTTATACATATATACTATTTTATCCGTTCAAAATAACAACCTACTAGTGAAGGAGTTATAAAATGTGTATTGCATTTATACTGCATACGCATCTGCGCCTCCCTTTTAACATGCACCATATATATTGGACTTATAACATCAAAAGTGGTACCCGTTATACACAATTTGTTTCTTTTTTTTTTTTTTATTAACCAGAAATTATGTAGTAATGGAGACATAGTAACGAGCACACTCAAAGATATTTACATATCTTATGTGCAGCCCATTCCTTTGATATTGTTATATACTCATTTAATCAGAAAAAATGCTATTTCAAATTGGAGAATACTTGCTATAGTCCGATCAAACGTACAGTTAAACATTTCTTATTTGATCATATGAGATGGAAAAGACATAAAACACTGTGGGTAATATATCACCTCCACAAACACGTATACAAGCATAAAAACACACAGAACCATTGCTGTATTCTGCTACTTTTGCTTTACACTTGGGGATTCTGAGTTTCCTTATTATTATTTCATTTTATTTTAATCTTATACTTTTTTGACGTTTCTAATGAATATGTACAGCAGTAAAAAAAAAAAAAAAAAAAAAAAAAAAATGAAATGGCATTATGAGGCAAAAGTGTAAAACGTTTGTCACATTGACAATAGAATAAGAACCCAAAGCTTGTCGATCCTATTTTGATACCATTTCTTATTAGCAGCCTTACACACGTGGATTCTTCATCCCCTGTTGGTTATACAGAATATGAAGAGGACAAGTGGATCTTACATTCACTTGTATTGTTGTCATATATAGATGATTCTCCCCATAAACACATAAAATATAGCATATGGGTGCAGGTCAAAGGAACCACAAATGGAACAACTTAAAACATATTTATCATATGATGCATTCGAGTCTGTATGAATGTGCGTGTTAAATTATAACTTGTAGAAATATTCGCATATGAATAAAAAAAAAAAAAAAAAAAAAAAAAGTTATTAAGCTCTTTTTTTTATAAATTTGGGTAGAGGAAGGTTATGCGAAACAAATTTTGCTAATAGCAAATTATACTTAAACGGCTTGTTCAGAAATGGAGGAATAAAGCAATATATACATATATATATATATATATATATATATATGTACACATGTATGTTGTATATATTATAAATCCATGATGAAATATTTTATTAAATGTAAACATTTAAGGTTCTATGTCATGATTATATTTTTATCTAAGATTATAAATAACTAACTCTTTTTAGCTAATTCGAAAAAAAAATTCTCAAAGTTCAGCCACCAAGGGGTGTTTTATCTGGCATACAATAAAAGGTGCATATGTATATATATATATATATATATATATATATATATATATATATATATATATATATTCATGTATAAATTCATAGTCCAATGTGGTAAAAATGGGAGAAAACAATAAAACAAAAAAGGGTGGAGAGAGGGGGCTTAGGTAGAGATAGAAAAACGAGTATGCGAAAGGAAATAAAATGTAGCACTTTAATTTTTTTTGTATTTGTCACTGGGACGTAGGGATAAAAAATTTAAATACATGAATATATTTTTATATACAATATGCTTAAGTGTCGCATAATATACCATAAGAATATATATATATAGCATTTTTTTGAAAGTTCAATGAGTGGGGTGAAATCAGTAAGGTCGATGATGAATTCGGCAAAATCGGTAAAATCGGCAAAATCGGTAAAATCGGCAAAATCAGTAAAATCGGTAAAATCGGCAAAATCGGTAAAATCGGTAAAATCGGCAAAATCGGCAAAATCGGTAAAATCGGTAAAATCGGTAAAATTGGCGAAATCGGCAAAATCGGCAAAATCGGAAAAATCGGTAAAGTCGGTAAAATCGGTAAGATCGGGAAAATGTTTTTTTTAATTTATTCTTATATATATGTATATGAGTGAACTAAGCGTTTTGTGAATGGATGAGCCAAGGCATCTCATACCGTATACATATAACATATAATACATATATATACATGTACCTTTGTATGTATATATTATGTTCAAATAAAAATGTCGAAGAGTTTTGGCAAGGTTAGCGAATATATATAAAATTAGTTAAAAGATGATATATATAGATAACATAGCTTTTGTTCTTCTCTTTTTTTTCTTTTTTTTTTACATACATGAATGAATGTGTTCACCGCACTTACACATATAACGTTATGCACATCTGATAAACATTCTCAAGTGCAATTGGAAATTGTTTCTTTCTTTACAGCTACGCTATGAATTTATGGGGGTCTTCTCCCTATGCATCATTTCATCATCTCATTCACTGATGAACCCTGCATGTTAAATATGCATCACACGTATTTTTACATTACCCTTCGAATAGATATTTGAATTGCTAGTACGGGGTAGGTGCCTCTATGAATGTAATATATATATATTTGCATATATATATATATATGTATATACGCATACCTCATATGAATGTAATAAAGAACTCGTGTACTTTTTTTATATCCGTTAATTATATCCATTTTTTTTTAAAAAAAAAAAAAAAAAAAAAAAAAAAAAGTTGAAATTTTTTCTAAAAAATATAAAAAACAATTTATAATAAAATAATTTTTTTTTTTTTTTTTTATAAAAAACAAAAAAAACAAAATTTATAAAAATTTGAAACTTATAAAAAGCAAAAAAAAAACTTAAAATAAAAGCCATAACATAAAAAAAAAAAAAAATAGCATAAACGAATAAACAAAACACAAGAAAATAATAAAAATAATTAAAAAAAAAAAAAAAAAAAAAAAAAAAAAAAAAACAATAAAAAAAAAAAAAAATTCATTTAAGTTTGAAGCTGTTTTGAAGAGAAAAAAGTATATATACCTCCCTGCCCTACGTTATGTATATATGATATTTTCGTGAATACGCAATTACATTCATAGGAGTCACATTATTCATATTCCAATACATGCACACGGAGTTACACTCGTACGCAATCACATCCACACGAAATTACATCCTTACGTACTTGTTATGAGAATGCGCAAGGCTACGCTGGAAAAAGGAATGCCTAAGAAAAATAAGCTTAAGAATACATAAAAGAGGGCTAATTCTTATAAATGCACAAATAAGAATATACATATATATATATATATATATATATATATATATAAGAACACGTGACCACGCGTACGCGGAATCGAACAAAAAGAATCAAATTATTATATATAATAAATAACACTGGTCAAATAGTTTTTAAAATATTCTATTACTTTTTTATGCGTTTTTAAAGCCCCCTTGTTTATATGAAATATATTTACCAAAACCAAACCAACGTCAGTACAAAGTTAATGGCACATGCATGAATCGAAAAAGTGAACCATAACACTGATGACAGTGAAAGAACTTAAATATATTAATACCTAGTTACGTAAACATATATATGTGCATGAATATATATATGTATATGCATAGTATATACACATGATTGCAAAAGGGCATTTGTGCTGATACCTTTTTTGACGCGTGCATATTTTAAAGAAAAGCAACTTTTCACTAGTTATAACCATACCACATTTATAAAACGTGTATACATATGTACGATCTGCATATATATATACATATATATAAATACATGAAAATACATGAAAATATATGAAAATACATGAAAATACATGAAAATACATGAAAATACATGAAAATACATGAAAATACATGAAAATATATGCAAATATATGCAAATATATGCAAATATATACATATGTGTACACCACCATATTACACGTAGATACCGCATAGAGATCTCCAAAAAGAAAACCAATTTAGTTTCATGCATTTTTTTTTTTTTTTTTTGCGATCCCATAGATATATTTTATTTTTTTACTTTGAATACTCATCTTAGAAGACAAACACAGTTTATGAAAACACAAATTTCCTCATATGTTTGAAAATGCACAGTTGCTGAAACAGGAAAAATTATCTATTTAACGTGGGAATATAAGCGAAATAATGAAAAGTAGTTCATTTGGTTGTACTGTAAAATATTGTGTATATCCAGAATATATACTTGTAATAAATTTATGCATCATCATGCTTTTATAACACAAGTGTTATCCTTTGTGTTCCCTTTTTTTTAATTACATGATATATTTCTTATCCCCATTTTTCTTCATATTGACCGTGTACGGCTTAGGCACAAACATATTCACACACACAACTGAGACACATTTTGTGATTTTTAATCAAGAAATTATATTCCCCTATCTCATGTGTACCCTCCCAATGTATGTATAAAATACACTTCTGTAGGAAAATTGAGAAATGTATTTTCATTTACCTTTGCCCGCGCAAGTAGTACATATTCTGTTTTGAACCCTAAACGCCCCTTATTCAATTCTCCAGCGCGTTTCACACAGTCGCATATATATATATATATATATATGTATTTATTTATTTATTTATTCTCCGTTTTCACAAGAACGAAGACTCCTCTTTTGAATCTGAGTTGTACACCACCTTTTATTACTTGCACTATTTTATTATTCATTCATCAATATTCTATTTTCTGTTCTCTGTTCTCTGTTCTCAGTTTTTTTTTTTTTTTTTTTTTTTTTTTTTTTAAATTCTAATTAATAAGCTATATTTGCATTTTTACATATATTCCAATTCATTAATTTAAGTGGGCGTTGTTGTTCGCTGTGCATATCATTCCCGTTAAGTCTCAAATACACCCTAGGTGTTCACGAGAACACACATTTATTGCTAGATTTTATTGCTACATATATTTCATACGTGCCATTTTATTATACCTCATTTTGCCGCATTTTATTTTGTTTTACATTTTTTTGTGCAAAGCTGTTTCATACGCAGTGCATTTTTTAAAAAAATACACAATCGAGGTGCATCAACGTGGCACATTCACTTGAAACATGTATAAAGGCACATATAAACATACGTAAATATTTTTGTATATACGTGTACACGTGCATCTAAATGCATGAAACGAAACCAAGTGAATTGTCTCTTACACAAGAATAATCCTAAGCATATTATTGTTATCCCCATTGTTGCATCTTCCCTCTAGGATTGTGTTTTTTTTTTTTTTTTTTTTTTTTTTTTCAAGAGGACATTAGAGCGAAGTAGTAAATATTAAAAGGCATTACATAACGGAAGAGACAAGAATCAAAGACAGATAAGTATTTTGTTCATAGAGAAAAGAAAACAAATTCAAGGAAAGCAATAAAAATAATTAGAAGAACGAAAAGTTCGATAAATTTTATTTATTTCCCACTGCTTTTTCAGCACACACAAAAAAAGAAAAAAAAAAAAAAGAAAAATCTCACTTGTAAGGGAAAGAAAATACTTTACACGAAATATACATCTTTATCGAAAAAAAGAATCTATTCAGATACCATTCCTAGTTGATAATTATAAGTTAATAGAAAAAAAAAAAAAAAAAAAAAAAAAAATGCTTGCCACGGGGACGAACATAATGCACCCTAGTTTTTCTACGGCATCCCTGTATGTGGGAGATTTAAATGAAGATGTAACTGAGGCAGTTTTATATGAAATATTTAACACAGTTGGACATGTATCATCGATAAGAGTATGTCGTGACAGTGTAACAAGAAAATCACTTGGATATGCATATGTGAATTACCACAATTTGGCAGATGCAGAAAGAGCATTGGATACATTAAACTATACAAATATTAAAGGACAACCAGCACGACTTATGTGGAGTCATAGAGATCCATCATTAAGAAAAAGTGGTGCAGGGAATATTTTTGTTAAAAATTTAGACAAATCAATAGATAACAAAGCACTATTTGACACATTTAGCATGTTTGGAAATATTCTTTCATGTAAAGTTGCAACAGATGAATTCGGAAAAAGTAAGAGCTATGGTTTTGTTCATTATGAAGATGAAGAAAGTGCAAAAGAAGCTATCGAAAAAGTGAATGGAATACAGTTAGGTTCAAAAAATGTGTATGTTGGCCATTTTATTAAAAAATCAGAAAGAGCTACGAACGATACAAAGTTCACAAATTTGTATGTGAAAAATTTTCCAGAAACAGTTACAGAAGCACATTTGAAATTGCTTTTCAGTCCTTTTGGGGAAATAACCTCCATGATTGTCAAGACAGACAATAAAAATAGAAAATTTTGTTTTATTAATTATGCAGATTCTGAGAGTGCAAAGAATGCAATGGAAAATTTGAACGGAAAAAAAATAACAGATGATGGGCAAATCGATCCAACCTATGATGCAAAAAAGGAAGAAATGGAAAATAGCACTAGTGGTGGTGGAAATGGATCAACAAGCAATAGTAGCAATACAGGAAATAACTCTGCTGCCCCGCGAGAAGTTAATGGTTCAGGAAATGGAAATGTTGATTCGAATTCCAACGTAAATGAAAATAACAAAGGATCAAATGATCAGAAAGGTGATGATAATAAGAACACTGAATCTGGGGAAATTAGAGATGCAAATGAAAAGGGAACGACAAGTAATGGGAAAACAGCTGAATCAGGGAAAGGAAACGAAAATAATGATAAAGAATGTAATGAAAAAAACAATGGAACAACAGGTGCAGGAGTTTCATCCGGGTCATTGACAAGTGAGGGTGGTGCTGCTAATGTAAAAGAGGATGGAACAGAAAGTAACAATGGAACTAATGCTGCTGGAACTACAAATAAAAACACTAGTGGGAATAACAAAAAGGAAACTGGTGCATTAGAAAATGCTGATAGTCCAAACATTTTATATGTAGGTCCTCATCAATCAAGAGCAAGAAGACATGCTATTTTAAAAGCTAAATTTGATAATTTAAATATGGAAAATAAGAATAAACACCAAGGAGTAAATTTATATATTAAAAATTTGGATGATGCTATTGATGATCAAACTTTGAAAGAATTATTTGATCCCTATGGTACTATTACATCTGCAAAAGTAATGAGAGATGATAAAGAACAAAGTAAAGGATTCGGTTTTGTATGTTTTGCGTTACAAGAAGAAGCAAATAAAGCTGTTACAGAAATGCATTTAAAAATAATTAATGGAAAACCACTTTACGTTGGTTTAGCTGAAAAAAGAGAACAACGATTATCTAGATTACAACAAAGATTCCGTATGCATCCAATCAGACACCATATGAATACAGCATTAAATTCACCAATGCAATATCCATCACCTCAATCCCCACAATTGCAATTTAATCAAAATACATTAAATTATGGAAGACCGGTTATAACTCCATTCAATCAAAACAACCTGATATCATGGAGACATCAGCAAGCAGCACAACAGCAAGTTGTTCATCAACAAGCAGCACAACAACAGCTAAATTTTAACGCAAATATGAGAGGTCAAATGAATCAAATGAGATTATATGCACAAGGAGGTAGTAATATGATGAATAATAATATGAATCAGAATAAACCAAATCCACAGTTGCACCCAGCTCATCAATATCCAAATGCATTAGGTCAGACAAATCCACAACAACCGAATTTGAATGCTCCAGGACAACATAATAACAATCAGGTATTACAGCAACAGGCAGGAAATAATCAATTATTAAATAATAACATGAGAAATATGAACAGTAGAGGTAATAGAAATATGGGAGGAGGTAATATGGGTAATATACCAAATCAGAAGCAGATGCCAATGAACATGGTGGGTAAACAGAATACAGGTCAAACCAATCAGATGAATCTCCAGGGTCCATCTCCACCTCAGCAGCAACAGCAACAACAACAGCAACAACAACAGCAGCAACAACAGACGAAGTCAGCACAACAAATACAGCAACAGGTACCAGCAAATGGAAATTTTAAATTTACTTCTCAAGCTAGAAATCGCATGGAAATTCCAAATAAAAATGCAAACAAAGTAAATCCAATTAATAATATGAACGTAAATTTTAACAACAATTCGACCCTAACAGCTGCTGCATTAGCCTCTGCTCCTCCCTCCATGCAAAAACAAGTTTTGGGTGAAAATTTATTTCCCCTTGTTGCGAATTACCATCCAACCTTAGCTGGAAAAATTACTGGAATGATGCTAGAGATGGACAATTCGGAGCTCCTTATATTGTTGGAAAATGAAGAACAGTTAAAGAAGAAAATCGACGAGGCCCTTGTGGTGTTGCAGAAGGCCAAGTAGAGTATACACAAGTGCATGTATATCATGAATCGTACATAAATGTAGGTAAGTATATATATATATATATGCATGTATGTGCTTACCCATGTATGTATTTCCCGATTGTCCCTTTTTTTTTTTTTTTTGAGCCACATGTGGTTTATGCGGTGGTTCCGCGACATATGTGTAAAGCTCAACAATTAATTCAAACTTCTCAACTGCGCAGAAACATTTTCAACTAAAAAAAAAAAAAATGTAAGCACGTTACATGTATGTTTTATATATATCACCTAATTATACATAACATTATTACCCTTGCTGAAATATTCAAGAAATAAGCTTTACGCATAATGTGTGCACATATTTTATGCTTATTCGTACCACACACACACACACCCTCCACATGTATTTTTGTATTAATAATTGAGAGAATTCATGTGAAAACATTGTAAAAGAATTTTTTTTTTTTTTTTTTTTTTTTTTTTTTTTTTTTTTTTTGTACACAAAAAGGCAAAAGTAGCAAAACATTGAGAGAAATTTTATGAACTTGTTTTCATTATACTAAAATGAGAAAAAAAAAAAAAAATTTAAAAACATTCTAAATGAGCCAAATTAATTATCTTTTGTGAAGACTGAAATGCGGAAGTAAAAGGAGAAAGGTCTCTATAGCACATACGGAAAGAAAAGGAAATATTATTCATATAATTACATTATAAAATGTCTTTTTTTTCTGTTTTATACTACTTCGCATGAAAGAACTAATTTTAAAAATGACACATTTATGCACAAATCGATAAAAGTGATATTAATATAGTGATAAGAGGATGGAAGGGAAGAGGTTGTGATGAAGCATGCTATATATATGCATTTGTTAAAAAAAGTATTATTCCGTAGGTTATACACATAAGGTTATTTTTTACATTCCATCCATACACCATTGACAACTAGATGGAATAATTTTCCTCCTCATTTTTTCTTAAATTTCAATGTTGCAATGAGAAAAGTCGGGTGGTATGTTTGGTTTACGTACTCCTTAAAATGCGTATGTAAGAAACTGCCAAATTATTTCCGAAAGGGATATATACACATATATAAGTAAAGACTTCGTCCTTTTATGTAACACTGAAAAATTAATATATCATTTCGTGGTGCAGTCTACGTATGCTAAACGTTCTACAAGCATATATAGAATAATATACAACTCTCGTTTTAATAAAAACACGTTATTTTAAACCCTGTTAATATCTCAATTTAATGGTTTTTAAAAATATATATATATTAGATACCCCACATATATATAGCTGCTTAAAAGTTGCACACTATAGTTTTATATTTTAGGTTTTTTTTATTTTGTTAAATTATTTTTGTTCTAACACTTTATTTGAGGAAAATGCACCTTTTTTCAACCACTTTCACAGATAAAAAAGAAAAATATATAAAGAAATAAAAAATAACCTCACAAAGGCAACTTTCTCAATTCATGAATTAAATGTGGAAAGAGAAATTAACCAGGCTGTATACACTCATATGTGTTAGTAATAACTTTTTTAAGTTTTTTTTTTTTTTTTTTTTTTTTTTTTTGTCTATAATTTTCTTTAAATTAGGAGCTACTCTTAATTGAATGTTATGATTGCAAAAATGCATGTTATATATTTCCATTAGTGACTTCAAGCATTCATAAATAAATGTTTTCTATCCATTGTGACATATATGATAAGATATTTTAGAAATGTATTAAAGAAATTTGTGGACGATGTAAAATATCCATGAATTTATATAACATAAATATAGTAATGAAAACTTTCATTTTAACTGTTACTTATGGGGACACGTTCTGTTATAATGTATATATATCTTGACATAGACACAACCTTTTCTACACATGAGTAAGCCTGTATATGCGTTAGTCACAGTTCTACAGTTGCGAAAAATTATTAAAATTTATTACTATTTTTTGTGTCAATAAAGAATGAAGTGTAAATGCTGGAAAAATTCAGAACAAATTTGTCGTAAAAATTGAATACAATAATAACCATAATAAGAACCAAATTATATATTCTTTCAAATGGGTATTTAAATGACATGACCATTCCTCCCCTTCATTAGAAGTGTTGTTCTTTATTAAAGTGACAGAATGGAAGAACAATCTTAATCCTTTAGAAAATACAGATGATATATAATTATATAGTCACAACGTAGCAACTTTTAAATACAATGAAATTTATAACACTTTTGTCAATTATTTTAATCCACTTTTTTTTTCTTCTTTTTTTTTTTTTTTTTTTTATTCTTGTTAAACCACCAAATATAGATATTAAATGGAAGTTTCTGGATTTATTATTGTCACCTTTCAGACCACAGTGCAAAGTTGCCATGTTCATATACCTTAGGAATTCTAACCAAAAAAAATATGCATACATTATATCCCTGCGCATATTATATATCTGTATATAAAAATATCTCTACATATACATATGCCATAGACATAGTAAAATGCACCACGATACAATGTTGAACATATGTGTGAGTTCCAAATTGGAACTTAAACGAGGTGGCAATGCTTCGAGATTGTTACATGAACACGAATTGGGGGTGGTGAAGGAAAAATGTCAGTGCGTAAAAGTATTCCATAAATATTAATCCTATATGTACTTATGTATATACTATTTTCTTCTACGCATATGGAATGGCAAAAAAAAGTTTCCAAAAAAAAAAAAAATAAAATAACATTTTCTAATGGTACACAAATAAATAAAAATTGTTAACATTATTTATGAACATTTGAAATATAAAAAAAAAAAAAAAAAAAAAAGTGTAGTGAAAAATGGCTAGTTATTATTCATCCAAATTTTTAATTATAAATAAAATAATTTTCATAAATAGAAAAAAGGATACCATTAGCTCAATACAAAAAACAACATTAAAAAAAAAAAAAAAAAAATGTGGGTAAACTTTTTGCTTAAATCATAACCATGTAGTTAATGCATTCTTATCATTACATTCTAGTAATTTTATTGTATTTTTGTGTATTTATGTTGTCATAAAAGAAAGTATTAACAGTTCAGCAAAAAAAAAAAAAAAAAACAAATAATAAAAAAAAAGGAACAATCAATCGAAAGGAGGAGCAAACAAAAGTGCATATATATATATATATATATATTACGTACATATGCATAATATGTACATGTACACTTACGCAAAAGTGAACTTTGGTGTGCTTGCATTTAGAAAGCTGCACACTAAACATGCCTACAAGTGAGATGCACATTTAAGCATTTTCGACATTGTCGTAGTAATGTATAACTTCAATCCACACAAAACAACATGAACAGTTCTATGTTTGAAGGAAACGATATCATAATTACCGACACATTTTTAAGTGATGATGAAAATGAAGAAGAAGTACATAATATAAAAAAGAAAGCAACGAACGAAAAGAACAACTGTGTGAGGGTTAAAAAAAGTGATAGCATTGTTCATGTTGCAAATGATGACAATTTGAATAGCATTTTCACCACGAATTACGACAAACCAAATGATGAAATATCTTCTTCAGAGGAATCTTACCCAATTACAAGAAAGGACAATAAATATGAAGAAATACCAAGTAATCAGAACGAAGTGGAAGGGTTTTTCAACTTTGAGAATTATCTTAACGACACGAATGGCTTAAGTGAAGAAGAGGAAAAGGGAGAACTTAGGAAAAGGAAGAGATGTTTAAAAGGAAACAAAGCATGGCACGATTCGGATGATGATGTTACGGGAGGGGTAGTGGAAAACTCAGAAAATGAGATATCGGACAAGGATCCGAATGAATTTCCCCATAGATTTGCTGCAGTGTCAGACAATGATAGTGAAGATGGAATTCAACTAGCCATTGAACAGGAAGAGGACGAAGAGAAATTAATTAAAAATGAACAAAGCAAAAGTTATTTCGAAAAATATATAGAAAATATAGAGATAGAAACGTACGAGTCGAAGGAAAAAGATGATCCATCATCTAATATTAATATGGAGGACGTCTACATCTTCGATGATAAGGAAATGGATGTTCATATAAAAAAGAAGAAAAAAATAAATAAAATGAATGAGAAAAATATTTTTTTGAAGTATCATTTACAAAAGTTTACCTTCCACCAAATTGAAGACAAAAAAATTAAACAGTTAGTAGGTTTGCCGAAAGCGAAATTAATACTATCAGTATACAATTCAAATTTGCATTTATTTCAGTACAAGGACAGGCAATTAACTATTTCGAAAAAAATATGTTTCAGTAAAAATATTAGTCATGTGCAAGAACACAATGGAGATGCCTACATCCTCTTGTATGACAACTATATTAGAAATTACAATTTGGAAAAGGGGTAAGTCTAACAACACCCTTCAGGCAATCCATCTCTACATTTGCATGAGTATTGATTGAGGGTCTTGCGCTTTAATGGGTTCTAACACATCATTGGTTAGAAGAATTGTAACCCCTTTTCTATCATCCTAAATTTTTGTTTACGCATGTGTACATATTTTTGTTTATGCATGGGTTCATATTTCTGTTCACGCATGGGTTCATATTTCTGTTTACGCATGTGTTCATATTTTTACTTACACATATGCTCACATTTGTATTTCCGTGCCTACTTACCCCCTACGCACCCCTTCTAACAGAATGGTTTACAAAAACAGAATCCATTATGGAAACACAAATTTTGCAGTTCCGAAGGAAATAAAATTTTTTGATGATAATAACGAAAAGATAGAAGAAGAGATGAGTGAAATTTCCAAATGTAGTAACGACAATCTATACGGAATTTCATTCAGACATAGTGGTAAGATAAATGTATACGACACAAGATGTTACGATGTTGTGAAAAGTTTTGAAATGGATTATAAATATATTGGAATGAGTTTTCATAAGAAAACAAACAGCTTATTTGGTATTGACAATAAGGGGAATATATATAACTGGTGTTTAAATAGCAATAAATTAATTGACAAGGTGATGGATAATTATTCAGTTTTTCCATCTTGTTTTAATATATATGATGATTACTTAGTAACAGGTTCGTACAATGGATTTTTGAATTTATTTGATGTTAATAATTTGAAGGAACCAATAAAAAGTTTCAAAAATTTGACACTTCGTGTTAGTAATGCTATATTTAATCACTCACATAATTGTCTTTTATATTACACAAAATTGGCAAAAAATGGAATTAAACTAATTGATCTGAAGACAAATTATGTGTATTGTAACGTCCCTTGGTTTAATGTAAATATGAAATATAATATTCTTGCTGCTGATTTTTTTAACAATGGTAATAATCTTTGCTTTTCGGTCAAGCCCAATTCATTTTACTTATATGACATTTTTGGAGATACACCCTCAGGGTGCTGAATATGTCTAAAAATATATTGAGAATATTATATCTGGATCATATGACACGTTGGCATATGTAGCTTATGGGGGATTTAGAGTTGGCATTTTTTTCCTCCCATTTTTGAAACCTTTTTGACAAATTTTTCCTTCCCTGTCCCTATTTGCTTTTTTTTTTTTTTTGTTTTTTTATCATTCATTTTTAAACAAACATGGGTGTAAAACAAAATTGAAATGATACTTCCATCATTTTTTACCTCAAAATAAAGATTTTACCGAATAGGGTTCTTTCTTTAGAAAATAATCAGCCTCGTTCTAATCTTATTTAAATTTTTTTTTTTTTTTTTTCATCATATATATCCTATAATTTTTATCCTTTTTATTTACGCATAGATAAGAATGCTCATAATCCACACTCTCATATGCCTTCCCATTTCCTATTTTTAATAATAAAGGAGATTCATCAGTTGCATATGAAGGAAAAGGTTTTTATTTTCATCATTAGTTTATATATTATTTAAAAAATGTGAGAAAGACATTTTTCATTTTAAAGTATTTACTAATTTTCGTGCGTGGGTGGGTGGAGAATTTGGTATATATGTAATCACATTTTGTGTGCATATGCAAAAACAGTTTAGACATTTGTAGTAGTATATGTCGTATGAAAAATCAGCATAAATTTAACGTCGTTCTTCCCATTGACTAATTTCACCGCTCGAATTGGGGAAACAGCAATGCAAATTTTCACCCTTCGTAGTTAATATATATATATATGCATGTAATATGCGTGCCGCACATAATTTTTTTTTTTTTTTTTTTTTTTTTTTTTTTACAAACAAATGTTTACATGTGTTAGAAAGTTTTATACATATCTAACGAATGATAGAAATTACTTGGTCAATTTTCTGTTCTAGACTATGCATTACATGCACAATATATTATAAGCGTGTTCACATTTCCGCTAGGTACAATGCAGCAAAAGAATGTTCACTTCCTTCTTGAAACGGTGCATATTTTCGTCTCATCAAAATGAACACATTGGAATGTGGTATGTGTTTTATGGAGTGTAGGGAAGAGAGAGACACGTTTAAAATAATTCAATTCCCCCTCTTTGTTCTTTTATTTAAAACTAAATGTTTCGTCGTTGCATATATATATATATATATATATATATATATTATGATATGTCATACGCATAGCTCTATTCAATTAAAGAGGTGTATGGTAAATGTGAAGTGCCATAATAACCTGCGTTGTTGCGATTGGGGCTGAATGTTCATTTTCTATCTTCAATGGATGGGAAAAAAAAAAAAAAAAAAAAAGTCATCGTTGTGTTTGAAAAAAACAATCCTTTGAAGTATTGTTATATTGAAGTATGCTTTTTCATTTGCATTGGGGCTTCTTTTTTTTTTTTTTTTTTTTTTTTTTTTTTGTTTCATTGCTTTGTCAGTTGCACATCACCTTGCGCTCATTTATTATAATAACTTAGTGTGTGTTTTTTGGCTTTTGCATTTTCGTATTATCAATTTTTTGAGCTTTTCATTTTTGACCTTATCAGAGTATCACGAGAAAATTTTATGAAGCCATCCCATGCACCATGGGTGATATTTTCTCGCAGAGGTTTGTATTTTCACCTTTGCCAATTTTGGCCATTTTGACAAAAATTCCCTCCGCCCCCTCACACAACTAGGCAATGTGTGAGACGAATAAGCAGGGGTGGGGGTGTCAAGAAATTCGAAGAGCCAAAAGTTGAATTTTCATTTCCTTGTTTTTCTTCGACCATTGGACTTTATTTAGCATAACAAAAAAAATAATATCTTTCCTTTTGTACGATAATTTTCGAGCTCGTCCATCCCATGTGTAAACGCTAATGTATAGATATGATATATATATATATATATATATATATATATGTATACATACATATATACACATATGTATTATGATCCAAAGTTTGTATTTTTTTTTTTTTTTTTTTTCCTTGAATCACATTTCCTCACAGTTAATATACCACTTTCCATTTCGCGCATTTTTTGTTTTTTTTTTATTTCCGTTGACTTGCACTACACAAAAAAAAAAAAAAAAAAAAGGGAATGTGAAAAAAAATGTATGGCACAATGAAATACATATAAAAAGTATTTTTTTTTTTTTTTTTTCCAAAGGGAGATGAAAATTTTAAAATAATTTTTTTGAGATGATATTTTACACATATTTTGGGAACACTTTCCTGCAAGTTGTGACAATATATCCAAAATTCTGGGTATACATTTACTTTATTTTAAGGAAATAATCTCGTAATTTTTAAGATTAGCTATTTTAATAACATATATTGGATAGGCATTTCAAATTCCTTTAAAATACTATCATATTTTTTTTTTTTTTTTTTCTATTTTCCCATCTCTAAAAAAAAAAAAAAAAAAAAAAAAAAACCATGTCTGAAGTAAATGTAACAAAAGTAATAGTAAACAACCCGATATGCGATATATTAGACCCCTTTGTTTTTACAATTGAATTTGAAGCTTTGAATAAATTACAGGCAGATTTAGAATGGAAGATATTTTACATTTCTGCTGTTAACAATGATGGGGAAGGAAATCAGGATATTGAATTAGATAATATTTTTTTGGGACCTATAGAAAGAGGTGTAATGATGTTTGACTATGCTGTGAATCCACCTGATTATAAAAATGTAAGTGAACCTCTCCTTATTCCCATGAAAATGGGAGAAAATCTTGCACTCAAGAGAGTGATTATATGAGTGAAAAAAAAAAAAAAAAAAAGACAACGAGAGAGAGAGATAGATCCACAAGTTTGTACATACACAAGGGGAATACTGGAGAAATCTCAAAGAAATGAATTACACAGTTTTTAGTCCCTTTCTTCGTGTGTTACATTTTTCGTAACTAATGTGCATTCACTTTGTGCGTCAATTCATTATTCACATTTATCCTATCGGTACCATCACTTCTCCCCAGATGGATGTTGATAGTGTCCTAGGACTCCAAGCCATTCTCATATCAGCAAATTACAAGGAAAAGGAATTTATTAGAATTGCATACTATATGAATTCATTTTATAAAGAAGTGGATCTGCGTGAAAATCCGCCAGCAGTACCTCAGTACGATAAAATATGCAGACATATATTCGTGGAGAACCCAAGAATTGTGAAATTCAGCATTGGTTGGGATTCTGAAGAAAAGGATGAATTCAAGGAATTTGATAAGGAAAATGAACAAATTGAATTGATAAATTGTGGCAAAATAAATGCAGAAAATAATAGCAATTCAAACATAACTAACGAATCAACTCAAGAAAATATTGTTATTTCCAATGAGAAAATCCTAAATGTTGATGAAGGAAATGGTAATATAAACATGAACACTCATTCAGATGCACTCTTTAAAAGTGGCGTTATGAATGCAGATATTTGTGAAAAGAGCTTTTTGAACAATAATGAGCTATCAACTGATTTAGACAAATGTGAAATTTTTAATGCTAATATAAATGGAATTAGTAGGATAACCATAGACAATAAAAATGCTTAAGTTTGTTTTGTTACTTAACATTTATAGACAGTGTATTTTCTTTTGTTTCATTTGGGCCAAGGCCTGGCACTATATATTTGTTCTCTTTTTTTTGGTTTACTATATACATATGCATGTGTGTAAGAAAAGGAATCATTATCATTAGAAAGTGTAACAAAAGCATATCTTTTTTGAAATGGTTGGCTATCTATCCCTCCAAGTGTATAAACAAACTAGATGTATTTTTTTTTTTTTTTTTTTTCATTCCTTTTTTGAGAACCTGTGCGAATGCATATTACATGTGTATAAATGTTAAGCATGTCATATCCCGTTCCATGTGTGAAAATTTATGGGATAATTTTTATGTACATATATATATACCTATTATGGAGGATAATCCATTTTTTTTTTTTTTTTTTTGTAATTTTTTATAAAAATGTGTCAATGTTATATGGTTTCTTACACGCATGCATTTTGCATGTTTGGCCCGATTTCACATGTTCGAAAGATGTGAGTACGGACCCTGCACACACATTTGTCAATATTGTATATATACACCCACACCCCTCTCCTCTGGCTTTATACGTACATGTATATAGATATGTAACTAGATATACATGGATATATAAATAGATATAGAGATGTATAAGTAGGTATAGAGATGTATAAGTAGGTATAGAGATGTATAAGTAGGTATAGAGATGTATAAGTAGGCATAGAGATTTATAAGTAGGAATAGAAATGTATAAGTAGGAATAGAAATGTATAAGTAGGAATAGAGATGTATAAGTACGAATAGAAATGTATGAGTATATATAAGGATATATATATGTGTTTTTTTTTTTTTTTTTAACGTATACAAACAAAGGGTGTTTTACAATTCCTGCACACCTTTGTGCATGCATGAGTTTGCTCAGAAATAAGAGTATCAATAAGAAGACAACATCCACAAGCATGTATTGAATACGTCCATGTATATACATTGTATATATATATATATATATATATATATATTTATATGTATGTTGATTCAAGCATGTATATGTATAGATGTGTGCGAAACATATATTTTGTATGTGCAAGCACGCATATCATCCTGCACATAAAAATATACCTTAATTCCTTTCATTAATTTTTAGATACAAAAAAATAAGGTAAATTTTTTTTCAAAGATTTAAAAAAAAAACAAAATGGTTTTAAAGAAATTTTAAAAGGATAATTTTAAAAGAAAAGATGCAAATCTGTGACAAAGCACCAACATTTTTAAAATGCATTTACTATAAGTATTATGTGTGTACACATAAATATATATACGCAAGCATATATATTTGTGTGTATTTTTTTTTTTTTTTTAACCTTAACACAATTATTAGGTCTATTAAAAAAATATATACACATATATATAAATATATACATATATATTATTTCTGTGCAGTTTCAAGATTCCATAACGGTTATTTTATTTTATCTATTTATTTCTTTTTTTTTTTTTTTAATATCAAATTTGTTATGACTTTTATTTTTTATTTTTTGACATTTGCTAATCGTGTAATATATGCTATTTGGTAGGTCCCGGCGCACGTATATATGTGGGGTAAAGGGGATTGTGTTTTTGGATATAAATATACGCATTTTATATTTATCAAATATTTTTTCCTCATTTATCTATCATGGAATGGAAAAATATTATTTTTTACTTTCTTTCGAATTGTAGAAACTAATATGCACTAGGAAAATATGTGTATTGGATTTTAATTTTCGTATAAAAAAAATAATTCCAATGGAGATTTACATTTTTTGTCCATTTTATTTGTTTTTCCTCCTTTTTATTTTCACAGATGTTATTATTATTTTTTTTTCATAATATATATACAATTTATATATGAAACATTTTGCAACTTATCGTACTTTTCTTTCGTTACTGGGCTTTTTTATATATTACACTTGGGAATTATATTATATATATATATATATATATATATATATATATATATATATTTTTTTTTTTTTTTTTTTTTTTTTGGGGGGGGGGGGGGGGGATTGGGAAGGTGGCATTCCAACACAACAACGTGCTAATTTTTAAATTTTCTAAAAATGGACAATAGCGATGTATTCAGACTGGTGAGGAGTGAAATACATAAATATAATTTAAACGAGCAAAAAAGGAGGAAAAAAAAAAAAAAAAAAAAAAAAAAAATCCTATTTCATAAACTTTTTAGTTCCGTTAATTTTTTCCCCTTTTTGAACACTGTTATTGTAGTATGACATTTTTCCATTTCATCATTCCTCCATTTTATAACTTATTTTATTATTTTATTTTTTTTTTTTTTTTTTGGGAAGGGGGGTGGGGTGGGGTAGACGGGTGTAACATGCGTATATCTCTCGTTTCGATTAAGCCCTAAAAAGTTTTCATATATTTTACTCGTTAAAGACAATGTATAAGGTCTCTTCGGAATTTTCTGAATTGTTATCTAAATAATTCGTATCTTTTAATGTATTTAAAATATGCTTCATAAAAAGGGTAACGTACTCGATCCCAAATATTTGAAAAGCTATTCAGGGCAGGTCTAACATCAATGTATATCTACAAAAAGTGGCAGAAAATTTGTTTTTTTTTTTTTTTTTTTCTTTTTTTTTTTTTTTGCTATATATTCTTTTTTTCATATTTTTACAATAAAGAAATTTATTTTCCTTTCACACTGTTTCACTTATATAGTGTGTGGGGAAAAATAAGTCGATCATGGAATTTTCCTTATGTGTGGATGCACAAAAGAGTAAATGTTTCTGAATACGGATAAGAATAAGGTATATCCTTTTTTTTTTTTTTTTTTTTTTTATCTATTGTTTAATCTAATTTGACCACTTCTTACATTTTTATCATCATTCATAGACTCATCGTTATAATAATCCAAAATGTATTTGACTTCTGTTCCGCATCTATTAACATACCAGTCATGTCTATCAAATGGTTTTCCTAACCTAGAAAAATCCGAGTGTCAAAAAATTCATCATTTTGGGGCATATAAAGAGTGAGAAAAAAAAAAAAAAAAAAAAGTGCAAGAAATGCAAGAAATGCAAGAAATGCAAGAAATTCTCAAGAAAAACAGTTAACCAATTAGGTATGCACTTTGATCACCGTGTAGTGATGCGGAAAAAAAAAAAAAAAGAAGACGCATATAGTAGAGCACTAAAATGGTGAAATAATAAACAGTATATATGCACCATGTGCAGATAATAAATACATACAATACATACACACAGTGGGGCCACAGTTAAATACTAAGATTACCATTTGTGTTCATATTTTCTACTTACTTTGAAAAAATACTTCTGAATTTGGCCTTTACTGACAGATCATCGAATTTACCAAAAAATCTCTGCAGTGTAACTTCATTGCATTTGCTGATAATACAGAATATGAAACAGATATAAAATGTGTTTGTGATTAGGGGTGGGATATATGTTAACATGTTTATGCTTTGTTTGGCATGTAGAAATTGAGATAGGGTAATTATATGACATATTTAGAGTCTCCAAATTTGTGTTTAAAATGGGTATTGATGCGTAAAAGGTATTGTTCTCCCCTTCTTGCACCCTCCATTGAGATATATGGAACAAGTAAACAAATGAAATTGCCATACTTTCTATGAAGGTATTCATATTTGAGTATATGTTTCCAAGATTCCTCATTAACCTCATTATGAACAGTGACCACTGCATCGATATAATTTTTATCGATATCTTTATTTTTTCGAATTAACGAATTATAAAATTGTTGAGGTGAAGGGTACATCCAATACTCTTTGCTATTTTTAGGGATTGATGACACGTCTCTCTTTTTATTCAATGAATATTCAGAGCCTTTTTCATGATCTTTGTTTAGTGCGTAATTTGGAATTTCTGGCATCATATTTCTTTCGTTTATTACTTCTACTGAACAAAAGGGAGAGAGTCCAATTTGGCAATGTGGTGGTGACAATGATGATGCTTCACTAGCAGTTACACTCATGTTTACTGAAGGTTCACTTCTATATCATGAATATGTAACTAGGTCAAAAAAAAAAAATAAAATAAAATAATCATGTATTATATGCACTTGTTATCTCGTAAAGGATTAATTACCATTGTTCAATGCTTTCGAATTTCCTGTCTCTCCGATTAATAATGAAGGGCATCTCACTTTTTTGTCATCTTGATTGCAACTAATTGTCTTACCTAGACTCTGCATATTCTTATGGAGATCTCTTATTATCTCTCTATTTTGAAAAAATTCCTAAACTAGGAACTTCTCTTTAATTGAAGATATGGTAAATGTGCTGGCTTTCATGCATGCATCTGCAATGTGCATAAATATACGTAATATATATATATATATATATATATATATATATATATGTGCATATACATAAGCACATGCATATGATTGTATGTACATACCAGATTCAGACATTTCTTTAACTTTTTATGATCACTTCATTCAAACATGTTTAGCGAAACTTATCAGCTAATCCTTTTTTCACATCACTACTTGGTGGTGAAATTGATGAGTTAAAAGATTAGTTCGCTTTAGTTGCTGCCCCATCCGTTTTACATCAGATGAAGAAGTATACCAAATTGGAATTGTTAACTAAAATACCAAAATGAAATTCTCGATTTTTATATGAGACTAATAACTTAGCTGATGAATTGGCAACTATATTTCAAATTGGCACCTTAGCCAAATTTTATGTAGAAATAACAATAACGTGTGATTATATAGGTAATCTTTTTTCTACCCAATTGAGAAAATATAAGGCAGTTTCTGCAATGTAACGCTCATTTGGATATATTGGAGGAAGAAGCTTATATCATTGTTACCATCATGATCTTCATTATTTTTTTATTTATTTATTTTTTTTTTTCTATGATCCTTAAATTACCGCTGTTTGTATATTTCTCGGTTTCAGTTTAGTTACTCCCTAATGGGAAATTTTTCCCAAAATAAAAAGTCATCACTCTGTAAGGTTATGTGTTTTATTCTTTGTTTCACTGATTTATTAATCTTACTTCTGTTCATTCGAATATGTGCTTATAATATTCCGCCTAGGAAGAAAAAAAGAAAAAAAAAAAAAAAAAAAGTATATTTTAGTTACTGTTTTCCCGTCATTTATGTGAGGGTTATATAGAAAAAGGTCGACAACAGGTTTCTTTTAAAAAAAAAAAAAAAAAAAAAAAAAAAAAAGCCAAACCGAACAGGGGCTAAGGCCACAAGCACAAGCTCAAATATATTGCTTATTGCAATATAACACAACATTTAGCATGTTGAAAATAAGAAGAATTAGGTGTTATATATAAAATCAGTTTACATTAACTGGATTCAAATGTTCTGTTCATAATATACGAGGGATTATAGAAAAGATGAAAAAAAAAAAAAAAAATTTGCGGTATGAAAAATAAATACCAAAAAAGGTAAAGAAAGGACCAAACGGAAGGAAACAAAATCACCATTTTTAAAATTCATAATTTATGCGTGCTGTTGTTTTCTTAAAGCCTTAACACCCGTAAGATGCACACACACAAACACAAACGGAAACTAAAATGAGAAAGAAAAAAAAAAAAAAAAAAAAAGAACACAAAATTAACCAATTTAGCAATGGTACACAATGATCAATCAGCAGGGATACACTAATTTGTATCCTAGTTTAGGGGTTACAAATTGCACAATCCATACTCAACTGTTTATATAATAATATGCATACACATAATTCCATGAGGGAGGAAGCATTTAAAAGAAATTCCAGGAAGATGAAAAGGAGAGACTAGTCATTTATAAAAAATGACTTATTAATGTATTTTGACAAAAAAGGACGAAAAAATCATAGCACGCTCTACTTATAACTCTCCGTGCATGCTTATATGAAAGGAAATCATAGCACTGTCTTTCCCCCTTGCACCCCATATATTGATAAATATTATAATGGTTAGTGCTCATGCACACAAATGAAAGCGAAGATGACAGTGACTCCCACGATCAGTAGGTACACTAATTGATAAATGAAGATGTGGTTTGTACTTCTCCCCTTACTTCACACTTTTGCTTTTTTCTTAAATGAACAAGTTGTATATTTTTTTCTTTACAGTATAACACGATAACTTCTCTGTTGACATTTAATTTGCAATCAACTAGATACCTTTTTAAAACAGAATATTCTATTTGCTTTTCCTTTTTTATATATTCATGTAGTTCCTCATTAACACCAATGGCTTCATCAATGGTTTCAAATAACGATTTTAATTCCATTTGTTTTATTTTACTTTTCATACGATTTAGGTAATCTTCTTGTAATTTGTCTTGGTCATCATTTAAAGAATCTTCATGTATGAACTTATCACTCATCTGAGAAACAGTAAATAGAGTTCCATCCAGTAACTTGTCACTTTTACAAAAACTTTTTACCTCTGTTTGCAATACACTGCTAATTTGACCATTCAAAGGATTTTTCATATTAGCCAAATTTGTAAATATTTTGTTTATATTTTTGTCTACCTTCTCATAATTTGTGCTATTTTGCTTTTCATTAGAATTTACGATACTTTTACTTTTCCTTGATTTTAAATGACACTTCGTTATAGGAACCAAAGATGGATATTCATTCTCCATTTTTTCACATTGTTCGTTTAGATAATTTTGTATTTTTGTCAACTCACTGATTAGGATTTTTCTCGAAAGTCTTTTGCTCTTTAGGCCGAAAAATTCCATCAGTCCTTCCAGTACTACATTATTTGCTTTGTTAATATCGATGCTCAAAATGGAAAGTTCGCCTCTAGTTTTTGTTTTACTTTCCTCAAAGGAACTATCACGGTTGCATATCGGGCTTTTCTCAACCAAAGTCCGAACTTCTTCTTCATTCCTCTGGTAAAAATTTATGCAGGACGTGTCCTTGTCTACTGCAGAATTTCCTTTGCATTTCGCTGCATATTCTGCTCTCACATCTGTTCCTACATCTCCTACTTCTGCCCCTACATTTCCTACTTCTGCCCCTGCATCTCCTACTTCTGCCCCTACATTTCCTACTTCTGCCCCTGCATCTCCTACTTCTGCCCCTACATTTCCTACTTCTGCCCCTGCATCTCCTACTTCTGCCTCTGCATCTCCTACCTCTGCCTCTGCATCTCCTACCTCTGCCCCTACATCTACTCCATCAATCTCATCTTCATCTTCCAAAATGATCACCTCCGAGTTGAAAATATCTTTAGGAAGACATTTTGTATTAACACAGTTGACATGTTCCTTCATCACTATGACAGATCCGATATTTGCATTATCACAAAAGCCTCTTGTGGCTGATTTCATGTCCTCATTTTCCATGTTAGTTCGCTTTTTCCTCTCTTCCTGAAAATTCATAAAAACTGTGTTGTTGTTGTGTCTCGTGCTAAGCAGTTTCATATCTACATTATGAAATCCCTTTTCATCTGAAGTATATTGTTTATTTATATCAAAATCAATTTTTTCTATAATAACAGAAATGTTACTATCACTATCGTGAGACCTTTGGGGACGCTCACTAGACGAGTGAACACTACACGAGTTTACATTTTTCAAGGATATCTCTTCAGTATTTTGATTAGACGAATTCATATCATCAATATAACTATAATATTGGTTGGGAATTTTTTCCTCGCATGTATAATCTTCCAGATGATTTAATTCATTTTTCCTCTTGTCATCATGATACCCTAGAGAGTCCTTCACATCACACCCTGCATAATCGCTGCAATTGTCATGATATTTCCCAATGGAATCTCTCTCTTCACTTCTGAGGCTTTCAAATTCGTTATTACTATTATTATTATTATTATTATGGACTTTTTTTTTTTTAACACTTTTCGGATTTTCCAAAAAATCTTCAAAGGTGTTAAATTGACAAGACTGAATTTCACTGTTTGTATCACCACTTTCCTGTACCTTTCTTTTACATAATTTTGTATTCTCGCGGTTCATACAATCTCCAAATTCGGATTGTGCTAAATTCAAATTATCACATTTTTCAACCTGCTCAACTTCGTTCTGTTTATACAACGTGTACCCATCTTCGCTGGTGGCACCTTTTACTGAACCTGTCTTGAAAAAAATTACATTTTCGCTGTTCAGCAATTTTTCTCCTATGTCATCATTTCGCTTTAAATTTTCTTCCCCTGGAAGTTCAAGAAAATGTTTTTTTTCATTCAACTCCTTTTTTAAGTCTTTCAACTCATCCTTTTTGTTATCTACTGTTGTATGACACTTTAATTGACTCCTTCCATCTATAGATTTAATTATTGCCATGGAACTGCTCATCGAACTCGAAGACGATTCTTTTTTTTCATTTCCACTTCTCCCCCCCTCTGATAATACAAAGTTTCCATTTCCAGAATAAATTTTGTCATATTGAGATTTCTCCTTCTCATCAGAGTAGTTTGAAACATTATATACTTCCACACTATCTGCATATTTTTTTGATTTCACATGAGGTTCACTATCTTTGGATAAAAAATTTTCGTTTTTGTTTCCTTCTTCAACATATGTGTTAACATTTTCATGTTTTCCTTCCATTCTCGTGTGGTTAAACTGTTTTTCATAAGAATCCACATTATTGCATGTGTTCAATTGATTCATTTCATTATTTAATATGACTTGTTTTTCGTCAATAAAATGTAAAGAATCATTTTTTTTCTTTGAAATATCTAGGGAATACTTTAAATATTCATTGGTTCCTAATTTTTTCTTCTTATGTTTGTATTTTTGATCAGCACATTCAGATGCATACGTGTCACGACAAGTTTCTTTCCCAGTATAAATGTAAACAGTATCGAATGAAACAACTTCTTTATTTATTATTATCCCTTTTTCTATACAATACTGTGATAACTTAAATAAGGACGTTTGACTTTTAAAAAAATGGTGATCTTCGCTATATGCGTTATTTTCTGATTCTGTTTGATACGTCAGAACTTCATCATCACCTTTTCTTTTTTCCCCTTTCTTAATTTCTTCTAAAGAATTTTCATTAAGGTTGTTCATAAATTTGATTAGGTTCATTAACTTGGAATCCACTTTTATATCATTTTTACGACAAGTGTTGTATATGTCCAATTTCAACAAATTCATAAATATAGGACAAAAGTTATTATTTTCAAAGAATGCACCAGGAATAATTACCTTACTAAAAAGGTGTTTCATTAAATCTTTTTTTTTATTTTTCTCTTCCATACAAATAGCATTTTTTAAACGTTCTATTAAACATTTCGTTTCTTCTTCTGTTAATATATTTTTATTTATCTCCTCTGCTGAATCCTTCACATTGGTTTCTATGGATTTCATTAAATAATTGTCATCCTTACAGATGTGTGTATCGTTTTTGTCTTTTTTGTTATTATCACTATTGTTGCTATTATCTGTGTTGGACTCAACGGAATGACTGCACCTTTTATTGGTGTTTGATGGTGAGCCCTTCACTTTTACTTTGTCTTGTTTTTCTTGACAATACATTTCGTTTCTACCATATAAAATCTCATCACATTGTGTGCAACATCCATCACTCTGATGTTGTATCGATTTCACGTTATTTTCTTTACACGTGTGCGTCCAATAGTTATGAGAAAGGTGTTCTTCATTATTGTTATTACTTTTTGTAAAACATTTATCCTTCTCTAAACTATTTTCATCATTTTTTGAAAAGGCACTCACGCTATTTCGTGATAGCAACTTGTTAAAGAATTCACAATTCATAAAATCGAGAGGCCTAGTAGAATTTGAATTCAGATCGATCATACACTTTTGTAAACAATCTATTAGGTATGATTCCTGTATTTTGTAAGCTCTTATTTTATTTTTAACTCTTAATAATTTCCTTATCACATTTTTATAAAATTCGCCTAATGATTCTTTGTCCTTTGGTTTTTTCAGCCAAATTGGTACCTTAACATTGTTTTTCCATCTTTGAAGATCGTTATAAAAGTAAATATCGCTTTCATCACTCGATATGTCTATCCTCTTTCTCTGTTTTTCTAGCTTACGCTTTTTGTTACTTCTCGTTTTGGATTTCGCGCTTTGGACAGTTACAACAGAACTCTCTTGCTTTACTCTTTTGGAGGAATTTTCTACCCTTACAGTTGTTGTGACATCTTCTGCAGATTTCCCTTTCGACTCGCTCACAGTTTCTGCACCTTTGGTGGATTTCCCTTTACTTTTCATAATTCAGTTTTGCATGTGGGATTTTTATATATGCATGCTTACATGCATACATGTATCTATGCACCTTTTCAGCCAGAGTACAAACGAACATTTGCAAATATATACATATATGCGCGTACTTACATTTGTGTGTGCTTGTGTGATTTCGTATACATTTTCATGCATGTGCGATTGCTTATAGGCATTTCAACTTTTCTTGTAGAAAGACAAAGGGCAACATAATCATAAATATTCTTGTTGCATATCGTTTCTGTTTCTTACTCTGTTTAAACAGTTGCTATATTTTTTATATTCTAACTTTGCACATCTCGATATTTCAACATGTATATTTTTTTTTCTTTAAGTGAGAAGGGTTAAAAGCAAATCTTCTTTTTTACAGGAAAAAAAAAAAAAAAAAAAAAATGTCTTTCTCACTACAACTGTATATCCTGCACAATTGTGTATGTGCTGGGGTTGTTTCAAACATAAGGATAATAAAAATATGTTGATATCTTATTTTTTTTCCCTTCTTGCTGATTTTGCATATATACATATATAATTACATACGCATAATTACATATGTGCTAACTCAGCAAGAAGGGAAAAAATAAAATGTTCATCTTTTTTGAAGCATTGGTTAATTCTTATTTAAAGCATTATATATCACAACATTTATAACTTGGGTAAAAAAAAAAAAAAAAAATGTAAAAAAAATAATAATAATAACAATATGTACCACAATTTGGCACAAAAATTATTAACAAGTCATACACATTTTGTAGAGGAATAACTGGAAAAAAAAAAAAAAAAAAAAATAGCTAAAAATAAATAAAAAATAAGGGAAAAAAAAAAAAAAAAAAAAAAACAGTGTAAAAATGGGAGAATATTTTATGGGGAAAATATTTCAACTTGGTCATTTATTCGAGTTCTTTATTTATTTCTGCTTTTACAGATTTATGTATTTAGGGAGAGGCGGGACATCTTTTTTTTTTTTTTTAACATTTTTGCGAAAGTTTCGTGACCCACCCTTTTCATTTTATTCCTAACATTCATTAGTTTTGTGTTTCGTCTAAAGTGGCACAAATAGGAAAGCTGCAAAGTTGCCCAAAAATATTAAAAAAAAATATAACCAAAGGTGTGACCAAGAGTATGACCAAAAGAATAACCAAACACAAGATTAGTCGTAGGAAAAAATGTATAAATACAAAAACAGAACAAAGCCTGAAATAACGGTGTGGAATATAGCTACGTAAGATAGGAGAGGAATGTTCCCTCTTAATTCATCACATTTTTTTGTGATTAGTAATATTGTTAAAGGGGGGAAACAAAAAAAAGAAAAAAAAAACTCTGAAGCTTTTTCAACCGTAATAAATGAACGAAGAAATAAACCTATAGATCCATTTCTAACGTTTTACATTCTGACTTGTTCATATATATATATATATATATATGTATTTTTTTTTTTTTTTTTTTTTTTTTGTTTCTCCCTTGTGAAATAATGGAATACATGCTTTAAAATGTTATGCGACGTATTCAATAAGGAAAAAATTTTGGACACACTTTTAACCATCTCCGCAAGGACGCATTTTAGTAAATGTGCAAGGAAAAATGAATTGATATTTAGTAAGGTCTTCAAAAGACATTTTGGAGTGTCTGGAAGTTATGGATACAGTATTTTTTCAAAAGAAGGAAATTGTGATTCGAATGTAGGAAAGAATAATTTACATCAATATGAAGAAAAATATATGGTTAACAATTTCATAAAAAAAAAAAACTTTTATTTTACAAAGTGGCCTGGAAGGGTATCCAAGTTAGGAGCTTCTTACTTTTTTGGGAAAAATTACAATATGGGATTTTACCATATGCTTATTGAAGAAGAGGGGAAAATTAAAAAGGACATTGCATTAATATCAAGTTGTAATGAAAAAAGTGTGCAACATAAAAAAATTGAAAATCAAATGAAAGATTTATCATGTGGTTACTCAGTTCAAATAATTTTATCAGGAAAGGGGGTTAAGTGCTATTATGAAGATGTTAACTATACACCATTTAAACCTACCTATAGGAATAACATAAAGCAGTACTACAGTTTCAAAAAAAAAAATTCCATGACGGATGTAAAAACATTACAAAATAATAATGAAGAGTCAAATATGAACGTATATGAAAATGTAGACATTATGAATTCTCAAGGAAAGGAACACGAATGCTATAAAACAAAAAAAGTGAAAAAATTATTTGTCCGTCTAGGTATAGGTACAAAAAATATTGACATTACTAGAGTATTGACTATGCATAAAAAACATGTAAATATCGACGTTGACAGAACGGGAACCATAATAAATGTATATGGATATAATAAAAAGTATGTTGGTTCTGTTTCCCATCGGCTGTATAGAATTGTTAGAATGAACGTGTACACCATGAAGGGTGGTTATGTGTATCTGCATAAGCCGAAGCAAAAAATTTCAAAGAAAAAGTAAACTAACTTAGGAAAGAAATAAAAGAAGAAGAGAATGGGTGCATATTGTACTTCCGTGTATTTTTTTGTACGTTGTAATAACTAAGTATTGTTTAAAATGGCGATAAACAACTCATCACTAGCAGCGAAGCATTATGAACATATGTAATGTGTGTCAAAAACGTGTGGTGTGGTGCATAAAACTGGATTATATGTTAAAGGTACTCTTGATCTGGTCAATTCAGTTACCTAAATCGTTTCATTTCGGATTACTTTATGGAATTTTTCCGCGTAACGTGCTGTTCCAACAAAAATACTTATACATAGGCACACATATATATATATATGTGTATTTTAAAATGTAACTTAAAAACTGTTTTAATTATTTTTATTTCATCGTATAAAACGACATAAAGATGTAAACATGGGGAGGCAACAAATGAATCTATGCGTATATTTATTGTCGAGTAGTATATGACAATATGTACTAACACACAAAGTGGCGAATTTTTTTTTTTTTTTTTTCCTTTTTGGACATGTTCATTTTTTGTACATGGGAATAATTTTACGTAAAAAAAAAAAAAAAATAAAATAATAATGGAATAGGAAAAATACATATATGTGAATATATATAAAACAAAACATTGAAAATATAAATGCGTTGCGTAATAAACGATATGTCTGAGGTGCTTTAGTCAGCATTCTTCCTTCTATCATCAAGTGTGAATATCTAAAAAAATGAATCCTTGATAACTACTATGACATTATAAAAATGTGTAAATGCGTCAAAAGTGATATCCATTTGTTGTTACTTAGAATAAGTTCCATATAATGTCCACTGCTTGGGGTATATGCACCCTCATAATCATCCAGGTACACATACAGAGAGAAACTCACACAGAGATGACATAGGAAGAAGTTCTACTTCTTCTTCTCCTCCTCTTCCTCCTCTTTTTTTAGTTTTTCCTGTAACTCTTTCTTCTTCTGGGCCTTTACAGGATCGTAATATAAAACCACGAGATACCTCCCCGCAACATTGAAACCTGATAAATGATCTAGAGCATTTTTGGCATCATAAATATCGTCATACACGACAAAAGATGTTCCTTTTGTGCCTTCAGCATTTCCTTTTCTTATTTGCCTGACTGTTCCATATTTTCCAAAAATGTCATACAATTCATCTGCAGATATTTTATAAGGTAAATTTCTGAAAACGAGAAAAAAAAAAAAAAAAAAAAAAAAGGGATAAATGATAAATGATGAGCATTTTTCTTCTATTTTTAGAGTATTACGGGTACACGGATTGAGTGTACATTTGGTGTATGTGGAACACATTAAGTAAATTTATATTTGCAGGACAATATGAATATGGCATGTATGTATGACATATGACCACATTGAGATATTGTATGTAAGATTTTTTTTTATTTTTATCACGTGCTCATTCTATTCATATTTGTATATGAAAAGTAGTTATTATTCTACGCAACGACTTGTTAAGACAATTTTTTACAACTATAAAGTCTCCCCCTCAGCCAAATCATCCTATTTCCTATGAAACTTCTTTCTTTCATTAACATGTTTAAATTATTTTACCTGACGTATAGAATTCTGCTGACCTCCGCTGGTAGACGTATACTTCTTCTAGACATTGAAAAAAAAAAAAAAAAAAAAAAAAAAAAAACTTTAAAGGGAACTACGTCAAACGTTATAAGCAATACATATATGAATGGTTAAGAAAAAGTTTTAACGGTTAATGAGTAAAAAATAGGAAGAGTTTCCTTTTTCCAAAATTAATTTTCCATTATCCCCTGGTACTCATACATATATGTATGTGAATTGGAAAAATAAACGTTTTTTTTTTTTTTTTTTTTTTTTTTAACGAATTTTTTTTTGAAAAATGTATTTCGGGCATGTTTAAAAAAAGGATGTTTTTCTTTTTTTTTCCCCCCACCCCTTTATCGTATATACATTTTTGAAACAAAAAAAAGAACTATACCCAATTATTCCACCTTTTAGCGTTTCATAAATGGTAAAATGTATACATTATTATTGTAAAATTCGAATAAAATAACCCCATTTGAAAATTTTGAAAAAGTACCTACTAAGGGGTTCCCGTGGAAAAATTTGTGTAATAGTATTGGTGTATAGTATTCGTACGCAATATTGGTACGTACTGTTTGCACTAAGTATTATGCATATGCATAAATATATATGTTCAGCGTATTATTTTTGAGGGAGAAAAAAAAAAAAAAAAAACAATAAATATAAATACGTAAATATAAATACGTAAATATAAATATGTAAACATAAATACGTAAATATAAATATGTAAATATAAATACGTAAATATAAATATGTAAATATAAACATGCAAACACAAACTCATGAGTGGGGTTCTCTTTTCTACATTATATGTATATATAATTTATACGTAAAAAACTTACATATGCATGCTGCACTTGTATCAGCGTTGTTCTTTTTTTTTTTTTTTTTTTTTTTTCTGGGGCTTCAAAATAAAGAACAGCAAAAAGAAAAAGTGACCATTTAATTATCCATTACCGGTAGAGAGTATGCTATGTTTGAGTTAAACACGACAGCATCATGGAGCTGCTACAATTTGGAAAAACAAATTCAAGTAGAAGTTAACAAAGGAAAAAAAAAAAAAAAAAAAAAAAAAAGTTATATTGTTTGGCGGAAAAATTAAAATCATAATAAAAAAGTAACCTCTATATTTGTAAACCACATTTTAACAAAACACAAAATAAAGACATTGTATTAAAAATTTTTAATCTTTTTAATTATAATACTTTCCAATGTTTTTATAATATGAAAAAGAATAAATATTTTATTTTTTTTTTTTATTTTTAGTATGATACCTGGTGCTAAGTGATACATTTTTTTTTTTTTTTTTTTTTTTGCGTATTATTTTTAATTTTTCCTTTTTTTTTTTTTTTTTTTAACGTAACAATTTTGTTACTAAATACAAATGGAGATTATGTTTTGTATGGATGCTGCTGAATTGATCAGTTGCCATGGGGACAATGTTAAATCTGTAGAGAGAAGGGGAAGGGAAAAAAAAAATCAATGGGTTTAAATGTGTAGAGGAACTGGCTTAGTGGAAAAAATGGAAAACATGTGCAAAGAAACATACTTATATGTTATGGACCCCTTAATCGTTCGTATTGACGAGATGAGCGGGAAAAGAAAATCACAATTCACAAATATAAATATATATATATATATATATATATATATATATATATGAGATGGAAATAGCATTGGTGTCGACTCTTGGTCTTTGTTGGAACAGCAATGCAAAAAAAAAAAAAAAATAAATAAATAAAAATAGAAACGCATTTGAAGAAGACACATTATGCAGGTAATTACTCAGTCTGTATATGCTTCCTGAATTCAACGTTCATCAAAAATAAAGTTAAAAATAACTCTCTTTTGAGAAATGGGTGTTCGGATGACTTCATTTGGTTTTTTTCACATATGACATTTTTTACCTCTGTGTTGAGGTTAAAGGTTGAGTATGGGAGGAAAAAAAATGTGCGTATGCTGTTTATATTGTTCTTTTTACATATGTCTACTTTTATCAGATGATTATGAAAAAATTCGACTTTTTTTACTTCAATTATGTGGATTGAATTTTTAAATAGTATGCTACTTCGTTTGGTACAATTTAACCTTGTTGCATTTTTAAAAAATTTTTTTTTTTTTTTTTTCAGTTTTCCCATTTTACCGCTTTGCATTTGTTGTATTCTTTTCTTCAAATATAAAAAATGCAAATATAATATATGGGAATAATTCTGCAGGTAACTAAAGTGTTCGTATATGTTGTGAAAGACTACATTTTTATAATATTTAGCATTTTTAAAATAAAGACAATCATTGAAGGAATAATGTTTTTTATTTTTTAATTTATATTTGTACTTTGTTTGTGAAATAGATGGATAATTTAAAAACTGTTGAAAAGTACAACTAGGATGATGCGTGAGATTTCGTTTCGTCTTTTCATTACTAATGGTACATTTTACAAAATTGCAATTTTTCAAATTAGAATTCATATTTTCCCTCAAAAGGGTAGGGATATGGGGGATATCCAAATGGTTGAACTCTCTAATGTCACCTACACTCCCACTCTTTACATAGTCAAAATAATTTTTAAAGGTTTTTTCATTGCCCAAATTCGCGCCTATTATTTTTTTCCAGTACATTAATATATGATTATAATTTTTCAGCAACTTTGGAAATATACATTTAAGTGTCGCTATACATAAAAGGAGTTTAAAATAGAGGCTATAATTTGTATTAGCTATTTTTGGTTTTTTCAAAACTATCATTTTATTTAACACGAACGTTATACACTTTTGGTATTCATTTACGGGAGGATTATTGTCACTATTTTTCTGATGATTGATAAGACATCTAAGGTATGTTACAATTGTGCTGAATAACAGCTCAATCAAGTCATTTGTGTCAACATATGAAGAATTAGTAATACATTTAAGTATTAAATATTTTTTTTTTTTTTTCCATTTTTTAACAAATTTGGAAATAAAAAATTTGTTGTACTTGTTCAAGTTCATAAAATTGATATTCTTCTTAACCAGATCATCCATTTTTTTTATTTTTCTTTTTAACATTTTTCTTTCTAAGTTGTTCCAAATTTTATTTATGTAGACCTTTTTTTTATGTTGATGTTTTTTAAAATAATCCAAGTTGGTATGTTTATATGTTAAAAAAAAATGTTGTATGACATTTTTTATATTGGACTTTTTTCTCTTCTTCTCGTTATAAATATGGTCAAATAATTTTTCTCTTTTTTCTTCAGGGTTTTCCATTTTTTGGCTCGCTAAAAAGGACTGTATGATTCTTCTCCCTATTTCTTCTAGGCCTGAAAAAGGTGCGTGGTGTGTATGTGTGTGTGGATGGATGGTGAGCGAGATGTTGTAGCAGCAACGTTGACATGCCAAACAGGGCCGTGACGACGACATGGGAAAAAAAGAAAAATAAATAAAATAGAATAAAATAAAATAAAAAAAATAGAGAAAAAATAGTGAAAAAATAGAGAAAAAATAGAGAAAAAAATAAAGAAAAAATAAAGAAAAAATAGAATAAAAAGTAGATAACTATCCCTTCCTATGTGGTATCGAGTTTTTTTCTTTTTTACCTATCCGAGTGTCATTCGGGCTGCGCAACGATTGCTTCAAGTGTGCGCTATCATTTTGTAAGACCATTTCATCAATTTTGTAAGAACTTAAAAAATTAAGAAAAAAGACAGCGTTACTTATGCTGACTCGTTTTTTTTCCATTTGACACACCCTTTTTTGAAGATAGGATAGTATAACTTGATCATTATTTAAAGGTTCAAATAGATAACTGCTTTTCAACATATGAACGTTACAGAGAAAGATAATTTCCTTGTTCAAAGTGGATAAGAATTGAAGAATATTTTTATTAATCTGGTTAATTATTTTTAAAAAATAAGCATTTAATAGTTTGTTTTTTCTACATTTCCATTTTTTCGTTATATAAAAATAAGTGTATATTTTATTCACTTTCATTGTCTTTTTTTGCAACTCATATAAATTTGTTACTGCTTTTATTAAGAGTACAACCCCTTCGTTGTGTATATCAATACAGTTCTGTTGCTTTAAAAATTTTTCAAAAATTTTTTTAATCAAAATGAATATTCTCAAGTTAAAGGATGATATCATATAGTATATTTTTTTGTAAGAATTGTGGGAATAATAAAATTGCAATTTTTTTTTTTTTTCTTCATTTTTTTTCTTCCTTAAATTCTTTGTGTAATTATTCCTTTGAAGATGTCCATTTTTATAATGCCTTCTTTTGTACACAAAATTAATGGCATTATGGTAATGGGAACCCCCATTGATTATTTTATGTATATCTACTTGATCCATTTTGTAAACTTCTGACGTTATGGAATTGTTAATGTGAGAGATGCATTGAACTAGATTATCGAGATCTCTAAAATGGATGAAATTATCATCACATGATGGGTTCATTTTTTTCAAAATGGATAGTAGGCACATATCAATTTGTTTGAATACCCTTTTTTGATATTTTAAATGGTTAGAAATTACCAAAGTGGATGATAATATTTGATTAACTTGTTCAAATTGGATGTTGTTATGATTTTTGTTACTCAGAAAGGAACAATAGAGTGTATTTAAAAAGTCTTCATTCAATGTTTTGAAATGAAAATGGAAAGAAAAGTAGGAATACATATTTTTCAAATTTTTAAAATATGGTTTATGGTTAACAACAAAATTGGTTATAAAAAGAATGGCATCTTCATTAATAAGTTGCTTTTTTTTTATCAACACATTTAATAAAGTATTGATATGTGCATCGTTCATATATATTATTTTATTATTATTAAAGAGAAACCTGATTAAAAAATTCAAAACATTAATTGATATTCGACCATTTCTTATATTGGAAATGCTGTTCATTATGTCTACTATTTGTCCGTGTGTAAATCGATTTATTTTTTTTTCAATCATATTTATTAGCATGCCTAAAACCTCGTCACTTAGGATTTTCCTTTGTTTCGAAAAACAGCTTAGAGTTATCACTAAACTTTTTTCATTAAACTTTAGAGGCATATGCTTATAGTTATTTATGAAAAAGTCCTTAAGTGATGCATTGTGCAGAAGAAGATCCTTTTCTCTTTTTTCTACCCCTTCAGCATTTTTCCATTGAATTTGAGAACTAGTGGAGTTACTATTGTGCTGTGCACCCACTTGGTATACCTTGATTAACGGGATAAGAAGTCTAGCATCCAATTGTTTCTTCATTTTCTTTATCAGTTTCAATTGAATATATTCAAACTTTTTTAATTTCAGTAATTTAGGAGTGATACTTCTTGCTCCATTATTTGTTGGGACAGGAGGGGAGTTCAATACCTCTTCATTTAAATTGAGCCCATCTAAGTTGTTATCTTTTCTATGGAAGTAAAAATGAGTGAACCCATTTTGTCCTTTTGTTTGATTTCCCTTGAGAGATCCCCAAATGGTATCCCGTATTTTATAAAGATTTTTTCTTTCTAATCTGTTAAACAAGATATATTCACTTTTAAGTTTCTTCAAAAAAAAGTGTCCTAATTCTTTTTTTATATGTTGAATAAAAAATTCATTGAAACAATCATGTGGGTTTATAAATTTGTCTGCCTTTTTTATGGATATTTTTTTTTTCTTTAAACAATCAATGAGGCGAAATACAAAATTAATGGTAGTTGGTGTGTAGCCTGATTGGGTACTCTTTTCTGAATTCTCATGAAAACTTAAGTTGTAAAAAAGTTTGAAATTTTGAGAGTTTATTTTACGATTAAATGGGAAAATAGCTACATGATCGTCTCTTAATTGGTCTGTCAAATTGTTTTTATATTTTCTCCCGTGATCTACAGATGCAGCTAAACGTTTGTGTACCTTTAGATATGCATTTAGAACATTATAAATCTGGTGCAAAGAAAGGGAATATATCCTATGTAATAACATATAATTGACCTTGTAAAAGAATAAATAATTGAGAGTATTTAACTTTTCTAAATTTGACAAGACAAGCAAAATGGATATTAATTCTGAATTTGAAAAGACATCTTCATTCATTATGCACCAGAATGGGTATATAAAATATTTCTCATTAAAATAGTTTAATTTGATAAGGGAATGTAAAATGGTTACGATATGTTTTACATTTTTTCCATTTTTACTAAGAAATGGGATGATGCGGCATATGTCTCCATATAAATCATAATTTGCGTAGTTATATTCTTCACATTTTTTTAAAATTATAATCAAATGTTTCATAGTTTCCATTTGGTATTTGATTACGATTTTGTTTTGTCTGTTTTCATTTTTTTCTTGCATATCTTCATATTTTTTTATCATGATTAGTTTTTTTTTTTTTTTTTTTTTATCCAAGTTTATTTGGCTGTCCTCTTGTCGTCTACACAGTGGTAAAAAAGCGGTGCTCTGATACTTTTCATCAATTACAGTATCAGAAACAATTTTTTTGGAATATACTTCTCCATTCTTTATATTAGATAAACTGCTACTCATGTAATCCTTTCCATGGTACCTGTTTTTCTCTCCAAAGATTCCATCTTGTTGTGTGAAGTTCATCCATTTTGAGTCAGCTTCAGTAGGTTCCCTTAGGTGGTTATGTTTCCTTTCATCTTGCATAAATTGGATTTCGTTCTTTGTTCTACATGTCCCTGTGTCCTTATTAAATAGATAAAGAGCCTTTTCTTTTTGCACATGTTCGATTATCTGTATTAGTGTTTTTTTTTTATACAGAAATGTTACCTTTTCCCTGTACTTGTCAGTGTAGGGGATGTGTTGGCTGTGCCATTTGACCCTCCCTTTTTTTTTTTTTTTTTCTTTTTCTCTGTATAGTATGTTTTTGATATACTTTATTTTTCTGGCATGGCTAAGCATTATGTGCGTTCATCCCTTTCGTTTCTATGCTGATCATTTGGGTTCGTTTGTGGTCTTTTCCGGCTAGTTTGGGACTACTTTGGGACTAGTTTGGGGCTCGTTTGGGGTTCTTTTCCCGCTAGTTTTGGGATCCTTTTGGTTCGTTTTCGGTTTTCTTCGATTTGTTCGAAATATCATTCTCATATCTCTTCTCAATTGATCGCATATCATTTGCGGGTGCTCTGACTTCCAACCTTCAAAATGTTTTCAATTTGAGCAATTTGAGCAATTTGTGCAATTTGTGCAATTTGTGCAATTTTTTTTTTTCTGTGTTAGATTCCACTTAAAAATGAAGGACCCACAGAACGTCGTCTCCAGCATGGTTCCAAATTTCTTGAATAAACAAATAGTCATTCACAAAAATTTTTTTTTTTTTTAAAATAAACAAATAACATTTTATATGCATCTTCATAAAACAAAAGTCCAGCACCATAAAAGTGTGTGCATGATTTTTTTTTTTTTTTTTCCTTTTTTTTTTGTTTCAGCCAGAAATGTAAGTTTTCTTTACTCATGTTGTATTTTACAAAGCAAATTTTTTCAGTGCTCAACATTTCTCCATGTTTTGCTAAAAAATACCCCAACTTGAACAGCATCGTTATGGATATAGAGAAGTGTCAGTGAAGAGGCACGTCGAGGGGATGCCATGGTTAGTGGCCAAACAACTCCTATAAGTATCCAACCCCCACCCGCAAGCTCGAACATCAAATAACATATACAAAAGAGCATGTGGAAAAAAAAAAAAAAAAAATAAATAAAATAAAAATAAAGTGAATCCATCTTGGTTCCTAATTTTATCATTTCATATTATGAATATTCCAAGTGTGTATCTTGTTTTGCATAACTAATTAATGGTCTCTCATATAACAAGATGGTATATTTACATCTAGAAATGTATTTACACATAGCAAACACATTACGTGTACGACCTTAAATCGGTCTCATTCCTTAATGGGCAAAGGGGTTAGAGTACCCAATGAGAGATAAATGAACGAATATTAATAAGATGAAAAGAAAGAGAATACACAGTGGAAATGTGATATTTTTCATCTATGTCATTCTACAAGTATACAGATCTTTGCAGGTTAAGAAGGAAAATAAAATTGTGTATGTTGCAAATGTGAAACCATGCTTTATGCAGACTGACAGAATCATTCCTTATTTTATATCAACAATAAAATGTAGAAGAAAATATAAAAATTTTTTAAGTGAACATAAAAATAAAATCAAAGATATAATTAAAAATTCCGTAAATTTGCCAATTCCGTTTATGCCTACAACGTATAACAGTTTCGACAGGTAAGCCCCCAAAAAAAAAAAAAAAAAAAAAAAAAAAAAGTAAATAATCATACGTCGAAAGGATACACATTTGGAAGAATAATCAATGTTCTTGAGTATATTTAAATTCATCCTTTTTTTCTACATTCTAGCATAATGTTCTTCATTTTACAACTCTTGCGCTATGTGTTTATATCTCCATACGTGTGTTAATACAACACTTTTGTTATATCTTCTTTCTTCCATCCACATTAAATAACCACACATATTCAGACAAAAATATATACAACACTTATGGAATAGCGAAAATATTTACGAAAAACGAAATTTGTCAAATGTAAAAAAATGCATATACAATGACAAGGAAAGAGATAAGATAAGGGTGAAGGAAAAGAAGCTTAGCAGATATGATCTGCTAATGAATAGAAAAGAATACGATTGGGATCATCTAATACCTGAAAAAAACAGAATAATATCAAATTTTAGTTGGAAACATGTGCTTGAGAATGTTCTGAAGGATAAGAAGAACACACAAGACAGGTACAAAACAAATAATATTATGAACAAATGTGAAGAAAATATTCAATACTTGAAAAAAAATAAAAATAAAATAAACCTAGAAAAGAGAAAAAAAAATCTAGAAAAATGTAAAAAAAATTTGGAAGAAAATATAATAAGTCTAGGAAAAAAAAAAAAATATATATTACAAAAATTTTATAATAAGGTATATAAAAAGATAAGGATTATACATGATGGCCCGCCGTATGCAAATAATGATATTCATATTGGACATATATTGAATAAAATTATAAAAGACATATATTTGAAATTCCTTTTATTGAATAATTATTGCGTTATGCTGATACATGGCTTTGACACGCACGGGTTACCAATTGAATATCAAATAATGAAAATGCTGAAAATAAAAAATGTACAAGATTTACCGTTACCCACGAATGCAGAAGTTAATAATAATGATTCCTTTGATGGGACAAGTAGTATAAATGATAAATTTGATGAGAATTTTCTAACGAAAAGATTCAAAAAAAAAAAGTATTCGATGAAAGCACAACCTTCCCTTGTTCATAATTTACTTTCTAAAGAACAACATCTTAATACCCCACTTATAGCTAATGATTTGACACAGAAGAAAATTCAATACTTCAAACAAATTTGCAAATCATATTCTTCCTATTTTATTAACGAACAATTCATGTCTATAGTTTCATACGGGATATGGGGTCTATGGGACTATACATATGTAACGTTTTACAAATTGTATGAACAAATCCAGAGAAATGTTTTTCTAAATCTTCTGAAGCAAGTAATTTTTTCATAAGAAAAGATATTTCAGCAGCATCTGCTTTGAAACACCATTGGGTTTGGAGCAATGCTCCTTCTTCAATCTTCATAGATTGTTTTTTCCTCTTCTCACACATTCTCTATCTTAGTGGGCAGAAAGGGGGTAGGGGGGTACACCCCCCTTTTGATTAATTTTCACGTTTATACCGATTGTTGTTCCATTTTTCTCCATTTTTTTTTTTTTTTTTTTTTTTTGCAGAAATACATCTACATGAGCAACAGACCAGTATACCACAGCCACGAGACAAAAACGGTACTATCAGATAGCGAAATAATATATAAAAATCGAATTTGTAATTCTTTTTACTTTTTCTATGATTTACACAGAATTAGTGATGATTTATTATTGACAATAGTACGAGGATACAAGGAGAATGAATTAGTTAATGATATCCTTCAGGGGAGTGATTACGAGATGCAGATGCTTTTGGCTAGTTTGGGTTCTACTAGAAATGAAGAGCATGGTTCATTTTCAGAGGGGAGATATAGCGAATACCTCACTGAGCTAAAAGAGAGAAAAAAAGATATGATAAAATCAAAATTAAAAATACTAGTATTCACAACCCAAATGTATACAATATTTAACAACAAATGTTTACTAATACATAGAGATTATTTATACAGGGTTATAAGAGTAAAATTTGAAAATTCAGAAACGTTGTTTTTACTTTTATGTGATAAATCATTTGACAGTTTCTACAAATATTTAAAAACAAATTATCGTAAACATAATAAAATTGTAGATGTGAAAACTGTTATGACTTTGTTAGGCAAGGATTTTGAAGCATGTACATATGTTAATTTTATTAATCAAGCGGAAAGTAATTTTGTTCTTATTTCTAAAAATGAAATCAAGGAATCATTCGGTTCAGGAATTGTTCACGTTGCCCCTTCGCATGGTTTTACAGATTACAATTTGTATTACAGAAACAATGAATTGGAGAAAGTTCATCTGTCTGAGGAACACTACAATCCAGATCATCATGTCAGTCTGAGTAATAACCTAGATAGTGATATGTCTTTAAAGGGAAGGGAAAAGACACATCTACGTAACAATTTTGCATGTCCTCAGTTAAACACCGATTCGATGGAAAAGAAGACAACAGCGCATGAACAGAATAAGATAAAAATGGATAAGTTGAACCTTGTAGAAAAATACACAACTTATATGAAAAAAGAGAAAGTGAGTAAAAAGGAAAAAACATATAACCACTCCTCCTTTGATGTTATAAATGAAAACGTGATAAATGAAAATGATGACTTGAAGGATGAGTACGCAAAAATTATACGAAGGAATTGTAATAAACGAATTGATCTGATAAAGCAATGTGAAAATTCACCAGAAGGAGATTTATTTCTTAGCAGTTTAGGGAAGAGCACCAAAATTAATATCAATCAAAAGGATATACATTTGTTATTTTATTACTCTTTCTACGACAATATTTTGTTTTATTTTCCATATGAACATTCATATACATACGATTGGAGATCACATACTAGTGTACAAATAAAATCACTGCTTCAGATATATGTAGACATTGAAAAAATAAAAAAAAATAAAAATTTTTTTAAAAGTATTAAAAAAATAAAATTCGTGAACAGTAATGTTAAAAAAAATTTAATAAAAACTATAAAAGATAGAAATGAATGGTGTATAAGTAGACAGAAATATTGGGGTGTGAATATCCCACTAAAGGATATACACATTGGTAGAGACTACCAAGTGAACTTTAATAAACAGATAATGGATGTCTGGTTTGATTCTTCTGTTTCTTATCTCTATGTTATGTACATGTGTAAGCATATTCTATTTAACGTTTATTTTAAAAAATTGATCTTATCACTCCAGCGGGAGAAGATGAGGCATGTTATGCCATATCCTAGGACTTTGATCAGAGTAAAAAAGGATCATTTGAATTTTGATCAGAGAAATAACCCTACTAGTGTTACAAACAATGTGGTCTGTGAAAACAAGACTCATTTCAATATATATGAAATTTACAACGAAATAGAGAAGCCCAACATGTCCGAGGAACAGGGGAAGTGGGAAAGCGTGTGCTTTCTCAATGAAGTAATAAACAAAAAAAAAATATTCGATCCTTCCATTATGTATGAACGGTTAATGAGAAAAATACAAAGTAAGAGAAATTATTATAAGTTGGAAAATGTTAGTGATATTATTCATTCAGTTAAAGATGAAAAAAGAACGAAAGGCTTTTTTAAGAATGATTTAGGAATATACCTTTGTTGTGAAGGTATAGACCAGATAAGGGGTTGGTTTCAGTCCTTTTTTTTTATATACTTTTGCTTAAATTGTATAGATGGAAACGACAAAGGTTTAGGGTTGGAAAAAAATGACACTTCTTTGCCAATCAAAAATATCATAATACATAATTATGTTGTTGATAGGAATAATGTTAAAATGAGCAAGAGTCTGAACAATGTTATAGCTCCTCGAAATCTTTTTTTATGTAGAAATAAGAAGAAAGGGTTCAATTCGCGTGAGGCTGCATTTTTGGAGAGAAGCAGCAAGAGAGGAGGAGGAGAAGAAGAAGAAGAAGGAGAAGTGATTCATGACGCAAATTATTTAAATGACGGCAACACTTTGCCAACTTGTAAAAATATGAAGGACGAAGTTGTGGAGAGGAAATGTGCAAATGGTGGGGACGTATCAAAATTAGATGCAGCTGGAGCCGTTTCATCTGAGAAGAACCCGTTAGCGAAATGTGTACAAAAAAAAAGACACAGTGTTGAAAAACGATTTAACGCGGATATAGTGAGGCTGTGGGTATGCTGCTACAATTTTGTAAACAGAAACATATCGATAAGTCACGAAATATTGGAAAGTATCAATAAGTATATATATTTAAAAATATATAATACTTTCAAATTTGTACTGAATAATATGTACGACTTAAATTTTGATAACACAAAAATTTGTAAAAAAGACTTACAATTAATGGATCAGTACATTTTATCTAAAAAAAACAATTTAATTAGATGTTGTTTACATTCTTATAAAAATTTCCAATTGCATCTACTTATAAAGCATGTACTCAATTTTGTGTATCGAGATTTGGCAATTTATATTGATTATTGTAAAGACAGATTATATATACATAGAAAAAATTCCATAAGTAGAATAAATTGTCAAAAAATTTTGCATAAGATATTAATCGACATGTTAAAGGTTCTTTCGCCTGTGATTCCACATCTATGTGAAGATGTGTATATGAATCTTGAGGCTTTGAAGAGGAACATGAAGATGAGTAAATCGTCTCTACTGGAGGGAAGGGAAGTTCTAGAAAACAGAAAAAAATTAAGATCTGTTTTTTTTCTGGAATTTCCAACTATTAAAAAATACAAGGATATCAATTTGGATACATTATTTATAATAAAATATTATGTTCATAAGCAACTGAACAGTGTCTTGTCAAATTCTTTGCAAGGAGTTGTTTACATCTACTCTGATAATCAAGATATTATCACTTTAATGAAATCATTTTTAAGAACACCAAACCCTTTATCAGATTTTAACAATTATGACGACCTTCGTTTTCTCTTTAATGTTTCCAACGTGCACATTTGTAATGACATAATGCAAGTCCAAAAAATGGATAGATCTTATCGAACGTATAAAATACCCCTTCTTCGAGCGAATCATAACTCACACAAGAACAAAGATATAGACGATTTTTTGCAAGAAGGTCCAAAAAATTCATCCATCCAAGACATGCTTCGTTTTGACGAGAACGAAAAACATGCTTGCGTTAGCATCGGGATAGCGAAGTCAGGCGGTGCAAAGTGTTCAAGGTATTTTTTTTCATAGAATTGTTTTGTAGTTATTTTCTATTTTTTTTCATAGAATCGTTTTGTAGTTATTTTCTATTTTTTTTCATAGAATCGTTTTGTAGTTATTTTCTATTTTTTTCATAGAATCGTTTTGTATTTTTTTCGTGGAATTTTTTTCTACACCTGTTGGAGACATGCCATTTTTGCTAGCACATTTTGCGAATTATTTTATCTATCTATATATGTATATATGTATATATCTATCTACATATCTACCTATCTATCTATTTTATATTTATTTTTTTTTTTTATTCATTTTTTTACCACTTTCTCAATGCAGGTGCTGGATGTACGGGACGGTCAGTTCATTTGAAGGAGAATTTCTCTGCCCAAGGTGCAAAACCGTTGTTATCAATGTGCTTTATAATTAATTTGACCATTATTGCATATATATTTTCCACCTCTAAAACATTTGTGTTTACTCATAATCTAACAATTGACAAAAAGTGTTTTACTGTAAAAGCGATTTAAAATTTTTGTTTTCGTTTATTTAATTTGGAAACACGTGTTTTTACTACATTCCAATTTTGGATCGATGCATGAGACGGGAAAAAAAAAGGGGGTGAATGGGAGAGATGTAGTAGATGATAATACTTCTTTTCCCAATGTAACGGGTAATCACATTTTAACTACATGCATATATGTATACATATGACCATTTTGCTTGTCTGCTCAAGGACACTTTGATGTGCATACAAATTGGGTGCTTTAAAAAAAAAAAAAAAAAAAAATGCCACAAACGTGTGCACAAAGAAGATACTGCTAATCTTCAGCACCATTTTGTTTTGCATGTTACCCATTCGAATCTGTTTTTGAGCACTGTTCTTCATGTTCTCCTTCTTGTGTCATTTCATCATTCTCTTCCCGTTGAATAGTTTTATCATGTTCTCCCACTTGAGTTGTTTCATCATTCTCTCTCATTTGCGTTGTTACACTCCTTTCGTCCTGTGTACCTTTTTCATCTCTGTTAATACGCGCTCTCTTCCGTTCCTAATGGTAAAAACACGCGAAAAAAAATAATAAAATAAATTAATAATAAAATAAATTAATAATGAAATAAATAAATAAATAAATAAATAAATAAATAAATAAATAAAATAAAACAAAATCGAGTAATGCAAAATCGAGTAATACAAAATTACAGCAAAGCACCATTTTTCGCGTATAAAAAATTGAATCATGCGTGCAAGATATGAATATCAGAGAGTTTAGACAGTCTCTGTTTGGGTCGTGTGGTTTGCACAAAAAATGTAATTTGCTTTGTTGCTCGCCTCGTATAGTGCGGCCATTGGGGGAAGCGTATGATTAGCTTTTTATTTTCGAGCGAATTTGGAACCGAGGAAAACACCAAAGAGGTGTGTGTGTGTGTATAAGTAGGGTTCGGTGAGGGCAATGATTCAAAGTTTGGATAGAAAACTTACCATTAGCTGATTTTGAATTTCAAAATAATTTTGGAGGTACTGATATTGCTTGAGTTTTAATTTAACTTTTCTAATACTTATGACTGCGAGTTCTTTGAGTAGCTTTTTGATGTTGTGTTTTTCTAATTCTGCCAATTCCTTCGCCCTCTTTTTTGAAGCATTAATAATTGTATTGTGAATTTCCTGCATATCTTTTTCGTCCAAAATATAAGTCGAAGGTGCAAATGTCTTTAGAGGGTGATTTATATTAGATGGTATGAAATCCGGATTGTTAAAACATGCGTCGTTATCATTTCTTTCTTCTTTATATACTCCGTTAGAAGAAACGGAATCATTTTCTTTAATAGCTCTTTCTTTACTCTTTCCATCGTTTGTTTGTTCATCGTTCGCTTGTTCATCATTCGCTTGTTCATTGTTCGCTCGTTCATCATTCGTTTGGACTGATGGAAAATTTGCAATATTCCCAATTCCGTTTTTATATTCATCAGTGCAATTGGGGATATTCCTTGTCTTCTCTTCCTTCAGAATGTCCTCCTCGAGCTCGTCATCCCTGCTGTTTGAACACATAGGATTCGTTTCCATTTGGTCGATTGTGTGATCATTTGGATTTTCTTTTTCGATATCCATCGATTCGACGTTATGACATTCACGAGTAATCAGCTGTGGGGTAATGTGCTTAACGGGTTCTTCTACCTTTGGCTCACCACTTGGGTAGATGTACATGGATTGGGAGTCCACGTTTTTGTTACTTCCTCGCTCCTCCACTTTGGCTTCTTCCTCTTTAACATCTTCCGCTTTAGTTTCTTCCATTTTTATCTCTTCCTCTTTGATCTCTTCCTCTTTGATCTCTTCCCCTTTGATCTCTTCCCCTTTGATCTCTTCCCCTTTGATCTCTTCCCCTTTGATCTCTTCCCCTTTAATCTCTTCCCCTTTGATCTCTTCCCCTTTGATCTCTTCCATTTTGATATCTTCCATTTTGATCTCTTCCATTTTGATATCTTCCATTTTGATCTCTTCCATTTCTCCCACCGCTTTCACATTCACCCCTTGGCAATCTTGGGTGTCCCACAGCCCTTGGTGCATCATGCCAGATGCACATTGACGCTGCTTGTTCAGAATAAAATCTACTATTTTTTTGGCAGCATAGGCTCCAATATATGGACTGATGTAATTGCATATAAAGGAAAGCAATGAAAGGAGGGAATTATTTTGTTTAAAAGATTTAAAGGATATATTATTTATATTGAGTAAATTATCTATATCAAAATATGGATTCGATAAAGGCATCGAAATAAATTTGTAAATACAATCGTAAGCACTTTTGGTTTCAATGGACTGGCTTATTTTATCCCAATTATTTTTATATTTACAAATAGCATCAATTAATTTTTCCATTTCTGTAACATTCCAATCATTATTTGAAAAATTATATGGTATGTTTACCTTAACAAAATTAGATCTGTTTAAAATATTCGGATATTTGCTCGAGTTAAAGCATGTGTTACACCACACACACTTATCCAGTACTCCATATGATATTTTTTTTATATTATTTGGTTTTAAAATGTAGTATACATATGTGCACATTTTTTTACAACTTACACATTTGTATATATTGTTACTATTCCATTTCTGATTTTTTTCCCCTTTACATCCTTCCGAAGAATAACTCCATTCTAATATGTTTTTTTTTGCAGACCCCTGGTATTCCTCAACATCATTTTTCACATTTATTGCACTTATTGTATCTATATTTTGATTTAACCATTCAAAGGTGTTGTTATTATTACTACTAGGTATATTGTTATTATTACTACTAGGTATATTGTTATTATTACTACTAGGTATATTGTTATTATTACTACTAGGTATATTGTTATTATTACTACTAGGTATATTGTTATTATTACTACTAGGTATATTGTTATTATTACTACTAGGTATATTGTTATTATTACTACTAGGTATATTGTTATTATTACTACTAGGTATATTGTTATTATTACTACTATATATATTGTTATTATTACTACTATATATATTGTTATTATTACCACTATATATATTGTTATTATTACCACTATATATATTGTTATTATTACCACTATATATATTGTTATGTATATTAAAGTTCATCCCACTTGAATTAAGTACTGCTGCATCACTGACATGCTGAACTTTTGTTAAATGTGGATTCGCCTTTTCAGGGCCCCAAGGTACCTCATTTGTACTCAAAGATTCATACATATTATTATTCACACTGTTATTCATCGGGGTATTATATTCTTTGAAATTTAAATTTTGATCCAAATATGTCTTGTTCCTTCTGATGCTTGTTGTGTCATGTGTGATATTCGATTTGGTAGACGTAGAGAAATATGGCCCTACTTCTCCCAAGATGTTAGTTGATTCCTTGTTTTGAAAATTCCATGAAATGGAGCATTCCTCCTCTGGTCTGGAGAACATACCTTTCATATTATTAGGGAGTTTATTTTTTTCATCTTTAAAATTCAGATGATGGGCTGTGCTTCTACTACTAGTACTACCACTAGCATGAAATGGATTTTTCTTCTCTTCTTCCAAATTTTGAACAGGATGAATTACGTCCCCTTCATTTAGATAATCAGTTGTGTGCATCTGGTTCATCAGATAATTCTCGCCCATTTGTTCGGTTCTAGATCCATTTTTTATACCATGAATTTGGTCGATATCGAAATGATGTAGCTTAACTGCTCCTGTAACATCTGATGTATTGTGCATGTGGATCATATTATAATAATTATTGATTCCTTTTGAAAGTCCAGAACCATCCTTCCACATTTTATGCATGTTGTTAACCGTTTCATAGTCTAAACAATCAGTATGAACCTTGAAATGGTTAAACAACATATTTGATGCATTATTGTGTAACATATTATTACATTGTAAGATGTAAAATAAAACTTCAATCAATTTTTTATTTGAGTGTATGCTTTTATAACATTGATTCAAAGTAAGTAACTGACTTGGATTGTTCTTCCTCAAGGTAATAATTTCATCTTTTACTTTATTTATTTCTTTGTCATTTTCTGCTGATTGTGTTAATTCATCATTTAGAAGTAAATATATATAATGTAAATCTTGTTTACAAATGTCATTAGAATATGTCAAGTCGGATCCGCTAGGTAAACGTAGATTCTTATTTGCTATGATATCATCATTCCCTTCATTTGAAGAATTATTTAAAAAATTTATCACTCTTCCCATGGATGATAATGATGATGGTGATGAATGTGGATCGAATGTCATTGAGTTTACATTTTCAAAGTTTAAATTATGTATACTATTTTTTATGTTTGTCGATTTTTTTTTAACAATATTTCTTAAGTATGTGTTTGATGGACGCATATATACCTTTTCATTCTTCTGTTTCGCATGCATATTATTGTTGCTTACATTGAGATTATCATTTGTATCTTTATTTTTTTCATTTTTCATTGAATTCATTTCTTGAACCTTAGCTTCCTCTGCCTCGTTGGACTTCCTCCCCGTATTCACATCTGCATCTGTTTGTTCTACCTTTGTGTTTGTATTTGAGTATATCCCTTGAGTCTTCGCAATGTGATAATGTGATGAATCATTTACAAGTGTTGTTGTATCCAACACTTTACTACTTTTATGCATATTCGTATAATCATCCTTTTGGGAAGTTTCTATGTCTACTTTATTTATGTCTTGCGAGGTACAGTGGCTAGAATATTGTAGATTTTTAGTAGAATTATTAGGATTCATTGAATCTTCTCCTTGAATATTCCTCGCTTCATTTGCGGGATCATTGTGCTGAATTGCTTCTGATTGTTCATAATATGTAGCATTGGTATGAACTTCATTTTCTTCTATTGATGTTGCAACAAGACCGATTGTATTCTCTGAAAAATGGTAAGAACCTTCAACAATATTGAAGTTTTCTGTGTTCTTATTATTATCAGCTATGGATGTGTTTGTACCAGTTCGCTCCTCATCTTGAACTGTGGAAATGCCGTTATTAGCTTCATCATTTACGTCCATATTTTCTGAACCCATAAGTACATCTGTCTTGCTGATGCAGTTCAGTTTTACAACTTCGTCTCCATTTCCCCCCCCATTTTCATATTTCCTTTCTCCTTCAATAGCCACCTGGTGGCTCCCTGTTTCCTCGTTCATGTTTCACGAAATACCTTAACAACGTTCCAGTGTGTTGTTTTTTTTTTTCTAAAAACAAATGATCTCCTTCTCTTCGTTGTTTGTAATATATATATATATATATATATATATATATATGTACATATATCATTCATTATATTTTTCTCGACCGAACTTTTAACTGCAAATTAGAGTTACACCTCCACCCCCCAAAAAAAAAAAAAAAAAAAAAAAAAAAAAATTAAATAAAATAAAATAAAATAAAAATACTTCCCCGAATTAGAACGCTGTTTGTCCAGGTGTATTGGGATAGAGGTGCAGAACGTTATTTACTTATTCATCCGTTCGTTCTCCTCATTTGTCCATGTGTTAATTTGCTTGTCGCGTTTTTGTCTCTTCTTCAGTGTTTCAAATGTTCAGTGGATTTACACTTCTCCCTGAAGACTGTTCGTTCTCCTTTTATTCGCCTCTAAATTAAATGGGTAATCTTTCTTTCCAACTTATGCACACATAATTTATACGTATAATACGATGCAAACAAATTGGGAGACGTGACATAAAATGTAAACAGGTGCACTACTATATGCATATGCTACTACATGTATACGCTGCTATGTAATATATATGTATATATATATATATATATATATATATATATATATATATATATATATATATACATACATATATATGTGTGCCTTTTAGCCGTGCTCCAGGTTTGGCACATCTGTTACCAAGAATTTTATATAACGTTTCACCCCCACTGGTAAACAGGTAAATTTATGTGTTACTACTATTAATTCAAATTTTGGAAGGGGAAATCACATCAATTTTGGAGAGAATTATGGTTGATTGGTTTTCTTCTTCTTCTTCTTTTTCTTCTACTTTTTTTTTTTTTTTTTTTTTTGTATCTTCTGCTTCTGTTTAGTTTTCCCTTAACATGGCAATGTTAATGTGACTTTTTATAGATCATTTTCTGGGTATCCTCTTAAAATCGGTTATTTTTTTTTGCTAATTCTATCGAATGGGTCTCGTTCTCGTTTGAATGTTTGAATGAGTCAGTTAATTGGTTAATTAATTACGTTAAGTAGTTCAATGAATTGGTGTGTTGTGTTTCACAATGAGCAATTGTTTAAAAAGGGAAAAGAAATACAATTACAAAAAAAAAAAAAAAAAAAAAAAAAAAAAAAAAAAATAAATTTTTTTTTTTTTTTTTTTTTCTTGCAGGGGAGTACTTTTTTTTTTCTTTCCCTTTATCGATACGTTTAGAAAAAAAAAAAAAAAAAAAAAAGGTTCTTATAAGCTCATCTGATTTTACAATTTTTTTATATATGTAAGACGATTTAATTTTTTTTTTTTTTTTTTTCCCATCATGTGGAAATTAGTTACATTGAAAAAAGAAAACAACCTATTAGAGGTAAATGTAAAAAAAAATTAAAAAGAACAGAAAACGAAAGAAGAAAAAAAAAAAAAAAATAGTATTCACAAAATGGTAGTAACATTATATAGAAATAGATGGATCCTCTTCTTCCTCTCCCTCTTTATCTGTTTAACCACAAGTTGTGTAACATGTTTGAAATGTTCCCTTTCCGTTATTTCAAACTTTTTTTTTTTATAAAAAATGTATCATCAAATTTATTAGAAAATTTTGTTAATGTTTATATGAATCGTAATACACTAGATGGAAAAAAAGAAAAAAAAATTGTGCATCCGATAAAGTTTTTTTTTTTTTTTTTTTTTTTTTTTAAAAATAAAAATAATCAAATAATCTAATCGTCCAAATTATGAATTTTTAGGAGAAAAAAAAAAAAAAAAAAAAAATTTACGGTAAATAGTATTCCCCTTTTTTCACAAATGTAAGAATTTTTTTTTTTTTTTTTGATCACGAAAAAAGACAAGGAAAAAAGGGATAAATCAATAATTTTATTAAGTTTACGTGTATATTTGATTGTTAATATGGAAAAAGGAGTAAAACAAACTTATCATTTTAGCTGTGTATATAAAATACATGTTCATGTGTGTGTGGTGTTTGGGGGGGTGTAGGGAGTGATGCCACAAGTGCCCCCTTAAGTGTTCATAACATTTCGTATGTTATTTTGTCCTTAAAATGCATTAATCTGAATTAATGGTGTTACTTTATATACTCTATTGCAATACACGGAGGAATATACTATTTCGAATTTCTGCCTTTGTAAAAAGTGGCAATAAATATTTCCCCGCAAAATTTTAACAAAAGATATGGTGACACTTATTTCTTGTTCATATAACATATACCCAGTTTACTAATTACACATGATGTATTCTTAAAAGGGGAAAAACAAAAAAAAAAAAAAAAAGAAAAAAAAAATGAAAAATCCTACCATGTGTAGTAAAACAATATAATAGGACCCTTTTAAGCGGTACGAATATGTACATATGTATGTATGATATTCTAATTGAAGAGGAGGAATCACCAGTAGCCCAAAGACACATAGAAATTTCGTACAAATTGAATAAAGCTAGTAGTTGAGGATAAAATTTAAAAGAAAATGGAAGAAAGATCATCCATTTTTTTACAAAACTTTTTTTGTCACATTGTGTGAGAAAAAAATATTAAAAATGTATGTATATGTATTCATTCCATACGCATTTGTTTTAAGCGTTCTTAAAACATATTTAAAATTACGTTTCTTTGATGACACGATGAAGTGAAATGAGTTTTTATTATGTTCTACAATATTTATCATGCAAAGGGATGAATATTTCTGCGTAAAAAAAAAAAAAAAAAAAAAAAAAAAGAAACACCTGGCATGTTCACAATTTCAGTAAACGCGTCCATTTTCAATAATCTGAAACAAATTAAAAAAATTTGCATGTATACAACAAAACGTCGATAAACTACTTCCCCCTTCTTTGCATGACACAAAAATATAGAATTTTTCCCGATTTACCCCGAATGTGGGGGACTATGGCAAATATCTATTTTACCTGACTTGTTCAGAAAAAAAAAAAAAAAAATTATCCAATTTGAATCTGTTAAAAAAATTCAGCCTATAAAATTTTTTATTTGTTTTATTTTATTTTATTTTATTTATTTTTTTTTTTACTAGTTTTTAATTTTGTTGTGCTTATTTACTTATTAATATTGTTTTTAAGTTTCTCTTCCTTTTGAAAAAGTAAAGAGAGGAAAAAAGTTAATGCATTTCTTCCAAATTTGAAAATTAAACAAATAACAAAGGGAATAAGTGGTGGGAAACTTATGCCGTGCTATCTCTCAATCATTAGAGAGTATTTTTTTTTGGGGGGGGGGGTTAACTTTACAACCATATCAGAGGGTAAATTTTTTTTTATACATATATTTATAACAATAAGAGGCGTATGCTTATAAGCAAATTTATATCTTTGCAGCATATTGGGTATTTACTTTTTTACAGAGTATAGAAAAGTAGTGAGGTGTTACCCAATTTCAACATATACAGGTCAGTGAACATGGGAGAATACATGATATCTCAAACGTGACCGCATATAACCACATTAACATATGAACAAATAACCAGAATTAGCTATAGTGGGGGAAAAAAAAAAAAAAAAAAAAAAAAAAAAGCAAATGCAAATGACATTCCTATCACCTTCCTTCTCTCATTCAATAGACATACACTTATATATTTATATATATAGAGCAAGGGAACATGAAAATCGACAAAAAAAAAGAATTCAAAAAAAAATTGATTACGTGTTTTTCGTTGCTACAAGTTTCGGACCCCATTAAAATAATCGTGGATGAGACATTCATCAATTTATGTATTGTTCATAAAATTCCCATTAAAGAAGAATTGTCCAAATTAGTAAATAGACAACTAATGCTAATGACTACAAAATGCATATCCAGCTATGCAAAAAAAATACATAATGAAGAAACAGCTTATGGGATAAGGAAGATGACTCATTACAAATGTAATCACAATGATGAAAGCGTAAAAAATTCTGTTAAAATCTTTTTAAAAAAAATGAATGGCGACAAAAATTCAGCCTTTTCAAGGAATAATTATTTCGAAAATGAAGTTACCATAACTCACAACTTTGACAATGTGTATAATACGTGTGGTCGTCCAGGGAAAAGGTACAGGCTTGCCTGTGGAGAAGCGAATGTGAGTGGAGAGGCGAATGTGAATGGAGAGGCGAATGTGAGTGGAGAGGCGAATGTGAGTGGAGAGGCGAATGTGAGTGGAGAGGCGAATGTGAGTGGAGAGGCGAATGTGAGTGGAGAGGCGAATGTGAGTGGAGAGGCGAATGTGAGTGGAGAGGCGAATGTGAGTGGAGAGGCGAATGTAAGTGGAGAGACGAATGTGAATGGAGAAGTTAATATTAGGGAAGAATACCATGGCAGTAAATCCATAAAGGAAAATGGGGTAAAAGAAGAAATGGAAAATAGTGGACACACTGTGGAAAAGACGGAACTTTCCGATTCCATGAAATGCATAATAGATTTAGTAAAAAATAATAACGAGAAAAAGTTTTTTATAGCAACAAACAATAGTGAGTTGAGATCTTTCTTAAGGTAAAAGGACAAGAACAGATCCACCTGCATGAAGTGTTTGTGTGTGTGGCTCGTTTGCATACATATGTGCATGTATGTAAATGTGTATCTGTGTGAATTTCTATCTATGTGAATGTTTATTTGCGTGAATGCATTGATACTTTTCTCTACATTCCCTTCAGTATATATAATTACAAACCCTTCTCGCATTCGCTATCACCTACCTGCAGAAAGGTGTTCCTCGTTCCCATAATTTATATTAGCGAAGGAGGAGCTATCAAGATGGAGAGCCTTTCCTCAAAGAATATGAACAAAAGGGCAACGGTTGAGTTGAGGAAGATGAAAATGCTTAAGTGGGAACGGGAATTGAAAATGTCAGAACAGAAGAAAGACAAAGAAAAAGTAAAAAAGAATTTAAAGAAAAAAAAAAAGAAGCGCGGAGGCAGAAACGGGAGATAACTATGGAGGACCCAACTATACCCCTATACGCATATGCACACGTAGGCTCTGCACAAAAGAATATTTATGTTGTGGTCATTATTATTTTCATTTTCAAAAAATAAAAGAGTAAAAGTTTAATATGAAGAAGGTCCTATTAACGCGTACAAATGAATTGAAAAAATAACAAAAAAATAGCAAATAAAAAAAAAAAAAAAAAAAGTGCTTGCTGTAAAGCATATGTATGTATATATATATATATATATATGTACACATATATTATACATAAGTGAACATGATGAGTTAAGACAAAAACAAATGTGGGTGTAGGGGGGTAGATGAGGAAGTTATATTAAATTTTTTTTAACAAATGATTTATTATATTTTTCATAACTGGTTGACCTTTTTTTGTTTTTTTGTTTAATTTTTTGAACTTTTTAATTCTTAATAATTTTTTTTTTTTTTTGTCTTGCTCATTTTTCAGAATTTCAGCTTCTCTCTCCTTCATAAACAATTCTCTTTCTTTCTTTTTGAGTGAAGTTATTTTAATTTCTTTACTGTAAATGGATTTTTTCTGCTTATCTTTGTTTTTGTAATGTCCTATTAGAGTTTTATTTTCACAGCTGTCTTCCTTGTCATATTCTTTGGAAATGGTGGTATTTTTTTTATTTTCCTGAATTGGTTTTTTCCTTTTTCCCCTTATGTATGTTTGTTTAGTTGAATTATGGGGTTTTTTGCTGCTAGGGGTATGTTCTGTTTGGTCATCTTGTCTTTCGGCCCCACTTGCTAATCCTGCGTCTTGGTCTGCATCTCCTACTTCTTCCTCATCTGCATCATGTTCATCATTTTGATGTGCCTCGTTGACAGGTGTGAAGAAGAAGTTCTTTATGGGGTCACTCCGAAATAAATCCTTCTTAGGCTCATCGTTTTGTATGGACTTTTTAAATTTTCGAAGAAATTTCTGATCCTTGTAATATTTATTTTTCTTCCTAAGATAGTTTTTATTTTTTATGTGATGCTTGTTATTTGAAAAGAGGTTTTTTTTTTTCTTCATTTTTCCAAAGCAGAGAAGTTGCCCGAACGGACGCTAGCGGAATGTAAGTTGGGGAAAAGTTGACACTCTGCAAGTGTTTTACTTACTCTAATTTATGGTGCATTTTTCTAGCTTTCTTTGATTGTGTTGTGTTATACCGTACTGTGTTGTATTATAACTGCAATGAATTGTGTTGTATTTCATTTGTTATTATATTTTTTTTTTTTTTTTTTTACCTTAACTGTGTAGAAAAGTTTCAAAATATTTAGTAAGCATTTTATTATTTCTTCATTGACATAGAGTAGTCTCTATTTTTTTTTTTTTTAAATTCGGGTTTTTTACAAATTTTTATTCAATCAAGAACAAATGGTAATTTTAATTTACCACTTGGAAGTTTTAAATATTGTTTTTTTATGCGTATTTCGCAAGATCAAAGTTCCTCGAATGAGAAAAAAAATAAATACGATGTAATATAAATTTCGTTTTTTTCAATTCCGGGAAAAGTAGGAAAACAGTAAATTGCCTTGCTGGTCATGCGAAAAAAAAGGAATTTTATTAATTATTCATTTTTTTTTTTTTTTTTTTTTTTTTTGACCTTATCAAGATTAAAGCAAATATGCTCATATTTGTATGAACAAAAAAAAAAAAAAAAAAAAAAAAGAATGTCAAACTTAATTCGCTGCTCAGTTTTGTATAGGAAAAGCACAGCAAAAAGCAACAACAACAGCAACAAGTGGGGTTGATTTTACTATTTTTTTTTTTTTTCATACATTGTTTTGAAAATTCATCAAAAGGGGAAAAGCAAATTGAAATGCTCATTTTTTATGTTTTGTTAATTTCACAAATTGTACTTCAAAAGCTCAAATGGTGTATGGATTTTTTTTTTCAACAAATACAAGGATAAATTCAGTAGAAGGGAAAAAAAAAAAAAAAAAAAAAAAAAAGTGAGAAAGGGGAGTTATACATATATATTTGTATACCAATAACAAATATACTTCTCAATCATTTCGAAATAAAATTACTGGGTAACTTTAATTTTGAAAAGTAAGCATTTTAAGACAATTGTCTCTCCTCCTATTCGTCTGTAGAGCAGATAAGGAGATAGAGAAAGGAACAAAAAAAAAAAAAAAGAACTTGTGTCGAGTGGGTGCAAGTGTTTTCAAGTAAATATATTTGGACGAAAATAAACTCATTTGAGCAATCGGAGGGTAAAGTTCTAATAGAGCAAACGTGGCACTTTCTTTTTACAACGTAAGGAGAAAAAATAAAAAAAAACTCCGCATTTAATGTAAATACAATTCACAAAAAATTTTGAAGAAAGAAAATTTAAACGTGCGACCAACAGTATACTTACTGGTGTGATGGTGTTGACTAATATAGAAATATTATTACTCTTAGAATATATTAGATAGAATATAAAATATGGATGATAGGAAAATCTCAAAGAGGAAAAGAAAAAAAAAAAAAAAAAGAATTCATGAGAGAAAAATACACCAATAAGTAACAAACATACAATAACAGAACAAGACAAAATTATTCACAATTTTAAAGGAAAGAGAGGAAAAAAAAAAAAAAAAAAACGAAATGGAGAAAGGTGAAGAAAGGGGTGCAGAAGAGGAGAAGAAAAAGTGGAATTGTCATAGAACAATACATACCAATGCATATAAGTACCAGATGAAGGGGAAAACAAAACAATCGTCAATATTTAACATGAGCATGTTAAGAAACTCTAACAAAAGTGGGAAATTTCATAGGACACCTGGGAAAAGACAATGGCAGCAAGCATCTAATGGAGGAAGAAGAAAAGGTAAAGAAAGTTTCTCTTATAGAAGTAGATCAATAGTGGATGTGGGTAATTTGACGAATGATTCCTATCACATGGACAACGACATACAGTACTACTATAACAATGATAGCTCAGCTCCCAGTGATGGAGAAGAACGAAAGAAAGATAATGCAAATTTATTTGAAAAATCAAATATAAATGATAATTGCGAAAAGGATGGGTCTCGCATTATTAAGGATTATAATATAAATATTGATTACGTGGAATACATGAATAATATTAAAAATAATGAAAAATCAAATTTGACAGAAGAAAAATTGGAAAATTCTGACGAAAGAGACAAGATGAATAATATAATGAATGATAAGCAACAACATGGAGTTTACAGAATATTTCTTTTATTTTCTCCTCTTGCTATTACAAGCATAAGAAACAGAAGTTGCATAATTAATGCAGATGATCATATGACATTTCTGGAAAACAAATTGAAAAATACGGAAAGTTCATTAAAAGGTGCAAAAAATAATAAGGAAAAAATGTTTCTTAAAACAAAAATAGACGAAATAAAAAACAAACTGCTTAATGTAAGGCTGGATATCTTATTTTTTACTTTGCTAAGTTTAAGAGATAGTATAATAAATAAAAAGCACAGATTGCAAATTTATATTCACACACTTAATGGATTATTAATTTATGTGTCTCCGTTGTTTCGCGTTCCTCGAAATTTTTCTCTATTTAAAAAGGTTATGTTAAATTTGATGAAACAGTCTGTCTTACTTGACCAAGACAAACAGCCCCTCTTAAAAATTCTCCCGCACCCGATAAAGTTCTACTTGGGCTCCTCCGTGTAAGACGTGAACGAGAATAAAAAAATAAAATAAAATGAAATCAAGTGAAAATTGCACAGCTAGCTGAGTAACTGCTTAACTGAGTAACTGCTTAACTGAGTAACTGCTTAACTGAGTAACTGCTTAATTGGTTGTTCTATGCGAAGCAGATTAGGAGGGGACTTCATACAGCTCCCTACTGCCCTTAGTGTCCCCAATAAATATGATTTCTACACATATCAGACATAGTACAGCAAGATTGCGAGCTTGTAAATAATGCTATATTTTGGCCACGTGTAGAAGAAGCAATGGAGTGCATATTTCTGAGTTCATCTATTTTTCCGTGACGTATCTAAACTATTTTATATTTTCTTCAATTCCAGTCTTTGCTTTTCTTCATTATTTTTCGTTCCATATATTCTATATTTTTCAGATGTATTGGAATTTCGAATCAGGGATTTCCCACTGATGTTAGGAAGTTATCCGAGAAGATAAGGGAGACAAAGCAAGAATATTCATTTTTTCTTTCGCTCTCTAACGTATTCAGATTAACACATTTCATTGAAATAATTTCGAAGAATGAATCAGAGTTCTTTCCTTTTGATTATGTCATTCGATTATCAGATCTCCCCTTATCAACAGTTGCCATATGTAACAAATTAACTCATTTTTTAAATGATTAATTAAAGGTGCTTCAATAGAGGGTGTGAGATGATGTGAAAAAAAAAAAAAAAAAAAAAATATGCTTCTTTATCGTACTGATATTATTATCCTTTTTGCACAATTTTTTTATATATTCAGAAATTTGTTCAGATTTTAAATTTAGAATGTATGTGTTGAAAAAACCATTTGCTTGTTTAGCACTGATTAGATTTAGACGTCGGAGAATTACAACAATCTTTCTTTCTAACTAAAGGGATGTTATAAAATTATACCTCCGCTGGTGAGTCTCCTTTGTAAGGAATAAATTCGCCATCTTGCCACTTTGCAATTTTGCTGCTTTACCACTTTGCAATTTTGCTGCTTTACCACTTTGCAATTTTGCTGCTTTACCACTTTGCAGTTCTGCTTTAATTTTTTTTCTTCAGTTCCTCAAAAGGAATTACATACTTGGCAATATTAACTGAATGGAAATGAAAGGAAAAATCATCCAACTGTAGTTGTGTAGCATATTCATCGATGCCATTATTTCTTATGCGTTCATGACATATACATTTGCATGAAATGTATGTATATCTAAACATTTGGGTTTGTACATGTGTGTATACTTTTTTTTTTTTTTTTTTTTTTTTTTGTTACCCCCGAAAAGATTATAATCCTCCTCTTCCTTCTCCGAACTGTGCACCAACGCGTCCTCAAAATTGGTCTAAAAGGGACGTAAAAATAATTAAAAAATAATTAAAAAAAAAAAAAAAAAAAAAAAAAAAAAAAAAAGTTATATAAACATACACATATATATATATATAGAACATTAAATATCTGTGAGAAAAAAAAATAATCTTGCAACAAGAAAGTTTTATATAAATGCATGTATAAAATGTATCGACTTATTAATCAATTGAGGAGATAATTTTTACCTTGCTCCTTTGCAGACATCCAAGTAGAAAATGGTTGGTGATTTTGTTATGTATGTCTAATGGTAAATCAAAAAATTTTCTTGTCATAAAATTGTTAAAATTTTTTTTTTCTTCATAAATGTAATTAGCCAGTTGAGATATATCTTCTTTTTCTTCTACTCCTATAAATTTGTAATTGGCCAAGCGTGCCAATAAAAAAAAAAAACAAATAAATATATATACATATACATGTGCAGGTATATATATATTACCCTGTTTGTACTTGCACAGGCGTTAAGTTATACAATGAATGAGAAATGCAGATAAATAGGACGATTTTTTTTTTTTTCTGTTTAATGGCAAGGAATATGGTTTGTGTCCCTCTGTTTTTTCCCTCATTTTCATATGAGACAAGATAAAAAAGAATATTATTATTAGGTACCCAAGAGTTTATGTGAAAATTCGTCCATGAGAGAGGATCCTCCGGGTATGTAGCTCTTCAGAGGTTTTTCCTTGGTTGCAACTTTTTCCCGCTCGTTTGGAATGACTTCCTGTATTTTGGTTTGTACTTGGTTGGCTGACAGAAAAAAGAACATGCATGTATATGAACAGGAATGAGTATACACATGCTAACGCATGGAGAAGAATAAGTATGCACAGTAAGTGGTAACGTATAAGCATGTGCATGTGTATATAGAAAAAAAAAAAAAAAAAAAAAAAAACACACAAACGAATATTTGCTCGTGCATTGTGTTGGTGTGTTTATTTTACTTCGAGTTTTCTCTAGCTGCACCCTGAGGATACCCTTCTTCAACGTAAGTGTGTCAATTTGGTGTTTAATCTGAGACAAGGTATGCAGATCTTGGGGATTTGTTTTCCTTCTTACATAGTTAAGATTGTCTATTTCTCGCTGAATGGAGCATATTTCTCGTTGAACAGTGATACGAGATATTGGCAAAGAATCAATGTTTTTTTTATTTATAAAAATTTCATGAAAGCTTTGTTTTTTTTTCATTTCTACCAAGTCCTGTATTTGCCTTTCAGTAAAATGGAAATTTTTTAAATCTTCGATTTTCTCTCTTAAGAACTGATAAAAATTTTTCAAAATTTGTAAATCTATGGAGAATAATTTAATAAAATTATATTCATCTACTGAAATTTTTTGATCAGATATATTGTTCAAATCACATATGAAAGTGTCGTAACAATTTCCTTCTGAATTTAATTCACTCATGGGTATTTTTTTATTTTGAATCATTATATTTTTCATTTTATTGAAAAAAAACTCATTTGTTAGGTTTTCCATATGGGCTATTTCGAATTTGATGTTTGTGTATCTATCAATGCAGAAATAACTTTCACATTTTACAACGTTCGTGAGGAAAAAAATTTTTCTTTTTTCATTTGGACATGTGTTTTCATTTAAAAGAGTTGATTCACTTATTTTTCTTTTTTGGTCGCCTGCATTATTCTTACCACCAACATGGCCAGTACTGCCAATATTGCCAATATTGCCAACATTTCCAGCACTTCCAATATGGGCAGCCGTAGGAGTTTTTTTTTTTGTCTTATAACTGCTTGCAACCTTAACCAATTGATTTGTGTCATTTATCTTAACAAGGTGTCCGATGACGTGATATGGAAATTTTACATGTTCACTCATATCAAGGAGAAATGTTTTTTTCAATTGAAAATAAGTAATAATTTCGTAAGTCATGAATTTGTAAATGTCTAATTTCATTTTTTTTTCCTCCTTGTACAGATGTATTAAGCGTTCTGGTGTTTCTGGTTCTTTTGGAAGTGCATTATGTAATAAATCATTTTCACGTTTATTCATTTGTATACTACCAGAACTATTATCATACTCAGAATACTTATCATGAAGAAACAATCTACTATCGTGAGATTGAGATTCTTTTGTTTGTAATTTTTTTTTTTTATTCAATTCCCTCGACTTTTCAATCACATAAAATTCATTTCTTTCTTTCTCTGATAATACAATTTTATCCTCATTTTTATTTTCTTTTCCTTGTTTCCATTTATTTAGAATTTTCGATTCCTCAAAAGTATCTCTTTTCCTAACTACATGACCAGACAATCCATCTTTATCATGTTCTGTAGGTAAATCGATTTGTCTTTTGTTGTGAGGTCCCTTTTCCTCTTTACTGCTTACACATGCTAATTCTATTGGAGTGATTTTTTTCATTCCTTTTTTTATGCTTTTTTTTCTATGATATGAATCTCCAGAAGGAGAAGAATCTAATGTTTCGTTGTGCATTTTACTTGTATATTTTTCTCGCGAAATTACCCCTTTTACATTGTCTTTATGTCTAACTTTGTAACTCATCTCGTCAATACCTGAGTGTTTATGTGCTTCTTTTCCTTCAATATTATCCCACGGGGAGTCTCTTCTTTTTCTTATTTCTTCATTTGTGTAATTGCTAAGTTTGTTTTTCTCAGCATCGGTTGTGGTGTCATCCTTTCCAATTTTGGAACTTGGTTTGGTTTTTTTTTTGTTGACCGTTATTGATTTTTTGTTAGATTTGCTAGGTTCATCTGATTTGTCAACAGGAATAGTATTTTTCTTCCTCGACATCAACTGTAATATTTTGCTACTTGGTGAATCAGAGGAGGTTTTACGTGATTGTGAAATGCAATTGGCGTTATCAACTGGTTGTACTTTCTCTCCATGAGATTGTATTTTTATATTTTTTAGGAGAATTCTTCTGTGTTCTTTTATCATGTGTTCTTCATGCCTTTTAGCAAGAATCAATTCTCTTTCATATTCTGGAAGGTCTTCCAAATCACTAGTATCATTCTCATTGTCCGACTCACCAGTAAGGTATGAGCCACGGTCCTGTTTATCTTTTTCTTCATCTTCGCTCCGTTCGTGTCCACTTTTCTCTTCGATTTCAACTTTTCCTTCCATTCCATTTTTGTTTGCTTTGCTTTTCAAGGATCTACTCACCTTGCTCATTGTTTATTCATCTGGATCGACAGCACGATGATATATGGGAGGTTCTAAGATGCGAGGCGTTACAGATGCGAGGCGTTAGAGATACGAGGTGCTAAAAGCTTGGTGCCAAATAGGAGATATTGGAGACAAGATGTGCAATGCTGGCTCTGGTTAACCGGGGCTTATGTTGCCTGAAACTTCTCTCCACGAGTGCGACAAAAATAAAATACATAAGGGGTAGAGGTGTATAAAAATAAGGTCAAATACAGCTGTTCAAAGTACTAAATTTGCAACACTCGTTCATGCATACTTACGATTCTTTTTCTCTGGTTTAATTTTGACATTCCCTCTCCGTCTTCATGCCAATTACCTATGGGCCATGCAGTTGTTCGATGCGAGTTGTTTCAAATCAGTTGTGTGTGTCTTGGTCGGTTTGCAGAGTGCCCTTTTTGTGTGTATGTATGCATGAGAGGTAGTTAGGGTGTCGTGGGGGTAAATGTTACTTTTGTCAAAAGTGTTTTTTTTCCAACTTTTTTGATCTTACTTCTTTTTCGCTCTTCTTTTTTGATCTCCTTTTTTGATCTCCTTTTTTGATCTCCTTTTTTGATCTCCTTTTTTGATCTCCTTTTTTGATCTTCTTTTTTGATCTTCTTTTTTTCTTCCTTCTTTTTTCCCCTTGTGAGAATTTGCCCGGATTGCAATTCTCCCGTTAACAACTCCTTGTTGTGTTGTTAACTTGGGGATAAGCATATATAATGCCAATTGGATACATTGGCCATTTCCTTAGCATAGTAAGTTAGCGGGTTTAAGTTTCAAGTCAGAAAAATTTTGCAGCCTCAAGTGACAGTTATAAATCATCTCTTCGCTAAAGAATTCGAGAGTTTTAGAATTTTCATTTTTTATTTGTAACTTTTTATTTTTTATTTTTTTTTTTTCATTTTTTATTTTTCATTTTTTTTTTTCATTTTTTTTTTTTTTTTTTTTTTTTTTTTTTTTTTTTTCATTTTTTTTATTATTTATTTATTTTTTTTTTTATGCTTAATTTTGGTAAAAAAAAAAAAAACAATAAAATATGAAGGGTAAAAGAAAATGGCAAGACATGACCATGTTCTCTGCCCTTTATTCTGCCCTTAATGCTGCTACTGCAACTGACTCTCTCTCAAAAAAGTCATATTGTCACTTTTTCTTTTGCGTTTAAAAATTGTTTTTGGTGACAATGGTGCAAACTGAATGTGATGACAGTGTGAATTACTAGGTAGCGTAAACGTGAGAGTGTCACAATTCACTTGCCCTTTTTTCTGCCTGACCATACAACTAAGTATTTATTACATACACACTCTTTTATAGAGCCTGCAAAGGCAAAGATTAGAGAAAACGTGGAAAAACCTTCTTTCTCCATCCACATGTGCAGCATAGAATGAGAAACTTCCTTCATATGAATTGAATACATTATATATAGAAACAATGGAGGAGGGAGGTAAGCCAACATGCCAAATTTAAGAAACATGTGGTTTTTTGTTTTACATAAAGAAAAGGTGAGGCATTGGAGTTATTTCACAAAGGAAGACAAACAATATAAGGTGATTGGAAAAGTAGGGACGAAGTTTTGTGCCGGAGAGGGGTTGGTGGTTCCATTTGGTACACATCTCTCATCCACATACACATCCCAATCCGATGTTGTAATTGACCGAAGTGTCGATTTGGAGACATGCGCTTGCTTTGTCTATAAAAAAGTTGTGTTCATAAAAAAAAAATTATAGAGTAATAAAAATTCAAAAAGTAGATAAAATTAGGTCAAAAAATTAGGCCACAAAATTAGGCCACAAAATTAGGCCACAAAATTAGGCCACAAAATTAGGCCATAAAATTAGGCCATAAAATTAGGTCAAAAAATTAGGTCAAAAAATTAGGTCAAAAAATTAGGTCAAAAAATTAGGTCAAAAAATTAGGTCAAAAAATTAGGTCAAAAAATTAGGTCAAAAAATTAGGTCAAAAAATTAGGTCAAAAAATTAGGTCAAAAAATTAGGTCAAAAAATTAGGTCAAAAAAATAGGTTGAACGTGAGTTGTAAACATTTGCAAGAACCATGCATAACCACATGGCTCACAAACAGATGTGCTTTTTTGGTACCAACTTCCATTCATCAAAACTTAGACATAATATTTAATTATGTCACTATTGCGTAGGGTAATCTTGAAAATGTTTACAAAATGTGTGCATTCATCATCATCATCGCTTTGGCTGAGCAATCCTTCTGTTTCCAACTTTTTTTTCACTTCATTCAAGAGGTAGCTATATCTTTCGTTCCACTTATTTTCTTCATTCAGTTTCTCGTCTTCTTTTATTTCAATAAGGCTATATTCTTTTTTTTGTTCTTCCTCCTCCATTTTTAGTAATTCTTGCATCTGATCAATTTTGTGTTTTGTGTAATGCATCTCATATGAATCGTTTTTTTTTTTTTTCTGTGGAATAGGTACACGGTCTGGCTTTGCCTCTGCTGGGTATGGCTTTGCCTCTGCTGAGTTTGGTTTTGCCCGTTCTGGATGAGTGCAAAGGTGCCGTTCGTCAGTGCTGGCTAAGCTAAAGGGATGGTCATCTATTTCTTCATCTAAATGTTCATGCAACAAGCCATTGTGGTTGTGCATGTCAAAGAAATGAAATAATTTTTTATCATTCGTCAGAATGGACAGTTGAGAAATTTGAAGCCTCTTTTGAAGAATATTATTAGACGTATTCAAAGGTAACATTAAAGAGAGTATCATAAGGGACTTAATTAAAAATGGATAATTGTGTGGATACACTAAATGGATTCTTTGTTTTGAAAAGATTGGAGATTCTAACAAAAATATTAAATTATCTAACTGATGCAGAAAATCCGAATTTATATTTAATAAGGTCAAATAGGAACAAATGTGATAAGCCAATTTATATTTCTGTAACCATAAAAGAAAAGAAATGGCAGATATGGGACTTTTCAACCATGCTATCAATATGAGGGAAAATAAAGAATAGTATTTTTTTAAAAAAAGAATGTTTCTTAAAAATTTAGTTTCATCTGATGTTAATAATATCCAATTTAACACTTGAATAAATTTTGTAACAAAAGATAGCTTTTCTTCACTAATTAAGGCATAAGATATATATGCAAAAAACTTCTTGTTATTCAAACATCGAGATATATGTTGCACAATGGTTTTTCCTTTATGTATTAGTAACTCTTCATCGTTCCTAAATAACATTATCAAATTATTACTTACGTGTTCATAAAAATGAAATTTATTATCAACCGTAGAGCACATAGCAGATAAAACTGTTAGTGATAGTAAGACAACTTGCTTGTCATTATTTTTTAAACATTTAAATACACAAGTAATTATTTCATCATAATCTTTTTTTATTTCCTCACTTTTGTATATTAGCATTTCGATAAGCCATTGTAGGCACATGATCACAGGGTACATATTTCTTTTTTCAAGATTATCGTGAAAGATTTCTTCATCTTCTTCATTCATTTCTTCACCTTCTTCATTTATTTCTCCATCTCTAACCTTCGATGTATGCCCAATCGCGAGTGTACTTGAAGCATTTTTTTCACCCACATTTGCAACAACATTTGCTGACCCAATTCCATACAATCCAGATGCGTGTGTTTTTTTCCCAGGTTCTACTTGTCGCACCTTCCTCTCTTCTTCTGTGTGAGTGTCGTTTGGGCATCCGAGATTTTCTGCTCGATTGGAAAGTCTATTTATGTAATAAGCTTCACTTTTACCAATATCTCTTAATAGAATTTTCTTTTCTTTCAATTCGTTCATAAGTGATTGATGTTTCTCGGGAAATTTCAATTTATCGTTCCCCTGTGGGTTCTTATTTCTCTGTTCCTCACTGGGAGCATACTCACTTGTCATTTTTCCGTCTTGTCGATTGTCAAACTTTGCTCCTTCCTGAACTTCTTTCTTTTGCACCTTCCTTTTCATCTCATCTGATAAGTTCCCATCCTTGTAGAACAACTTGTACGAGTCATGCCTGCACGAATTACTTTCTTCACCCATGTAACAGTTCGTGCATTCCCCTTTTTTGCCTGAAGTTGCATGTGTTTCTCTCTCTTCATCTCTACAACTGGGTTCTGTTTTTTTCGCCAAGTCCTCCTCTGCGAGTTCTTCCATATCTACTTCTTCATCCAGCACATATGCATCCGATTTATTTGCTTCATCTGATTTATTTGCTTCATCCGATGCATTCGATTCATCCGATTTATTTGCTTCATTCGATTCGTCCGATTTATTTGCTTCATTTGATTCATCCGATTTATTTGCTTCATTCGATTCGTCCGATTCGTCCGCCTCTCCCTTGTGCAATGCGCGCCCTTGTGCTGGAGGCACGGGTTTCAATTTGAACCCTTTGTGCAAAACCATCTCATTCACCGTTCTCAAATTGTGGAAATGATGCTTCCCAGGTTCTATCCTTGTCTTTCCAATATGATTGGTGTACTGTTTTGCTAATTTTTCCACCTGGAATGCTTGTTTTTTTTTTTGATTCATTTTGTGTGTAGTACCATTATTTTTCTTCCGTTCAGAAATGTACTCGGTCATTTTATTCACCTTGGTGTTAATAATTGTGCAAACAAGTTTTGTTATAAGATGTGCAGATTGCATGGAAGAGAATTTGATATAACTTATCAAAAGTTCGTTACATTTTCTAGCTGTATAATGAATATCAAAATGTACATCGGATGTAGAAGAAATAATTTTCTTCACCAATTCGGTTATAAAAAAATTATTTTTTTGACGTGTTTTGAATATGTTATAAAAATGGATATTTAAAATATGTATAAAATGATATATCCATAGAAGACATTTATGTTTAATGATTGTATTTTGATTGGTAGAAAATTCAAGAAAGATATGTGCAATATGCTTAAAAAATAACCTGACCTGATCATAATTTGATGTAATAATTTTATCTATATATAAATCAAGACATTGATTCACTTGTTTTTGTATATCATTATTCTGATCTGATAACATTAAAAAAAGATCTCTAATAAAAAAATGGAAATAATCAAATATATTAACAGTCGATATATTTTGAAAAAGAAATAACCACGAAATGATGACATACCTTGCATTAGAATTTTCTATACTTATTCTTTCTTTCAATATGTAAATTATTTTGTAAATATTAAATATGTTGTTATATGAACAAGTTAAATCTTTTAATAAATTATCAAGAAACATGGCACCACTTTTAACATTTGGACAAGTATCTGAAAATATTCGAAGCAGACAATCAAATATATCTTCTATATAATCGAATATCACACTTTTTGATATCTTACAAAGGTTATATAAACTTTCACATACATAATATCTAACCTTTGAATCAGGATCGTTAACACATGATATAATAAGTTTCAAAATTTCTGAAAAATAAAATTTAATTTGTGTATTCATACTGATGGAAATAAAGGCCAATGCTATGAGTCCTCCACATCTCTTTGCTGGATTTATACTTTGAATGAATTTTTCATCTAAAAGGTTTATTATATTGAGCACATTTTTATTTTGATATTTACTCGTGACATTTTCGATATGTATTTCATGTTCATGTAAAATGTTATTTAATGTTTTCTTTCTTTTTTTCTCCATTTTGTTCATTTCGATATGTGTTAATGTGATCATGTTTTTATCATACTTATTACTAAACGCATTCGATTTCATCAACAATGCATCTATGTCACAATTTTCTTTGCACTTATCAAGAAGAAGCTTCTTTATTATTTCTGAACCCATAATGAGTTTTTCTTCACTAGGTTGTTCTTTATACAAGTTATTATATCTATCTAGTTCTATATTCTTTTTTTCCTCTATCCGATTGTTCTGTTCTACATTGTTTGAATCGCAATTTATTTTCGTCTTATCACCATTTGGTTGGTTCTGTAATCCGTCTACAGTTGATCCTTTTGAGTTTTTTTGAGAAATTTTCATAAGACTCTTTTTCTCTGATTCGTCCACATGGGGTGTTGAATCCAATTGTGATCCACCATCGACATGAGCTTTGTTTTCCCTGTTTACTTCCTGATCGTCATAATACTTAAAGTATATTTCATTGTTCTTTATATCTCCATCGGGTTGAGAGTATGTTTTGTCAATCATATGAATATCTTTATGAATAAAATTGTTGAAGTCCTTTATAACCCCTACATCTTGTTCATACTCATTTAACATATAATCAACCAGCACTTGTTCATCCTCTTTTTCTTTCATTAACAAAATTTTTACCACCTCTGCAAGTTCTTGTGCGCCCTTTTTTCTCTTTTCATATGCTTTATCCGCTAGCAATTTCTGGATACTTAAATTTATGACATCATCATTGGCCTCGTTTTTTTCGAGACCTTTAATTAAGTTGAGAAACATGTTTGGGGTGGAAATGGAGACGCCTTCTTCGCCTTCTTCTTGGGCTGTTTCCAAATAATATTGCTGTTCTAATTCTAGGCTCACACGTATTTATATTCGTTATTCAAATTTCAACACATACATATATATATATATATATATTGTGCATGTAGGATTAAGCTCTTTATTCTCTTAAGATTAATTCCTTTTTTTTTTTTTTTTTTTTTTTTTTCCATGGAACTAGGCCAAACCGTGGAAATCTGTCATAGGCAGTTGCCCTTTTTTCTTTCTTCTTTCTTCTTCTTCTTTTTTTTTTTTTTTTTTTTTTTTCCTTTGGTAGTCTACTGTATTAATGGATTATTCTAAATTGATGAATGTGCTACTTCTCACAATGCTATGCAGTATGCATATATGTATAGAACAGTGGTAAATGAATTTAAGTTAAAAGAAAAAAAAAAAAAAAAAAAAAAAAAAAAAAAAAAAAATGTTATAAAAAAAAAAAAAAAAAAAAAAAAAAAAAAAAAAAAAAAAAAAAACAAATAAAAAAAAAAAAAAAAACAAAAAAATTAAGAATAAAAAATAAATAAAAAAAAAAAAAAAAAAAAAAAAAAAAAAAAAACTAAAAATGGAAAATATTGAAGGAAAAATTAAAGAAAAAGTGACATATATATATATATATATAAAAAAGGGGCTAAATACCTACACAAAGTTTGATACGCATGATTAACATAAACTTTAAGTTATTAAAAGAAAAAAATGGCCGATTTAAAAAAATGAGCGAAACTTTATAAAAAAAAAAAAACATAAAATAACACCATACATATTTTGTTCTTCCAAAACTTTGGGCTTCTAAAAATTTTTCGGAATTGCTTACCAATGTGGAAGTGGGTTTATAACTTTTGCATTCTTAATTTGAGGAAATCACGCTAGGGTCTTTAAATGTGTGGATTCGTAAATGTTGCAAGTATGTTATATGCATGTGCATATAAGAAATGTACATGCATATATATACATATATATATATATATATATATATATATATATATACACGCACATGTATGTAAGAATATATGCCATCACAAAATCAGGCTTGACATTTGGTAAGCTCTCAAACCAAGTTCTCGTTTCGGGGAAATGGTGCATATAACCCTTAGAACATATAAAAACATTCACGCCAATCAGTGATAAATAAAACAATACTTTGGTGGGGGCTACACTGTGAGGCGAGAGACTACAGAGAAGGGAGAGGTGAACTTCCTGATTGCAAAAGACAAAAACGTGCAAAATGAAAGATTAACTTTGAAATGCTGACAATTAGAAAAACCCAAAAAAGAGAAAAAAAAAGAAAAAAAAAAAGAGAAAAAAAAAAGAGAAAAAAAAAAAAGCTAAGGACGTCCAAGATCTACCAGAAGTGGTGAATGTTAAATCTGGAAAATGTGGTGGGCACCACCCATTTCTTCTTCTGTATGTATATCTTTTGTTAAGCCAAGCTGCACATGTGTTCGGTGATTTCTGGCCTCGTTGTTATGGGCTTTTGAGCCTGAGCATACAATGTGTGTATCTACATATGCACATTATGTATACATATTCATGAATGTAGATGTGCATATAAGATAGATATATGCACTTTCTTATAAACATTCACAGGCGCGTACCAAGAATGAGTGTAATAGGTAGGGCACCAGATGTGCTGCTGGAGATGCATTTTGTGTAATGATTTGCAAGGTACTGTTGTGTTTATTTTTCACGCACTGTAAATATGTACGCTGGGTTTATTTTTCAATCATAATAATCTGCTCGTTCTATTTTGCGTGTATTTTTAACCCTTCTTTTTCGTTTTCTTATTTTTGCTGCATTTAAATTGTGTACATTTTGAGGCGGCAAGTTCAAAAAAAAAAAAAAAAAAAAAACATATGACCTTTTTTTTTTTTTTTTTTTTGTGTGCCATGAAATTTTTAAACTTCTAAACGGCTGAAGATATTCAGGAAATATTTGTTAAAAAATTAGGAACATTCAGTGATTGCATTTATTTTGGTTAAAATTTTTACTTCTCCATTTTGTGTGGAATGCTAACATATGCATTTGAACTTTTCAACACTGCAGCAACAGTGATTATTTTTTCCAAAATTCAGGATATCATACTATGTGAGCCAAGTTTTTGACCAAAAAAACAAAGCAAAGAAGAGCAAGCAAAGAAGAGCAAACCAAGAAGAGCAAACAAAGCAGAACAAAACAAAACAAAACAAAATTAACTACAATCAAAAACCAAAAGAATCAAATATCGAAGAACTAAGAGACTTCCCGTGGTAGTGTGCATGGAAAAAAAAAAAAAAAAAAAAAAAAAAAAAAAAAACTAGTTGCATAAACAATTTCACACTGTATGTTTTCTTTTAATACTCAAGTGAGGAAGAAGCAAAATTAAGCATACAAGTTCAAACAGAAGTATTTATATATATATATATTATCCGCATGTTCATATGTTTTTTACGAGTATTTAGAAAAACACATTTTTCATACGTTACCAAGCCAGAGATTCAGTATGGTTTCCATATAGCGAGAAGAGAACATACAATTCCCACCCCAAAAAAAAAAAAAAAAAAAAAAATTTTATCATTAGAAGAAAATTTTTACTGAGATACAGATATTTAGAATACACATCCCTTGTTGAAGACGCATTTTGTTTTTTTTTTTTATTCTATTTTTTTTTTTTTTTTTTTTTTTTTTTTTTTTTTTTTTTTGGGGGTTGGAGAAAGACCAAGACTAATTCACAACCGTGTACCATTTCACCTGATCGTTACCCCAGGTTGCTCATACGTCTTTAACTTCCATTGATTGTCGAGTATTTCCCCAGACTCCTACGCATTTTTCTCTACCCACCAAGCTAGGACATTCAAAATTTCCAGAAAACTTGAACCCTATCAGCAAACCCTTTATTATGCAAAACAAGAACCCTCCTCTGGTAAGCAAAAAAAAAAAAAAAAAAAAAAAGAAAGAAGTAAATAAGTAAATAGGCAAATAAGTAAATAAGTAAATAGGCAAATAAGTAAATAAGTAAATAGGCAAATAAGTAAATAAGTAAATAAGTAAATAAATTAAAAAATAACAAAATTGCAATTTTTGTGTGTGTTCAAAGGAATGGGGTGCGCCTCCCGACAAGAGGAACTTCCCATTTGAACTTCTTCCCATTTTTGTTGTGACAAAATGGTTATTGAACGATGCTAATGATGGCGCGCCCTTGCTCTTGCCCACATTTTATTTTTAGAAAAAGCAGCGAACAGAAGAATCCTTTAACCTTGAGGAGATGGAAGGAAAAAGAGAGAATTTTGAAAGTAGCCTAAATTGTGTAGATAAAAAGGATGATAACAAGATAGATGCAGATTTGTATTCAAGACAGCTAGGAACATACGGGTTCGAGTTAATGAATAAGCTGATAGAATTAAATATATTAATAATTAATGTGAAGAGTGTTGGATTAGAATGTGCAAAGAATTTGATTTTGTCAGGACCTAAATCCGTTTGTATATATGATAATGATATATGTGAAGTAGGAGATATTGGTGTAAATTTTTATATTAATGAAGAAGATGTGGTGAATAAAATTCCTCGTAGTGATGCAGTACTACAAAAGTTACAAGAACTAAATAATTATGTACATATATATAATTATAAAGGAAATATAAATAAAGAATTTCTGGAATCATTTGATGTTGTGGTATGTTGTGACATGAGTAATACAGATATAGTGAAGGTTAACAATTTAGTTAGAAGTGTAGAGGAACCCAAAAAAATCGCATTCTTATGTTGCAATATTTATGGTTTGTGTGGTTACATCTTTGTAGATTTTAATAAAGGTTTTATTTGTTATGATAAAGATGGAGAAAACGAAAAATCATGCAATATTAGTAAAATAAGTAAAGCAAGTGAAGGAGTAGTTTCATTTGATTTTGATAAAAGTGTACCTTTTCAAAATGGAGATTATGTTAAGTTTACAAATGTAGAAGGAATGACAGAAATTAATCATAAAATTTTTAAAATAAAAAATTTAAAAAAATATACATTTACCATTGGAGATACATCTCAGTTTAGTGATTATATAAAAGGAGGACAATGTACACATGTGAAGACACATATAAAAATGGATTTTCAGCCATATGAATATGTGAAGAAGAACCCAATTGCATCTGTTGATGATAAAGTGGAATCAGATACCCAAATGGAGAAGGAAAATTGCTATAATGGAATCTCAGATAGCCAAACAGTTTATGAAAAATTGCATAAACCAAGTTCTTTTCTAATATCAGATTATTCCAAATTGGACATGAGCAATCAATTACATTATGCAATTCAAGCATTGAAAATATTCCAAGTGGAAAATGGAAATGTATTACCTGAAAATGACGAGAAGGAGGCATTTGAAAAAATTTACAAAATTGCAACACAACTGAATGAAGAAGATAAACAAGCAAAAAAAAGCTATGCCATTGAGGAAGTAAAAAAAGACATTGTTTTAAAAGTAGCTAAATATTGTAGATCTCATTTGGCTCCAGTTGCATCATTTTTTGGAGGTTTGCTGGCACAAGAAGTTATCAAATTTACAGGGAAATACATGCCCATATATCAGTTGCTGTACATGGATTTTTTCGAATGTCTCTCGTTAAATGAAGAGGGGAATGGCAATCAGTACAACTGTGATGGTGAGAAAACTTCAAACAAAACTTCAAACGAGGAAGATATAAAAAAAATGAACTGCAAAAATGATAACGTAATTACAGTTTTTGGAAGATCCTTTCAGAAGAAGCTGAACGAGTTGAATGTGTTTCTTGTAGGATCAGGTGCACTCGGATGTGAATATGCCAAATTATTTTCCCTTTTGGACATGTGTGAATCGAATGCACATGGTAAATTAACGATTACAGATAATGACAGTATAGAAGTTTCTAACTTGAATCGTCAATTTTTGTTTAGAAGAGAAAATGTAGGGAAATCAAAATCTCTAGTTGCATCTGAGATTATAAAAAGAAAAAATAAAAACATGAATGTACAATCCTTAGAAACAAAAGTAGGACTAGAAAATGAACACATATTTGATGACAATTTCTGGAATAAGCAGAACGTAATAGTTAATGCATTAGATAATATCCAAGCAAGACAATATGTAGACAACAAATGTGTATGGTTTTGTAAACCACTGTTCGAGTCTGGAACATTAGGCACGAAAGGTAATGTACAAATTATTATCCCTTTTTTGACACAATCATACAACGACAGTTATGATCCACCTGAAGATTCGATCCCATTATGCACACTGAAACATTTTCCATATGACATTGTGCATACAATAGAATATGCGAGAGATATATTTCAAGGATTATTTTATAACACTCCAGTTAGTATAGAACAATTTTTAAATGATAAAAATGAATATGTAAAAAAAATAGAAGAAGAAGGAAATAATGCATCTTTATTAGAAACTCTTCAAAATGTTTTGAACATATTGAAAGAAGTTTCAGAAGAATGTAATTTTAAATTTTGTATAAAAAAAGCAGTAGATCTTTTTTACACAAATTTCGTTAATCAAATTAATCAGTTGTTATATTCATTTCCTCGTGATTATAAATTATCAAGTGGTGAATTTTTTTGGGTGGGACAAAAAAAATTTCCTCAAGTCATTGATTTTGACATAAATAATGAATATGTAAAAGAATTTCTATTTTGTACATCTAATTTGTTTGCACAAGTGTATAACATTCCCATGTGTTCTGATTTAAATTATATCTTAGATGTGGCTAGCCAAATTGAGGTGAAACCATTTGAACCGAAAAAAGTTAAAGTAAATATGGATGAAAAAAATCTAAATAATATTTCCATATCCTTTGTAGATGATGAAAAAATGATAGAAGACTTTTGTAAAGAATTGCTAAAAATAAATACTGATAATATTAAAGTTACACCAATCGAATTTGATAAAGATGAAAAAAGTAGTATTCATGTGAATTTTATTTACGCTTTTGCAAATCTTAGAGCTATCAATTATAAAATCGATACTTGTGATAAGTTGAAAGCAAAAATTGTCGCAGGGAAAATTATTCCTGCATTAGCTACTACTACATCTATCATTACAGGTTTGGTAGGTATCGAGTTATTAAAGTATGTGAATTATAGTAATTACATTCAAAAATATGTCAAGTCATCACAGAATGAAAGAAAACAAATGAAAGACATTTTGTCCTATTTTAAAAATGCATTTATCAATTCAGCTCTTCCTATGTTTCTCTTCTCCGAACCAATGCCACCTATCAAAATATGCGACAAGGAATATGATGAGCTTATGAAGGGACCCATAAAAGCTATACCCAATGGATTTACATCATGGGACAAGATTGAAATTTCCATAAGTATGTCAGACAGTGAGAACAAACGGAGATGTGGTGGGATTAGTGAAGTGCTTGAGGTTCACACATCCCTAGTGCAATCTGTCTTTACAAGGAAAAACTGCCCCGATTCGTTTGTCGACCCACAAAATTTATTCGCGTTGCAACATCAAAACGTTGCAGACGTCCTCGCGTCTGTGCATTCGTTTTTTCACTCGTTTGTTCATTCGTTCATAAATTTTTACCGCACCCACTTTACTCCTGCAGAAAATGGAACCATCAAGAATCTAATAGACTACCTAAACGAACAGTTTTCCATTGAAGTTAATTTGATATCCGTTGGAAACGCGTGCTTGTACAACTGTTATCTGCCAGTACACAATAAGGAGAGACTTAACAAACCCATTCATGAACTTTACATGCAAATCACAAAACAAACATTACTTGGTGACAAGAACTATATTGTGGTAGAGGCAAGTTGTAGTAATCAAGATATGGTAGATGTGCTCATACCCTCTATAAAATTCATATATAAATGAGAGTGTGAGTAGAAAGGGGGCGAGGCGTTTTTGCTTTTACATGGATTAGCAGAAACGGTGCCTACAAATGGTGCCTACAAACGGTGCTTACAAACGGTGCTTACCAACGCTGCTTACACACGACTGAGATAGGCCATTATATGCAACACGCAAAAGGATTAATACATGCAAATACATATGTATATAGTTGCGGTTCCGTGGATATTGACATTCATAGAAGGAGCCCTTCTATGGTTTTTTTTTTTTTTTTTTTTTTTATGATCCCCAGCCTCGAAGCCCTTGTGGTTCAAGCTTTAGACGCACATCCGTATGTTGAGTATAGCATAACATGCATTGCCCCTTTCTCCCCAGTGAAGAAGGTATGACAAACAGTGTCTCAATCAGTAGTAACCAAATTTTCAGTGTTTCACTGCTTAGGAGAGACTTTTTTTTTTTTTTTTCCTTTTTTACTAAGCCTTGTATGGTGCAAAACCAGCACATGTATACTGTGCACTTATTGGCAATATGTTCACGTGCTACACTGAGAAAACAAGTGAACTTAAAATGTGTTTCACAGAATGGTTTCCAAAAAAAAAAAAAAAACTACATTAAAAAATGAAGTAAAAAAATAAACAAAAACGGAAAAGAAAATCGAAGGCAATATGGTGCGTTTGTTCAGCACCCCTCCACCCAACCCCTTTTTTTTTTTCGCTAAAGTTTCACGCACCACTTGTGTTCATACAAAGTTTAGACATATAAAAGGAAGTTATAAAATGTTACTTTTGCTTTTCCTTGGCAAAGTATGCAAGTGAATCTTGCCACAGCTGAACTAATTATGGATTGTTCCAAGGTATAATATGGGCTGAACTGTGTCATGGGTCGAACTACAACTTGTGCTTGAAGTGTACCAACTTGAACTCCTTGTTAGTGCCTAGAGAGCTGTATATGCCAAGTAAAGTTTTTATATTTCCAAAGCCTGCGCTTTCCATCATGATGTCTAATATAAAATCAATTGTGTTGTTTATAACTGTGTTGCAGTAGAGGTCTATATCATTTTGAGGGGATGATAATTCCTCTTTGGTTGTTGTCTCCTTATCATTAGAATCTTCCTTTATCGTGGTTCCTCTTAGGTCAGGCAAGTCCTGTGAAGTATGTTCGTTCATAGGTCGTGAAACCTCACCACTAGATTCGCAATTTATAAGCTTGCTCTGCATACTGGTAAAATGATACAAGTTTGTATGGGGAGATATTATATCATCGTATAGACTGTTCTTGGGCATGTTGATGTTTTTCTTTAATACATAAAAATTGTGATGTATAGTTTTGTTTTTCTGGATATAATTATAGATGAACTTTTTCAGGTTACTAATGTAATTAATTACTTGATTTTTCCTGTTCTTTCCAATGCGGACCTTTTCCCTTGCCGTTCGTGTATCTTCTGTCTCTTTGTTGCCACTAGTTTTGTCAGACAGATTCGGTTCTACTGGGGTGACCTCCACCTCGTCTGTCTCCACCTGGTTCCCTCCTAATGCATTGTTTCCCTTGGACGTTTCCCTCTGCTCGTCAAAAATGAGAAAACCATTCCGAGAAAACAAATGAAGTAACTCATCGTTTGCAAAGCTCATTTTGCTAAAAACGAGGCGATAAGTTTGTTTTAGGATTTTCTTCTTGTCTGCCATTTCGGGGTTGTGAATTTTCAACAAATGAAAAAATCGGAGCCATAAAATGTCAGAGTCACATTGATGTTTCCTAACTAATTTGTCCTTCTCAAAAATTTGTATGTATTCTTTTGAAATATTCTTACGGAATCTTTTTCCACCCCTTGAAGTAAATTTGGACTTGTAAATATATTTATATAATAGTTCATTTTCATCCTTATAATTAGCAGCCTTAAATATTTTCACAAGAACATTTGGTACATCTTGTGGTTTTAAAGCTAAATAAAAATATATTAATTTCGCTTTTAATTTATCAGAAAGTTGTTTAAATATATCATAATTAATCAAATTATATTTTGGATCATATATTTTTGATATATGATCAATTTTTAAAAAGTCAGCCACATATCTCTTTCGTACTTCTACAGGGATACATAATTTTATACTTCTTAAATATTTTATTAAAAATATTCTCAGCACTTTTAATCCTAATACACAATAGATTTTAAATTTATTATGTTTTATAACATCGTCAGTTATATTTAATGTATGTTTCGTGCTTGCAAATGGGTTATTTTCATGATCGTACGTGTACAAATTTGTGAATATTTTATTTAAGTTTACACACACATCTTTAAATAGTAGGTGTGGGGATACTTCTAAAAAATTCCCCAGTCTTACCATAATTTCATTGCACTCCTCATCGAAGTTAAATGTCAGGTGTTTCATCAGTTCAGTAGAGCTCGAGATTATTTCTTCCTTTTCTTTGTCATCTTTCATATCGTTCACATTAGTATTATGGGGGGTGACCACTTTACTTGCATTGCATCGTGAGATAAGTTTTTTGGAATGTCTCCTTCTATCATTGTCGTCCCGATTTTCCTGAACTGCTCTTTTTACTCGTTCTACCTCTCTACACCCTAACCTCCTAATAGCAAACTTACTTCTCATGAAGGTTAACACATATTTTGTTTTTTCTCTCTTGTTTCGTTCATTAAAAGGAGAGATAAAAAACATGCCATTTTTACACCTTGTTTTATGCATTTTGGAAAAATCTGACAATCCTTTTCTTTTCATGCATTTGTCTAAGGTGCGGGGGACATGGAACTTGGCTGTCACACATTCGTTCATTTTGATGACATGTGAAATTAAAATGAATAGGAAAAATATGTATCTTCCTTTTTTCTTTCCATTATTCATTAACATTTTTTGTTGGTTCCCTCAAGAAAGGCGGAGGGAGAGAAGGGTAGGGGTAGTCCTCTCGATGCATAACAGCGGTGCTTATTTCGTATATACATATACATATATATGTGTTTTTATATATATATATATATACGTACGAGTGTGCAGCGGAAGTGTGAAATAAGATGACCTTTTCTTTCTTTTTTTTTTTTTTTTTTTTTTTTTTTCCTTTATTATTTTATTTATTTGGTTCGTTTCATTCACACAGGTTCATGCTAAAAAAAATTTTATGCATAATATTGATGTTTCATCTTTTTACGTTAATAATTATACACTTTGTCAAATTAATTCATTTTTTTCTTTTTTTGAACTTCTATCAATGTGTATACTTGCTTTTCATTCCCCAAGACGTTGAACGACAATTCTACTTACAGTGTTTATCTCTCTCTTAGTACATATTGCTTTAAATGAGATATATGGTAATTTTTTCATTTTTCTCTTTTTGTTTGCGCCTTTTTTCCTGAAAAATGTTCACATAACAAAAGTACATGAACTGTTCAGGTAATTTTGCTTAGGCAGCACTAAAAAAAATAAAAAAAATAATAAAAAAAAAGGGGGTCACAGGTGGAAAAAAATAAACAAAACAAATTGGGATAGATCCAGGATTAAATAGATCCATACGGTATGTCGTAAAAGTGTGAACCTTTTATTTTTTTTCCTATTTCAGATTGATAATACCGTATAAAACGTGTAAGGTGTAACAGGATTAACTGAAAAGGGGATCATTTCGAATGTACATATATGTATATATATATATATATATATATATATATATTGTTTTTTTTTCCTTTTCTGTATTGTTTTTGCCTGACTCGGCAATAATTTTGATTTTAGCTAGCTCGCATGCCGCAATGCTAAAAGTATTTTAAAGGTAGAGTGAAATAAGCAGTGTTAATGTTAAAGATAAATTATTCCCCTTCAGCAATTCTTTTTTTTTTTTATCATTATTAACAATAATAGCAGTACTAACAATATTTGTTACGCTAACAATATTTGCTATGCTAACAATATTTGCTATGCTAACAATATTTGCTATGCTAACAATATTTGCTATGCTAACAATATTTGCTATGCTAACAATATTTGCTATGCTAACAATATTTGCTATGCTAACAATATTTGCTATGCTAACAATAATAGCAATATCATTTTATTTACACTTGAGATGAGTAAAGTTGTACTAAGCTAATCACTAAAAAAAAAAAAAAAAATGTGCTGACCTTTTTAAAACCTTTTTCAAAAGTGCAAGGTTAAAATATACAAAGCTTATTTGACACCAAATCATAGTCATAACATTATACATATATTTGCAAATATTACAGACTGATAAAAAAGACAAAAAAAAAAAAAATGTAGAATCTGGTCTCTTCACAATTGGTCATCATATTGCCGTGTCACACAGAAATGTGTAAATATTTAGAGTGTACCTTTTTGTGCAGTTCGTGAGAAGTCACAAGGAATAAATTTAAAGATTTAAAAAAACAGCACAATTCTGTTCATTACAATGATACAGCAAATATACACAAAATAAAAATAAATAAAATAAAAATATAGGATCTTCTCTCCCAATCCCTACTCTCTATCTATTGAGCTAATTTTGAAAACTCAAATTTTCACTAAACCTCTCTAATTCCCTGAGCTTGTCGTCCTCTGTAGAAAATGAATATAAATTTTTTTTTCGACCTGTCCAACTAAGTAGGGTTAATTGTCTTCCCTTTGAATCTCTTAATGACATCATTTTATTCCATTCTAATTTGGACTTGTTTAAAAAAACCTGATTTCTAATAAAAACATAAACTCCCTTCCAGTCGCTTCTTGAACTAAGCATCTGTTCAAACTGTTCGTACAGGGTTAAAGTCTTTTTGTTGATACCCAATTCCTAGGGGAGGGGAGGGGGAGTGGTGGTGGTTCAAAGAAATGGAGAGTCATGGAGTGGGGATATAACAGAAATTGGGAAGAAATGAACTACACAGTTTCACAACTGCTAAAGGTTAACTCTTCCCTCGTGGATTGTTACACGTAGCTACAGCACCAGCAAGCACATGAGACGGAAAAAAAAAAAAAAAAAAAAAAAAAAAAGATCGAACGAAAGAACAGACAAGCGAACAAACGAACAAACGATCACAATGCGACGTACAAAGACGCTCTTTGCGAAAGGGTTACTTCTACATCTCTCTCATCTTCATACCTTTGAGAAACTGAAGTGTGGAATTTTTGTTATAATTGTAGCGTTTTTTACAAATGGTACAACATTGAAAAAGTGGGCCTTATGAAAAGAAATATCCAAAGGAAATTCCAAGTTGTACTTTTGGTCTTCTGAGGTAGATATCGATATGGTATCCACATCGGGTGCCGTTATATTTTGTTTGCTTTCCATCACGGATTTTCGAGGGGACTCATTTTGATGAATCCCATTTTGATGAATCCCATTTTGATGAATTCCATTTTGATGAATTCCATTTTGATGAATTCCATTTTGGTGAGTCCCACATTGAGACTTTGTTCGATCTCCCTTTGGTGCCTTTTGAATTCTAAGCAATGCATCCATGTCCCGCACATGATTCATTTCCTGCGATTCATCAACATGACTTATTTCTGGATGATCATCCTTCATTTCCTCCTCATGCATATCCACGTGGTCATCAAGCACATGATCTCGTAACACTCCTTCCAGAAAAGAATTTCTTTTTAAGTAATTTTCATTTGAAAACGAAAGATTTTCATCTTGCTCGTGTGAAGAACTACCAACAGATGCAGAGTTTCTATTTTTCTTTATTTTTTTAAAAGTGTCTTTGTGGTATAGTGCACATCTGACTAAATTCTTTTTACACTGGGCAATCATAATACTTCGATTATCGGTTCCGATTAACTGTGTGTGATAATTGTTAGCATTATTCATATTGTCTAAAATGTATTGATATATGTTCTCAAATTCTTGTTGATCATATATTTTCAAATTCATGAAGGGTAGAATTTCTTTATGGCTATAAATTGGCATATTTAAAAAAAAAAATAATAATTCAAAAATTATACTACCATTGGAACAGAATGGGTCCCAAATTAGGTTAACCCTTTTTCTATTCCTTATGCATTTATGTATGGCTAGCGAATATATGCAACTAGCTGAATCGTAGCAGTCGTCGCTTAAAAAAAAATTATTGTTAAGATGATTCATTCTTTTTATTTCCATGTCCTGCAGACGATTCAGAATGTATTCACTGTTATTGTTGCGTCCACTGATATAGTCATTACCACTTTCACTAATTGGTCTTTTAAAAAAAATGGGTTCGTCTTCTCCTGCTACAGTATGACATTTCACCAACTCATCCTTTGCCATATCGTGATTTATTGCCACGATAGACTTACGCTTCTGCGTGTGGTATTCTTCCTTTAATTTTTCATTTAGAAATGAGTCCTTCCCTATGCTTGGGTCAGTTTCACAAATATCACCCCTTTTGCTATGATTCATATGATTGCACATTTTGGATTCATTTGTATCTAGATTTATGTGCCGTTTGGATGTCCATTTCTTCCCCTCCACTGTGTAAATTGAGTTAATCCTTTTTTTCTCTACTTTGTTCCCCATTGAGTGAATCGAATTAATCGATTTTTCTTCTGCTTTGAACAAAGTGCATGTTTCTGGTGATGAAGAAGGTTCCCCTGGTTTGCAAAGATTCAAAGGTGGAGATGGCCCTCTGCTAATCCCTTTTGTGTTTTGGAAATATTTGTAGTTGTAATAATTGGTCTTTTCCCCGTTTATGCAGTTTCTTCCCACATTGATGTAGTCCACCCCCGTAATATCGTTTTGGTATTTTAATTGAATTTTTTTTTTTTCTTCAGAAACAGACCACATGGGAACATTCGTAGTCACAATGTTTCTTATCTGTTCATCATTGATAGAATAATCATTTCTGAATAGAGAATAGAAATTTAAATTTTCATATTTGTCTGCATTTGCTACATTACTTAGCTGGTCTATATATTCATATTCATAAAATCGAGGGGATAATTTACCAGTAAATTTTAGATCCACATTACACAAATTATTTTCAATATGAACTGCTAATAAATTCCAAATATTTTTTTTTATTCCTCCATCATTTTGATCTTCTATATTGGCATTGATTTCGTTTCTACTTTCACTTTGTGGGTGTATAATCATATCCACTGTGTTAATTGTATTCACTTTGTCTTTCCCATATGAAGAATAACCTAGATCATATTGTTCAGACAGAGTCGTGTTATTTGTGTGAGATATAAAAGGAGAAGAGGAGATATTAGTCGGCGTTCTAATGTCACATTGATACACACGAATATACTCATTTAACTCCTCATTAATGACATTTCTAATACTTAGAGTATCAAACAATTTGGATTTTAATGCAGTAATTTTTAATGGGATGCCCTTCAAATAATTTGGGTAAATGTAAGTATCCCAAGGTACGTTTTTAATAATATGTCTTAAGCATGTCAAAGATGTACAAGTTGTGTTTTTTGCTACATTGAGCCATATACTTTCTATATATCCACATTTTAACGATAATAAATAAATGAAGGATGGTGAACATTTGATTTGTACCCCACCATTTGATTTGCTTAATCGAATTAAATGTTTTACTTTTTTTTTATTATTCTTTTCTTCAGAATTGTTGCAATTTTCTGTTTCATATTTTATTATTTCCTTTACGTATACTTGTTTTATATCTTTTATTAATGTCGATTCTCCACCTTTTCTCACAGATATGAAAAAGTTATACTTACTTAGGAACCTCCTTTGCAAATGAAGCGTAAGCATTGCCCCTTTCATTTTTTTTTTTTTTTTTACGAAGGTGGGAGGGAGATATATATATACCTGGCCCCAAAAAAGTTGATCTTTACTCTCCCATCTGTTAGTTGCATCGTTTTGTCACACTTTTTAGCATTTGATTTTTTCTTACCTTTCTTGTAGCCACATCCATTTTGGAGCATTTCCGTCATTCTTCTTTGATCGTTTTTTTTTTTTTTTTTTTTTTTCATTTTTCGACCCGTTTTTTCGTCATGTTTTTTTGCCGCTTTGTTATTGCTGAGTTTTTTTTTTTTTTTTTTTTTTTTTTTTGAAATTTCCGAGTCCCCTTTGCCAAATACCTTGCTATGCCACTTCTCTCTGTGATGAAAACATGTGAAATTCGTTCACGTTAAAAGGTACAGAAAAAAATGGCCGTCCCACAAAGTATGGTTACAACATCAGGGAATAGAAATGACGAATGGGGGGAGATCTACATTTTTCACAGTACCAGGTTTTTCTTACACTTCACGGATTTGGCAAAAACGATGGAAAAGAATAGGTTACATACAATCCAATAGCAAGTGTTAATCAGATAACAAGCGGAATGATTTTTTTTTTTTTTTAAAACTACGAGGTGTTAATTAAGCATTCTGCACAACCTTAATCCATTGCAAACAATATGCCATTTCCAGTGGCAGTGGGAAGTTGTGATCCTTCAAATAATTTGCACACACAGAGACACATACCAAAAAAAAAAAAAAGGTCTTATTTATTACCTGACCTGTTCATAATACATGTACAATTTTTTCATTTATATCAAATTTATTAATCTCATTTTGTGATGGAATTATTTGAAGAAATTGAAAAGATTACTGAATGGGTGGTAAATAAAAAAAAAAAAAAAAAAAAAAAAAAAAAACAGTAAGGCGAGTATTTGAAGAGTGGCTCTTTTGTGAAAGAATATATCATCTTATCTCAAATTTGAGGATTGATAAAATTGAGGTCTCGTGTGGGATATGACCTTTCCAAACATAAGGAAACATTTATAAAAGTGTGAAAAAAATTATAGCATTTCATCCTAACATGCTGTCTATGTATACACACAAGCAACTCTTATATTCTTCAGTTTGTATCAATAGATAGGTGGGTTGCTTAAATTTCACGATATACCATATGTAGAGTTGGTAGTTGCACAATTTTTTTTTTATTTTTCCTTTACAGTATATATATACCCAGTTATGTGATGATTTTTTATGCACGTTCATAAAAAAAAAAAAAGAGAAAGACTCGGTAACAATGGTGAAATGTTAAGTTCTCCCGCGCTGGTCATTACGCACTCGTTACAGTATATTGAAAGCCATATATATATATATATATATATATATATATATATATATATATATATATACATATACATATATTAACCATTCTTTCGTTTGTAGCGTTGGTTTGAGTTCCATTACTATCTTCTCCCTTGTGTAAATCCTTTAACTCTTTTTTATTTAATTATTTTTATTTAATTTTCTTTTTTTTTTTTTTTCCATTTTTTAAGCTCAAGGAGTACGCACCTTGGTTAGTAATATCATTATTAGCCATTCTTGTGCGAATTTTAAGAGAAGTTTATGTGTAGAAATGCCTACACCTAAAAAGAGAAAAATAATATACTAACTGGTAAGGCAAGGTGTATATGTGGGGAGAGCAATTGCCACTAGCTGTTCCTTTTCTTATTATTTTTTTTAACTTTATCTATATAATCTTTACAGGTTTCAATTTATTTTTATTTCATTTCATTTTTTTTTTTTTTTTTTTCACTTTATTATGTGAATTTTAAAAAAAAACAGTCCTCCCCCCCCCCCCCCCCAATA